TCTCCATAAGTTCGAAACAAACACTCTATGCTCCAACAACAGCGAATGAAAACCCCTCAAATCCTCGCAGAGTTTCTGACGATAAATTCAGAAATAATTACTCGTTTTGTGACATAAATTTTACCAAAGAACTTTCCTAGCGTTCAGGCAATATGGAACCGAAAACCAGATTCGGATAAAACAAAATAGCTTTCATTCTTATGCGTTCATTATTGTTTGATATTCTACAGCAAGTAGAAAAACACCTACTTGCAACATACCAATGGCATGTCTAGGGGAAATAGCGCCTTTTAGGTTGATGTGACAACAATATCTTCAAGGTATCGACTTCAAAGTTTCGAAGAATTGCTTTCCTTGAAAAGAATTAAAGAGCTTTTTCGTGCTGAAGTTGAAAAACTCCAAGAGCCCCTTTGCCCAACTGACTAACAAACAGGTCATTGACGCATATCTGTGCATTATAAGTTTGATCGGTATGATTGTCGCAGAGGAGGCGCAATTTTGCAGACAGAAACGAGGCAGTTTCATGATTGGACTGCATACTTTTCCCCTCAAGCATTTCACGATGGTTTAACTCTAGGTTGTTTTACCTAATTCCTCATTTCAATGACCTGTTTTCAACTTTCACTGAATTCTACTTTTCTTTTATCAGTTGGTATTGAGAAAAATAATTTGAGATGCAAAAAGCAGATGAAAATTCACCTTCGAAGCATAATCATAATTATCGAGTTACAGAAATGAGAAAACTCACGGTGTCACCAAACGTGAAATATATGAGATCTCTGGATGATACAGCTGCTGCTATCAATTGAATTAATGCTGAAGGGGCAAAATAAGCAGGTAAGCATCAATAAAACATGATCAGGAAAAACGAAATCAAAAAAACGTAATTAAAAAACAAGACAAACGTTGGCTCGAGATGTATTGTGTACTAAAGGTAAGTTCAAACAGGTAAGCTACTGAAGGAAAGCTAAAAAGTTGAGGTCCAAAAGACACTGAGGACAAAATACAAATGAATGTCACTAGTGGTAAGGCAACAGATTAATGGAAAAGTAACAGACAGATGGAGTATAGATTGGAACTAAGTTTATGAAACAAGGGTAAGCGGTAAAAGGTACCAAAAGGTACAAAAGCCAATGAGGATAAAATACAAATAAATGGCACTAGTGGTAAGGCAACAAATTAAGGAAAAAGTGACAGACAGATGGAGTGTAGATTGGAACTAAGTTTATGAAATAAGGGTAAGCAGTAAAAGGTACCAAAAGGTACAAAAGCCAATGAGGATAAAAATACAAATAAATGGCACAAGTGGTAGGGCCTTGAGGGAAATTCAAATGTTGGAAAGTTTATCAATTTTTGCGGCAAGAAGGATTATGAAAATTCATCGAATCTATGGAAAAATGATGGAAATATTTTTGCTTATCAGAAAAATTAAAAATTGCAGGGCTTTGAACAAGAAAAAAAGATACCTTTTAATCTTGCATCCCCTCCAAAGGCTCCACAGCCCCAGTTGCCTAGAAACATATCAATAAGATGATAAGATCGGCCCGATAACGATTTTACTTTTAGTAAAAATACCAAATGACTTTAGGCTATTAATGTTAGTCTAGAGCATCATGTCCATGTGACAAAATATTTGAGCGGTTAGGAAAATCTGTTATCGTTATGACCTTCTTCTTGGTCAGCATTTGGCTGTCTAAAAATAACTAAAGAAGACGAAAATCGAAACTTTGAAGAAAAGTGTTGCCTTTTAGAGGGTAAGAAATAACAGAAAGAAAGAAATAGCGAAATTACCAGTTGCAACAGCTGGGAGAAAATCCAAATTATCAATACTCTGAAAAGCGCAATGTGCCTGAAAAACAATGCAAAATGATGTTTGAGATCAAAGCAGCGTTTTACATATTTTTGTTCAAGTACAAATTGTTGTCTAACTGATTACTTTCCTTGCTTAGATTTGTAGCAACCACAAAAAGGAAATCAAATTGAATCACCAATTGAATGACAAATTTCTGGAATGGATAACTGACATATAAAAAACAAAGATCGAAAGCCGTATGTAGGCCTAACAGAAAAAAGGATTTTGGATTTCATTGAGAGAAATACTTTGTTCAACTCTCTCTTTAGCATTGACTGAGCGAATTGCTGCGAGTAAGTATGAAAGACATGTGCATCCATTGCAACGACTTCGGTGTAAAGGCGCCCCCATCTGTCTCTGGAAGGAAAAACAAGAAAATGCCTTGATGATGTTCATCAAAAAAATACAGTATCATCTTATACAGTATAATCACAAACATTGCAGAAAATGGTGTGAGTACCATTGTGACCCTGTTTATTTGATACGCAAGAGAAACAGTACTGAGACCTAGTTGATATTGTTGTTGGTCATCCCATATCAAATCATCCAGAATTTCTGAAGAAAGTAACCACTTTGTCCTCAGAATGCATCAATTATAATTCTAAAATTTCAGCTTAATTTCCTTTGTCAGTCAAAACTATAGTACTTTCTATTTTTGGGCGTTTCGGGAAAATTTGATAAAAAGGTGTGAAAATGAATTGCAGTATTACAGTATAAATCCTATACATCAAAGCTCAGAAGCTCTTATCATGGGCGGGGATTTTAAGGGTGTGGCCGAAATATTTACAGAATTTTGAAAAGTACAATACTTGTTCTACTAATGTGGAGAAAATTGTCCTTCTCAGTATTGTATGCTGCAATTTTTGTAAGCATGTTAAGCTATGGAATATAATAGGATACATGATGCATCACAGAAGTTCTATTTGTGTATGGTGAGTGATTTGTTGTTACCATATAATGTATATAAAATATGTACTGCTGTTAGACACCGAAGTTTGTTTAATCAGTGTAATATTAATATTATTAACAGACGCCCTAATGCAGAAAAAGGGGAAAGCGGTACATTGTATGTGTTGATGGATTTTTTCAGCAGCTTCTTTAAGGATCTTAAAATATTATTTTTTATTCTGTTCTAAGCTGTTGTAATTTTTTCTGCGCAATAAATCGGTTGAGGTATGGCTATATCCTGCGTCCTACGTATCAACTTAGCTTTTCTTAACACATACCTAATTCGAGCTAGTAAAGGCTTACCGCGGCGTGAGGTCGATGTAGTCATTCCGGAATGTGTACGTCTGTGCATACCCAGTGTAATCGCTAAAGCGTTCAGCACCTGCAGAATAAAATAAACCTTGGCTTAAATGAGTTGAATGCTTATCAGTGCCATTAAACATGAGCAGAAACACACGAGACAAAAGCAAACACTACAGGCTGAAACCAGATTAATAATGCAGCAATATGCAACAATGTGCGACTGGGGAAATACCAAAACAGTAATTACAAACAACAAACTACAAATAGAAACAATAACACGGAAAAGAATTATAACAAGATCGTAAATGCCTTGTCCTAATTGAAAATAAAGCAACTGGAAAATTGTTATTATAAATCTGCACTAAATTTTCTTAAAAATGCCCAACCACGGGGAGCAAAAATAGATAGCAAAACCTCAGGTTATCAAAGTAAATGCGGGAAAAACTTATGTGCATTTTTTTCAAAAATGGGAGAAAATTCTGAATGGTTAATGAACTGGTTAGTTTTAAGACAATTGAAACAGTGACCTTGAAAATATCTCGATTTTTACAAACCTCTCACGAGCAAGGTTTCGTTTGGATCAAGTCTTTCAACAAACAGTCGGGAGAGAATCAGCTCTGGGCAAATCAAAAAACGTATTTCCTCTTGCACACAACCCTGCAATTGATAGAAAGAGTAAAAACTGATTCTCCAGCAAAAGGGAAGGGAAGAGACGAAAGACAGAAAAAATGCATCCACAAATAAAAAAGAAATGGATATCTAAACTTGGGTGGTTATGCAAACGACGATGGAATTGAGAGAGAAGACTGATGTTTAATGCAATGAGTCCCTGAAAAAGAAGATATGTATACACCTGCTAAAACTATCCTGAAAAATCCCTGGCATTTTCTTTTAGAATCTTTTGCATATGATGGCTTCACATTTGCCTTGGTGTAACTAGTCCAATGAACGGTATCTTCAGATGAAGGGCAAAGCACAATTGATCACATAAGAAAACAAAGCACCAATGACCTGATGTTTGTTTCAAATGGGCTCATTGCTTTTGAATATTTTGAGAAAAAGGCTGAGGGGTAAATATCGACACTTACTACGAGTTGAAAAAAAATCGATCTCACGTCACGTTGCTAGATCTCTCATCATTTTCATCACATGTTGCAAAAAGATAGCAAGGTGATGAAGCTGAGTCAATAGTTAAATCTATCAAAGACTTTGCAGTTTCAATTGACATGGCTTGGAGCATATTGACATTGTTAAATCAAATACTTTCTTGCATGTCACAACGTTGTAGAAGTGACCGTGGAAAATCGAATCAAATCGTTTTTACCAGACAGAAATAAGAACCCCATACCTCGCCTATAACGCCTCCACCAACAAGTCTGTTTGCAAAATCAACCTGAGATGCAAAGAAAAACCTTTGATAGACAAAAATGTGCCCTAAATTAGCTTAGTCTAATTTGGTTAAGTCTTTAGAGTTTACATAAAGCTTCCATGCGATATCTTTCATGTAAAATAACAAAACAATGCTTTAATGCTTACAATTCCAATAGGCTGAGAAATTTCAAAAGAAGCATATCACATTTACGACTCAATTTTCTGGAATAAGAGAAGTTTTGTTACCTGTAAAAACCCATTGCCATCATCCTCAATCGTACCCTTGGAAGTTGCAAAAAGGTTTTTGAAACTTTTATCACACCTTTGAAAAAAATTAGCGGAGTATAGCTTTGAGATAACAGAAAAAAGCAGAAAGGTAGCATAAAAAGTGCAGTTAGAAACGATTTGGCCGCAAGGAGAAAAGGCCAACAACTGAATTAAAGGACGGGCTCATTTTAACACAAAACGAGAAAAAGGAGCCATCCATATATCGCCTAGTTTTAAGGTTCATCAAAGTCTATATACTAAGGCTGAGTATGGTTGAAAAAGGAGAATAGTTTCTCGTGAGTTCATGTTCGGTGTGTGTTTGAAGATGTTATAACATTGAGGTTTCTCAATTTTTTTGTAATTGGATAGAGATCCACGCATTTTGAGAAAGAATGTGACGCAAGGTTTATCAAAAAAGAATATTACCTCTCCCACTCTATGAATGAATCTTTCTCCAAAACCTTTCTGGTGTACGTCAATGTTCCTACGGGTACTAGTGAGAAAAAATGGAATAATAGAGAAATGAACTATTTGGTCATACAACAGGACGGCTCTAAGTTGCTACTCTGAGTTTCACTAATAGAGAAAGAATGGAATAATAGAGAAATGAACTATTTGGTCATACAACAGGACGGCTCTAAGTTGCTACTCTGAGTTTCACTAATAGAGAAAGAATGGAATAATAGAGAAATGAACTATTTGGTCATACAACAGGACGGCTCTAAGTTGCTACTCTGAGTTTCACTAATAGAGAAAGAATGGAATAATAGAGAAATGAACTATTTGGTCATACAACAGGACGGCTCTAAGTTGCTACTCTGAGTTTCACTAATAGAGAAAGAATGGAATAATAGAGAAATGAACTATTTGGTCATACAACAGGACGGCTCTAAGTTGCTACTCTGAGTTTCACTAATAGAGAAAGAATGGAATAATAGAGAAATGAACTATTTGGTCATACAACAGGACGGCTCTAAGTTGCTACTCTGAGTTTCACTAATAGAGAAAGAATGGAATAATAGAGAAATGAACTATTTGGTCATACAACAGGACGGCTCTAAGTTGCTACTCTGAGTTTCACTAATAGAGAAAGAATGGAATAATAGAGAAATGAACTATTTGGTCATACAACAGGACGGCTCTAAGTTGCTACTCTGAGTTTCACTAATAGAGAAAGAATGGAATAATAGAGAAATGAACTATTTGGTCATACAACAGGACGGCTCTAAGTTGCTACTCTGAGTTTCACTAATAGAGAAAGAATGGAATAATAGAGAAATGAACTATTTGGTCATACAACAGGACGGCTCTAAGTTGCTACTCTGAGTTTCACTAATAGAGAAAGAATGGAATAATAGAGAAATGAACTATTTGGTCATACAACAGGACGGCTCTAAGTTGCTACTCTGAGTTTCACTAATAGAGAAAGAATGGAAAATTGTCGAGAATTGGTGGCTTTGTGAAGGAACATTATCACGTAATTTTCTTGCAGGTGCACACGTGAAAGCAAAACTTTAAGAGTAAGGCCACAAATTTCGACCTCTGAGGAATAAACTACAAAGTCAAGGCTAATGGAATTGAAGACTTATACCTCTTAAAATTCATTCACAGAACAAATTCAAAATGTACAGAATTGAAAGAACAATTCACATCATCGATCATTGCCAAATGGTGACAGGTGAATGACTGACAAAATGAAATACCCAAAATAAACAAACTCACTATCACTTGTCACCCTTCTGAAATAATTAAGCAGGGTCTTTAGTTTTTCGGACTTCGTTTTATTCACAACGTCTTTGGAACCTCTGAACAACCTTGTAGCAGAAATAAATGTCAAATTATGCAAAGCAAAATTAATACTTAAAAACAAAGAATGGAATAGATTTGAGTAAAAATTGTCTGGATCAAGCTGAGACGGAACCATTCGTATGAAGAATAATCTCAGATACAGCTCCAGTAATCTTTGCTAACGGGAAATATATATCCCTGGCAACCAATCATCAGCAATTAACAGCCTTTGAGGAAAATATGGTGATATTATTTGTACTGGGTTATTATATCACATATCAATCTGGACAAAAAATGACTTACCTATTAAAATTTATATCAGGAAAGGTCGAATACTCGGAGTTCTTGTGTGCATTTCGACGAGGAAATGTACAAAAGAATGCATTTGCCAAAAGACAGGCTGCCTGAAATCGAGAACGGGTTAACAAGTTGAAAAACAAGTAAGAAAGAGAATATCTTAAACAAATCGACTCAAAGCTGAGATGAGTGCTGAAATCCTAAAGTATGTATAACATGCGAATAGAGTCAATAAATAGAACAAGAATGACAGAAAAGGACTCACCTGTTGCTGAGAAAGCGTTATACTTTGGTACTTTTGTCTTTTTAGCAGTGGAGGCGGCTGCGAATCGATCATAGAACTATATCACATTAAGAAAGAAAAAACTGTTTTGGCTCATCACATACACGAATAGCAATCAAAACCAGGCTAGAGATGGTCCATTAGAAAAGCTATTGTCTTGTACCATTAGAGCACAAGAGAAGTATGGCACTAACAAAGTCCAAGGGTTTAGAGGTTCAATATCAGACTATGTCAGGAAGGTTCCTTGTGTCCCCACTGCTCTTTCCAGAAGCATCTAGGAAACGCCGCTATATGAAATCGTAGGTCCTTTGCAACGTATTATTTGGCTCTCTCCATTTTGGACAAAAAATGCTAAATATAATGCGGGAATCTAACGTTCAAACGTCAGCTAACCATTGATGATGCCAGGGCTTAAGGGCAATTTATGTTCCAACGCAACACACAATTTACAGGCAAAAGTGCCAAAAAAAGCAAAAAAGCACCCTAATTAGAGCTTGCGTTGTTAATCGTTGAAATACGGTGATTGTGATACCTGTGTGCAGAGTGATGGCATCTTCAATGCTAAGACAGCCATCTCAGGAATAATACGATCAAACAGCAGATTCTTTTCTCTCGTTGGTAGGTACTAACAAGAAGAAATGATGACATTACAGCACACAGTATAAAGAACTCTGCACGAAAGGCTTGGAACCGAAGAGATGTGCATGACAACATATCAGCGAGATATTGGAAAGAACTGCATATCAATTGATTTATCATGTAAGTTCTTGACGACATGAGAAGCAACTGAGCTATGTATATATCAACTTTTGCGTATACACCTTGAATACTTACACTTTTACAAACAATACATAAATCATCAAATACTTGATATACCAATCATATACACCCTCACTCTACAACATTAAAATATTTCTACACTTTGAGGTTGGTTCCAAGTTTCAACAAGAATAAACGCTCACACGAGCAGAGGGCTGAATGGCAGTCTAAGGAAAGCACTTAGCATCGAGAAAATTGCGGCTCATTTTTAGATACTTTTTACTAGCTTTTTATGTTTTTATCCAATTGTAAATTGATCTATAAAGTTGTGTATTCGGTTTTCCTAGATAAACAAACTATTATGTTTCAGCGAATAATTTTTGGCTTTTCTTCAATAAAAAAAATACAAATTGAGCGTAATAACAGTGAAATGTACAAAAGAATCGAGATGTATCCATGGATTTCTGCTTCGTGGAATAGATCGACATTTATAAATAATAAATACGGGAAAATTAGACATGTCAAAATAGGGAAGACTTTTTCAGGCAAACCACAAGTAAAAATTACAATAAGGATGAAAGACAATGAAATAGATACATACATGGTTGCAAAAAGAGTGCCATCCCTCGAAATTCCATTTATCTTTATAATGAACATTATACTTTAAAACAGCATCCTACAACAAATACAAGGTCAGATCGAATAACAATCTAATGAAGTAAAATAGAAAGAAATAAAGCAGTCAGTTACAAAAGAAGACAAAATAAGTGACTAATGGCAAGACAAATCAAACATAACATGTGCCAGTCAAACATAAGCAAAAAGAGGTGGAAACCTTACCTCGAAGTCTCTCGAACTCCTGATTGGCTTTGCCAGGGTTTCCTTAATGAGGTCCCAGCGTTTACGGAGAGTTTTATCTTTCGTCTGAAAGTCACCAAAGGGGCAAAAATAGCTGTATCATTTGAAACAATATGCATGAAAACCATTACGATAAACAACTTCTTGCACACACTCTATGGTAATGGAAATTCCAGATGCAAAAATAAATTAGCGGATGTTAATTCATATTGGTAGACGGATATTTATTGGCTTGGTGTGATATTGTATTCTTTCAAAAATAAAAGGGATCACAACACCAAAAGAGTTCACGCCACCAGAATGGGTTCGTGAGTTTGGACCACAAGCCTAGGTTGATTAATAAATGTAGTACAAATAACAAAGGGACTTACTGGATAAAGACTTTCTCTCGAACAAGGCATTTTTACGTGATCTCTATCCCAAATGTCTCTGGCAAAATAAAAAGAGGTCAATCGCAAATGAAACAAAGCAACGAAAACAAGTAAAACAGAGAAAGAACGAAAACTGGGAAAATATTGAAAATAGCTTCACACCTGTATCTATCAGGGTATGGCTGGGGAGCTTCTGTTGCTTGTATATGGGGCTGTAATAAAGAGAAACCGTTTTCAACACAAATTTACAGTACCCGTTTTACTCGAGAAAACTCGGGTAGTTTGCAGGACATGTTAGCCACAAAAAAGCCGTGATAGCCCTCGGGGAATCGCCTTTGGACCCCATTGATAGTTTCTTCCCCCTCGATCACCATTTTCAGGTATATGAGCACCCATGATGTCCCTTCGCACCAGTTTCAGATTCCACACCCTGAAATTCATACCAACGCCGCTGTTAAAAAAGGGGATGAAGGAAGATGAAGGAGCAAAAAGCAAAATGAAGTATTGTAGGAAAAAAACCTTGGCGTGTAACGGCCAATCGTTTTACAGGGCCACTCTGAGCAAGTTTTAAATATTCTAAATCAGTATTCTAAACCGCCGATAAAGCAAAATAAACGAGCTTAAAACCAAAACTATTTGATATATCTATAACAAAAAAAGGGAATTTTTTTACAGAAGAGGATCAAAAATTTAACCAGCTCTATTTGAAAATAAAGAGTGAGACTATTAAAAAAGTTCGAAAAAAAGCAGGCAAATCACATAAAGAAAAAAATCAAAGTTGAATGAAGTAGGTAATAACGCCTTGACAACATAAATAAAACATTGACCGTTGCCTTAAAGAAGAGTTAAGTATGAAACCCTGTCATTGAAAGACAATATTTCAAATTGGTATTATAATAAAATTGATTCAATGATGTCCATACCCTGACAAGAATTCTATGATCAGGAAGCGGCTGCAACTTCGGTAAAACTTCACCACATTGAAGGAGGTTGTTAAAAGACACAGGAACGGCATTCTGTCAAATGCACAAGAACATTAAAATTCCTGTTCACTGGGCAAACGCAGTCTCATACATTAAGTCTCCAAGGGACTTATTCCTAACAATACAGGCACCTTATATACGAATTATATATGAAATAATAAGTCACATAAATATAATGTGAAGTTACAGAGACGTAGATACACTGCATACGAGCAACTGAATCTGTTGTCAAATAAATTCAAAATAGACTCCAAACACAAAGGTAAATATTGACTAAGAAATAGCCAAACGTCTTATATGCAAGATATGCAGCAACAAGATATGTAAGAAATAATGGAAAAAGAAGCTGTATTGAAACTGTCACCTACATTGTCAAGATCAACATCTGAGTATAGCTCACTTCTCGGAGACCTACAAGTAGCAAAAATACATTATTTACAAGATTATGGGATAATCCATGCATGGGATAATTTTTTACACAGGTTGATACCCTTATCAAAGAAATCACAACGCTTAGAAAACAAAGACCCTAATCATTCGTAACATGAAACTGGATGAAGTTGGACATTTTTGTCAATTTCAACCAACGCTGTCTGTATAGCAAGCAATGATTTTCATACCCTCCAAAAAGACTCTGTGATAAATCGACATCTAATGACGAGCTGGTTCCTTGCTCATCACCACTTGATTCTAAAGAGTGCTCTTCTTTCTTCTTCCGACCGAGTCTACGCTCTGCAGCGCTTGCAGCTAATTCTCTTCGTTCCTTCGCGTCAGATGTTTCCTCCCTAGCGTTCATAGCGTCTGCTTCAATATCTGAAAATAAACACTTCAGATCGTACCAAAGTTTTTACAAAGACAAAAACAAATAAGTCTTACATCAAGGGATGCAGAAAAGCGAACTAATAAATGGGTGCCCCCCCCCCTGAGATTTACGCAACTACAATTAGTATTACCATTTGGTAAGAAGAACAACTATCTGTTTCAGCTCTTTGACTCCATGACGTAATAAAGGTCTAACGTAGATCCAAATAGCTTAAGTCAACATCACACATTAAATAGATCATCTTATTGCTTACATCCCCAGTATAAACTTGATGATACTGAGAAGTGTATTGAAGTACCTTAAACATGACATTGATGTAATGAGCAAGCTATTTTTAAAAGCAACATGTCACCAACTAGGGCAGTAATGTCTTCTCGATTGAGCATAGGATTGGTATAAAAGTGATGCTAGTATCAAGAGAACAGCCAAACAAAGAAATAGTTCAAAGTCTTTTCAATGAATCTCACGTGAAAAGGGGAATTTCAAATATGGTCTGGGGTTATATTTGGCCAAATTTGGTCACTAGCATGTTCTTTTGGGGGTGTTCTGTCAATGTCACAAAGAAAACCCTTGGAAAACTGTCAGGGAATTTTTATAAAATGACAATAGGAATCACTTCAAAATCTTAGCCAATCAGCAAGCAAATTATATAAATTTTTAAATTTAAAACCAAAATTCATTTTATATGTGAATCAACTTTCAATAATTGGTGAGGTATCTACAAGACAAACTGACAGCATGGAGCCAGCAAGGAACTGAGCTATGCAAACCTTCAATTTCATGGTGAATGAAATGCACAAATTTCAAAGCTTTAATGCAGTGTTGTCCTAACTTTTTCCAAGGAGGGTCACATGGCAACACCTTAAATCGCTCTGTTTAATGATGCACAAATGTGGGATGGTACAAAATCATTGGTTTTGTACAGGTGAACTGGTTCGAAAAACAAATTATTACTTTTTTGCCTTGATGTTTGTTTTGTTCATATGGAAATATGGACATGTGCATTGGTATACTCTTTGTTGGAATTCTTAAACACCAAAAGTTGAAGGGAGCAATTGTGTTTCCGAATGAGGAGAAGAAAAAAAGTTGGTATGTGTCTGAGCGGTTCATTTATTTGTTCAAAATTAGGAAGGCTGTTTGAATGGTATGCAAACATTCATATGTGAACAGGGTCTTAGTCTGCTTCTGAGATCATTTATCACATTCTTTATATGTATGGGCTCTGAAAAAAATGTAAGAGGCATGCTGACCATTAGGGCACAATCGGAACTGTAAAAATTTGACTTGCTAATTGGAGGGCACAATCGGAACTGTAAAAATTTTACTTGCTAATTGGATTGTTGACTAGAAACTGAATTTCAGAATCCCTTTTCAGGAATTTTAATTTATGAAGATGTAGCTCCCCTTCAAGCTTATCACAAGATTAGCTTTTGGTGTTATTATGCCTAGCAATATTGCTGAGCTATCCAAAACAATTTGAAGTTGTCTTTATAAAATTCACCATCTGTTTCTCATTTCCGTTTGTTAGAAATATGGATTGTACCCATCTTGAATTTTTAAAACAAGCATTGTGTGTTCATGGTTTGGCACAGAATGAGGGTTGGGTTCACTGTGTTAAACTGGAACTCACTAAATGTTCATGTGCATTAATGGGTGAGCTTTAATCTAATCTTGTGAATAATATGAATAAACTTCTCTCTTATAACCCATATATGTTTAGTTCTCTTTCATGTTTGACCAATTGGGCCCCTGGAAGAGATTAGGTTCCATTGATAGATCACCCCTTCGATACTTTCAGTGTTTTGCCAGTGAGTGTGATTTTTTTTCTAATTAGGTTTTCTCTTAGGACACAGTTTTTAATTCCATACTTTCATAGAGTCTGCGGAATTAGTTTTTGAATTGATTTTTGTCACAAAAATTCACAGTTACTCACTATTTAACTCCATTAAAATTGACAAACATAGTTTCTCACAAAACCCTGCTACAATTCTTTTCCAAGAAATTTCTGTTGACCAGCCTGCTCTCAAGTTTTCCCCCAGAAAACTGTTTTTAATAAAAATTTGCAAATACTTGGGTAGGATACTTCATGCAGCCCAATTATTGTGCAAGTTCATGATATGAATAACCTGCCTGGCATTAACAACTTTACCATTGCTCAAAGATAAAAATTTTGTTTATTTCCTGATGCGACTGATTTATTTTCCATTAAGAATTAAATTTCAAAATTATTTACTTATTACATGGGGTAAGTAACTGTTAGGTCTATAATTTAACCTGACTGTTCAAATACATTTGGGAGGGGAGTGTGAATCAGCCCATTAATTTTCAACAAGACAACAAAATTCTAACACTTCCAGGGTCTTCTCAAAGTCCAGATATCAATGTCATTGAAAATGCTATGGGTTTTTCAGTTTAATATGAAAAATTCAATGAATTGATATCCTCTAAAGACTAAACAACAGTTATCTGTGAAATCTTTGACACCAGTTTAGGAACCATGTTTGATTTTTGTAACAAATAGAGGAGAGTAACAGGACACTATCAGATTGACATTTCAAGTGAGTTACCAGTACAGGAAGTCCAGCAAAGCTGCAAGCATATGCATGTTTTAGAGCTTTGCTTTGACATCTGGGCAATTATTCCTTGCCGTTTTATTAAAAACTTGCATAGAGTATTTCCTTGCAAACGCTATGTTGCCTATTTGTCTAAGGGTATCTCGCCAAAAATTATAATTTTGTTTAAAATGGAATGCATGGATGGATTTGAATTAAAAAATTTGTAAACAATCTTTTGGTGGTACAAAACTTGTAAATAGCTTTGAAAAAAGCAAACATTTAGTAAACTAAAGCTTTTCGTCTGACACTCTTCAGAGTTTAAAACGTCAGAACATAGATCGAAAACTCTACGCTAAGAAATATATATACCCAGTTGTGGATTGGCCTATTTCGATCCACAACTGGGTATATATATTTCTTAGCGTAGAGTTTTCGATCTATGTTCTGACGTTTTAAACTCTGAAGAGTGTCAGACGAAAAGCTTTAGTTTACTAAATGTTTGCTTTTTTCAAAGCTATTTAAAAAATTTGTACAACTTATACTTTGCTGAACAGCTGAAATTCTCAGATCAGATGATTCCTTTTGTCATTTTCTAAATATAATTAATTTATTTTTTCTTTTCTTTTCATTAACTTGACCTTGTACTGGCGCAACTTGGTTTCCGATCGAATACTTTTGGGAGGGGAGTATATAGCCCCGCTGTGTGCTCAGACAATGCAAAAGACAATGGAATTTAAATAGTTATGTTTGCAAATAGCTAGAACAAACCACAAGTTTAGATTATACCTTTAATTTCTTCCTCTTTCTTTGCCTTTTTCCTTTTTGAAAAATACTCTAAAATACTGATTTGATTTCTTTTTCGTTTACAAGCTTCCAATTTTCCGCCACCGTCATTTTCACCATGTTGTTTATCTTCCTTACTCGAACTACCATGCGAGCTCATTATCAACGCTCATCCCTCTTGTAATAACTAAAGGCTAATTTTCTAGCTTGTGCAAACAACTGATTGATCGACTCCTTGTATGAAAGTTCCAGCAGAAACAGAGCGAAACAAACTTCAATTACAGAAGACAAGAGGATCGACTGGCCGCCATTACTAATGTTGTGGCTGTTGATCTTACATTCTCCTCCACATAATACATGAACCCACGATGTTCCCAAAGCAGAGGCTACTTTCACTATGTAAAGTTGTAACAATGATTTTGTCAGTCCATGCATGGCATTCGGCCTTTTCACCTTAAGGGGATGAAAGTAATCTGAACTTGCCATTGGTGCATTTTCAATCTGGATTTTCGGAAGCAGTGAGCCTCTAGCCCTCGATAGTTTCTTAAGGATCCTATAATGGAAATTAGCAGCAACCTCGCTTTTTCCGCCCACCCCCTCTGAAAGATTTCGTGCTTTTGGTTCTGCTTTCATGTGACAGGAGGAAAGAAGTAAACATAAATATTCCCAATAATTGTCTCGAATTGTTGGATATTTCTGTTGGATATTTCAAGAACTTTTGCAATGAAAATAAGCTGCATAACGGCTTGAAGCGTTGAAATGCAGTTTAATTGGGTTATCAATCCCAAAACATCTGTTTCTTGGTCATCTTTTTGCCCGTTTGAACAGTTACTTAATACTTTAGAAAGACTGCTTAGGCTACAAATCGAACTTATACATTTTGCAATGATTTTCCACACATTTTTCAGAATGATCATAATCTTCTCTTCTATGATTTTCCGATGGCGATGCATTATTCATTTCTTTTCGGATAAAAACTGATCGAATTATCATGGATTTTGTCACCTTATTCATTGCTACTAAGTTCATTTTAAGTAAATCTGATTATTAAAGAGTAATAATCTGCTGTCCATAAAATGCTTTAAATACGCTACAAAAACAAGGACTTGTAAACTGTGAAACAAAAACAATGGTTTACGGAATACCTCTATAGCCTTTTCACCCGTAACTCACAGCGAGCTTCCCTCAGCCTCCGTGATACTAAAACAGACCTGAGACTGCCCGGGAAAAACACAGCAAATGGGCAAAAATGTTTTTCTTATAGAGGTGCAAAACTGTGGAATAGCCTCTCAGCTGAGTCTAAGCAGGCATCAACACCGAGTAGTTTTAAACATTCTATTTAGTGGACATTTGTTTTTATTTCTATTAAAACTCTTGTATATTATTTTATGTAAATATGTATACTGCTATAAATAGGGTTTTCTATTTATGGTTTTCAAAATATTATGAATTGTAATTGTTATTTTTTTAGGCTAGGGCCCCTTGCAAATCAACTTCGTTGAATGGCAACCCTAGAAATGAAATATGAAATATATATAATATGAAAAATATGAATCGCTTTCAGCAAAATTAATAAATATCATGACATTCTTAATGTAATTGAAAAGTTGGATATAATATTAAAGCTGGCTTGAATTCTAAGAAGACACAAAACCTTAACTAATACGAAAACTTATTAATAAAAGTTTAAGGGAAAAGAAATGTCCGTGGAAAAAGAGGTCCAACCAATTCTGTGCAGAAGAAGCGACGGAAGCAAAGGAAGAGAAGAAAGGGGTCAAGGAGGAAATCTTCAAATTGATTCAAGAGGTCAAACGTGTTGAAGACTAGTCCTGCAGAATATTTCAATCTTCTGTGAATTGTTTCTAAACGTTTCTTGAAAAGGAATCCACAATGGGAAGCTGTCCCTTTCATTTTGGATGAAAGTCTATTGCATCCCCAATGCTGTAGTTTATTAAAGTAACCTCGATACCTTGACCTAAACAGGCATTGTTTGCTGGATTTGGGCACACGCGTATACCCGAAATGTCGAAATATGTTTCTCAATCTGTATATATTAAAGCAACAACACTCTTTTCAAATAGCCCATCATGCAACACAGTTGAATCTAACATACATAGCACATACAAGCTCTTAAAAGAGGAAACACAATCAGTAACATTTTACTGGAAAGCTAAATCAAGGATGCGTAGAGATTTGGCAGTTGCGTTTCGCTTTCAATGGTTTCTTGGGGGACTCCGAGTGACAATTCTGCGGCCACAGTTGCGGTTGCGATTGTAGTTGCGGTTGCAGTCTCAATGGCAGACGAGGCTGTAGTTACAGCTACAAATTTGCATTTGTTTTCAAGGCAGGATTCTGGAAGCAAATTTTCTGCCTCTTTTTTTATTGCAATGTCACGTTCCAGCAGCTAAAAAAATTCACGGTGGAGTTTAGTGGAATGCAATATGCAAAACAAGCAACATTTCAACAAAAATATTTATGGTTACATCAAAGAAGTAATCAAGTAGCTAGGCTTGGGGTTTCGCCGATCTTGCGGGAAGATCAGAAATTTGTCCCAAATGATATAAAACTTCGGCGGAGGCTCAATGAGCAAGGGTGAATGAGAATGAAATGAATAAAGCTACTCAAAGAAATAAGATCTTGAAAAAGGCTCTTTCGCGAAAGACTTTTTAACTGTGGCTGTATGGTTTCTTATTGCCAATTCTAGTTAATTAGATTTCTGGGGGTAGAAATGCCTGTAAAGCACAGTTGCTGCTTCTCTGATTTTCATAAATAATGACGACGGTACTATGCGCATTGGCACTGCTCTATATATTAATGGAATCAAGCTGTGTATTGCAGCATACTTGATAAAACCTCTGTAAGAATGCCTGCAGGACATGAGCACAAAAGAAGCAAAAACGGTAAGGGGTAACAGACGCGTAACTAAAAACATTTATAGCGAAAATTGTCTGCTTTGATTGCAATAATTTATATTTTACTCAATTTTTCCTTTTTTGCTGCCAGTTTTGCCTGGCTTCACTGCCTGGGTGAAATATCATTTTTGGTGAGAAGAACAAAGCTTACCCGGCCCCCCCCCCCAGCTAGAGCAGGGGACGATACCGTAGCGATCCCGCCGTTAAGGCCTCTTTGAGCAACTTTAAGTTCAAATTTATTTAAGCAACTTTAAGCAAATAAAAGCACCACAATGATGTAAGCTAATTACAACCTGCTTTAAAAGATGGTCTGTTTCTTCATTGAGGGCTTCGTGTGAGTATTTACATGCGTCGCCATTGTTGCACTTGAAACCAGTGTGGAAAAATTTACAAGGAAATTCACGTGTGGTGGTTAAGAAAAAAATGAATCATCGAACGGCATGAAAGGTCGTTTAAAGTGTCTTAAAATTTTTAAAACTAACAAAAATAGCAGAATATTTTTTTGCATAATATTGTTCTAAAATAAACAAACAGATTTGCTGTCCATTCCAGCAATTGATTGTGCGACTTGAAACGCAAACATTGAAGAGATAAAGAAATACATTCTTAACAGAATACTCTATCTACTTTTTGCATAAAAATATACATTATATGGTTGCCTACCTATTTCTTCCATGATGACAGACAGCCAATTGGCTTGAAGCAAAAAATCTTATTTTACAAAAATATTTCTTCTGCGCTTTTTACAAAAGGATAACATGCAGATGATCAATAGAAATGATTTGAAACAAATAAATTAACACCATTGTGAAAAGGATATTGTGCATAAAAATGCACTTTTCGGCGAGACAGGAGTCTGTTACGTAATACCGACAAAGTTCTCTTCGTCTTGGGGTTCCTTCGTGTAAAAAATGGCACTCTGTTCCCTGAAAATGTGGATAAAGTAAATAAAAGTTATTGATAACGAGAATAAAAGAGTATTCAGGTATTCCAGCAAATACATCGATAAAAAGATAAAATTAGAGAGGACCAAGATAATTTAACGAAAACTTGACAATACTAAAGGGTAAAACATGGTCTTGGAGATGCTTTGCAAGTATACTATCTCACGATTATTCAACAAAATTTCCAAATTTGAAGTTCACACTTTGGCAAAAGTGATTTTTCAAAAAATAGTCTCTTAAGCGTAACATACCTGCCGACATTTTCCATCCAAGAAATACTTGCACTGTACTTTTGGCTTTGATTCTGTTCTGTATTGATTCCCAGAATTTGATTTTTTATTCGCCCTTTTTTTCTTTTTCTGGCCACCACGTTTAGATCGTGCTGCAAAGAGTTTTTAAAACGTCATAATGGCAAGCATCATCATTAAATAGTGTATTGCACCAGGTGCAGCGGCAAAGTGCTAGGTGCAGCTACAAAGTGCTAGGTGCAGCTGCAAAGTATTCAGCATTTAGTCGATAGTGGTGACACTAGCTTTTGTTTCCAAGGATTGCAATGCAAAATGAACTGCTTTGTGGGTCTTATTGCAAAGGTACAAACTGCTATTTGCAAATAAAAATTTTAGGCTGTAGAAGTAGGTAGCTACTAAATATATGCATTTCATCAATATCTGCAGTATTCATAAAATCATGGCAAAAACTTACCAGTAACACTTGCTTCTTTTGTCTAAAAAGAGGTGCAAAAAAACCTTTGATTTGTTTCTTTGGTGAAATTTTATGTTAAAAATCCACTTTTACCATAAAATTTCTTTTCAGATTCCTTTTTATTTTTCTTGGTTTCATGACTGAATTTTTGCATTCAAACTTCTAATCACCTCAAGGACATATGACAAGAATATCACAAGACTTAAGCACAAACTTTCTAATTTCTATAAAATGTTTTTAAACACATCCCAGCTATGTGACTCATTTCATAAAGCTCAAAAAAACTGGTAAGGAGATGGGAAAGCTTTGACAAAATCATTTATTTGTTTCCTAAGTCTACAAAATTGGCTTTTTTACAACTTCAGTATTCGAAACATTAACTAGTTTTCATCAAAGAGAATACACAGATTGTTAAAAGCTTAATTAGATCATACCTGCCCAATCAAGATACTTAACCTCAGGATAAACAGCTGCTAGCTGCTTTTAAGAATTACAACAACATTTCAACAACATATCATCCACCATAATTTTGCCAAATCCTTATCCAGTTAGATCATGACTTTGTGAAAGTGTTCACAGGTAAAAGAATAGATACTAGAGGGGCTAAAGGTAGAGATTATCTGATGAAGAACAAAAGGCCACAATTTGAAAAAAGTGAGTCTCATACAAGCCTAAAAATCAACTGTCATGGATAATGCACCCTGACCTTAAACAAATGTCTGACCAAAACTACAAATCAATATTTCCTACATTTAAATCAATATTGACCTGCTTTTTGCAAACATATCTTTTCATTTCTAAGTAAATAGGAGAAAAACTTTAAGTATATACAATTGCATTAAGAGAAAAGGAGGAAAAAATGAGCCACAACTTTTGAGTTTTGCCATAAATCACTTCTTACATATTATCCAGAATGAGAATTATTGACATAACCCAATCTTCATATTAAAACCAAATTGATAATTTTGGATTTATAAATGTTATATCCAATAAACATAAAAAGATGAAATACCTCTGAGACAGATAAATCTATTTCTGACCTTGATACCATAGCAAGCAATGAGTTTTCCACTTCTGTTGGCTTTTTCATCTACAAATAAAGACACATTACAATAACAATAATTTTACTTTGTTTTGCATGATAAATTATTTAACTTTATAGTAGAAGCAAACAACTTGTGACATCTATATCAGTTCATTATTGGGAACCATTAGAATTGGAAAATAAAAGTGTTTTTTTAGTTTTGGATTACTGAGCTGAATGGAGTTACATAAACTTTCTTAATTGTATTTATATTTGCAACCTAGCATCTGAATGCAGTTTTTAGAACCCTGAGAAGCTGTGCTCCCAACCTTCATGCTCTTTGCTTTTTTATGTAATCCTGTCATTTTGAGCTTTTTTGTGGAACTGTGAAAGCTTTGCATACCTTTAGGCAGTTTACTTTGCTGATGTTTTAATGATTTTAGGTAGGATTAATGCATTGGCTAATGGCTGGACAATGAGACATTTCTTGTCCATCACTTGGTTTTTTTCAAATTTCCCTTAGTAACTTCTTCCTTTTAGAGGTTTATGGGATGTCAAGCTAATTTCACCAATGGCCCACGTGTCTGTGGCATGATTCTCTGGGGGAGCAATTTTTGCCCTACAACTTGTATTGTAGCTTCTTTCCAGAGTAAGAAAAATATTGCAATAATTACCACATTTTCCCTTGGCAGCTTTCCGTGTTTTTGGTCAGAATTCCAATCAATATTTTCAGTCTTTGTTTTCAATGTGCCTTGAGCTCCTGAGAGGTTAGAAAACTTTCATTACTAAAACATAAATCAGGTTCAAGTGGCAAGTTTGAGAAAGCAGCCAGATGATTAAGTGAATGATGACTTTATTGTCACAAGACACTTAAAGAACTCAGGGGTAAGTTCTTTCAAGATTCCTCTTCTTCTACACGTTAAGTAAGCTAGAAAATTTTACCCTTATCTGCTACACAACTTTCTTCAGTATGGAATGGGATGCTTGCATGTACTTTCTCTTCCATCTCAAGAGTGTTGCTTTTTCTGCGAACAGGCCATTTATGTGGGGTGTCACATTTAGGAGGTCCAAGAACAATATCTTTGCCATTATCATACTCAGTTAAAGATAAATGTTTCATTTTTGCTTCTTTCTTCTTTTTCCTTTCTTTATACCTCTTCTTTTTTCCTTTCTTTTTTAGAATTTTTGATCTTGACAACAATGTTTTGGCCAATAATGTAGGTACATCTGTTAACAGTTCTTGGGATAAAATAAGTGGTCGCTCAATAGGCTCATCAAAGAAGTCCTCTAAACTGCTTGCATTTTTTTCAACTGCCTTTTTAATTATTTTTGGACCAACCATGCGATGAATTTTTCGCTTCCAGGAAAGTTTCTTTGTGCCTTTATTCTTATCTTCTAAATTAATATCATTAACATATTTATTATTAAAGTTATTTTCAGTCTTGCAATTAGATTTGTTTTCATTTAGAAATTTAGTGCCTTTGCCCTCATTGAAATAATTTTCTGTAAAGACTTGACTCTTTGGCTTAACATCTGCAACTGCAGAGTGTGATGTTTCAAAAGAATTGCATTGATCCATAACATCATTATAACTTCTAGATAAAAAATAAGGTTTATTTTCAGTTAAATGATTCTTTTCTTTTTTCTCGTCAGTCTTTGGATCAAATAGTTTCTTCTTTTCCATTCTGCAAATTTGCAAAGCTTTGTCAAGGTCTGGAATAAAATACTTTTTTGCCTCTACAGGGCTCTCTTTACAACAAGCATTTATATTACTGTCATCTTGTAAAGCTGGCTGCACACTATAAATCAGACTGCCATTTCCACTGGAAGGCTTTCTCTCTTTAATTTTGTCATTGGAATCCGTCTCTTCAGTCAAATGAGGCCTTTTACGGTCATGTCTGTTGCCTCCCGGTTGTTGAGTATTTGTCGTGCTAATCTTAGGAGGAGGTTCTGAAAATAGATCTTCCAACCCAAGCTCCATTTTAAAAGAAAAAAATCGTTAATTTCAAGGGTTTAACATCGTGTACAGAACTTGTCCATCTTTAACACAAAGCAGCCATCGTTTGCAAATCGTTTTATCACGTTACACATGGTAAAAAAATTCTGCGCCATTTTCTTCCCTCGTACTCATGGCGAGATGCAAAACATTCAATTCAACAAAGCGAATTCAAATGCCTGGCGCACGAGAGAAAGTCAACTTTCTTTGTTCATTCTGAAAAATAATTTCCAAAAAGCCAAACTTTGAAGATGAGTGGTGGTGTTTATGGAGGAGGTAGTTTTAGCTGCTTATATTTTATTGGGTTTTCGTAAATTTTGGTTTAAAGATGTTTTTAGAACAGGAAAGATCACGGTAAAACAACAACATTTTTTGGGAGAAAATTGATAAGTTTTCAAACATAGTTGTATTTATAAGTTATATTTAGGATATAATGAAATAGAAATGAAATGGAGTCTATCTTTTTATCACTAAATGGAATGATGATCATCGGCCATGAAATTTGCAGTTCTAAAATTTTAAAGTTATTCATTTAAATTCATTCATTCTTTTTTAGGGGTTAGTGATCTGCTTTTTGTGTCTGTATGTAAACTCACCCAACTTTTGTACTTGTTTTAGATGAGGTGGGTGCCTTGGTATTTGACTTTGGATCAATGACAACAAGGGTTGGTTTTGCAGGCGAAGATTGTCCTAAGGTATCAACATAAGCCACCATTTTCCATCATTTTATATACATACATGAGCTGTTTCTGTACTGAATATTGTTTATGGTAAATATTTTTACAAAGAAGCTTTATATTTTCTCCTTTTAACAATATTCTGTGAAAGACATTTTATACTAACAATCCATTTCACATTATGTGTATTTTCTTTTATGAATATTTTATGTCATTTATGGATTCTTTTTAACTTCATCATTTGTTATGAATTCTTGGTCTTATTTTATAGGGTGAGTTTTCAACAACTGTTGGTGTTCTTGATGGAAATAAAGATGAAAAATTTGATTTACATGGTATGTTTCATTTAAATTTGGTTTATCAACAAATGATTGCTATAATATTTTATGAGTTGATAAAGATAAATAGCTCCTTATGTCATACAATAATAATAATATTCAAATAGTTATTTTTAGTAGCCCAGTTTTTCTATTAAATTTATAAAAACCTTTTCCAGCCTTTTTAAATAATTTTTTAAACTGTTATCATTTTAATTATTTTTCCAGACACAAAGAACCTAAAAGATTCAAACAGAGATTACTTCATTGACCCTTCAGAAATACACGTGCCAAGGTCAAATGTGGAGATGATGTCACCTTTAAAAGATGGCTTAATTGAAAATTGGGATTTGTTTGAGAAACTTGTAGATCATTCTTACAAAAGACACATTCGATCAGATCCTGAACTCCATCCAGTTTTAATCTCAGAATCACCTGTAAGTTCGGTCACCTTAAGTTAAAATTTGCAATTACAACAATTATTATCTGTGTGTTACCATCCAAGTACAATGTGCATAGCAGTCAAGATGACTTTTAAAATGTGGAACTACATTACATTTTAAAAATGGCAAAACTACATATTGCTGGATAGCCTTATTTGTCACTTACATAACAGAGAATATTAAAACTGTAAGGTTACTTATTATGTTAATATCACTGCAAAAATTATGTTAATATTATAATATCTCTTTCATTTTCAGTGGAATGTCAGAAACAAACGAGAGAAACTAGCAGAACTTATGTTTGAAAAATACAATGTACCTGCATTCTTTCTGTGCAAAAATGCAGTTTTGTCAGCATTTGCCAACGGTAGATCAACTGGACTCGTTATAGATTCTGGAGCTACTCACACAAGTGCTATCCCTGTTCATGACGGTTTTGTCCTCCAGCAAGCTATAGTAAGGTCACCTGTAGCTGGAGATTTCATTTCAAGACAGTGTCTAGAGTTTTTCATGGAGTCAGGGATTGATATTATTCCAAGCTACATGATAGCTAGCAAGGTAATTTAGCACCATATATATTCTCTGCAATTAAAAGGTGGTAAGAAACTGGTCTTTGCTCTAAGCAAAATGAAGGTGCTCCATAAAAAGAGCCCCTTAAAAACTCTAGGTGCTCTATTTCACACCTCTAACCAAAATGTCCTTGAGAGCATCCTTCAAGAGCTTCAGAAGATCAAGAGCTTAATATTGATAGCTTCAAAAGAGTGTTACATAAGAAATTAAACCATGATACCAAAAAGCATGATAATATGAAAAACAAAACAGGCAACAATGTTAGTAGAAATATAATAAAAAAAGTCTCAAAATTGTTCAGATTTTTCTAGATATGTAAATTGTCATCACTTGATGAGCTTTTATCACTGTCAGTATTAATAATGCTATGCTCAGCTTAACATATTTCTTCATAAAAACGCATGGCTTTGAGTTGGAAATTTAAATTTTGTTTCCTTTTTTATGTTATCCATTCTATAAGACTCGCCAGAACATCTACTTCTTGCGAAAGCAAATAAAAACTGAAAAGCAAATGCCATAATTTGGAAGGAAATGTGATCACTGATTTGCACCAGGTGATTTTAAGTTATTGAGAAAAAAGCAGAAAATAATACTTCAACAGAAGATTAACGCTTGTTCAGAAGAAAAATCATTATATTGTGGTCTGTTGGGAAGATTGTTTATGCTTGATCAAGTTTAAAAAAAATATTATGCTCCATGGTAATGTTGTTTTTACGTTTAGAGGCTTGATAAATTGCTCTCCAAGGCTTTTTTAGGGTGCGCTCTACGTGTGCGTACTCGATCAAGCGCCTTTCTGCGATGATTCTTTCAAGCGCAATCAGATGAAAAAAGTGGAATAGCTCAACATTAATAAATGAATTTCTTCTTTAATATCTCTTCAACCTAAGCCTTCCTGGTGCTGATGTTTCCACACTGCTGCTATGAGATTGGAGACATTGTCCTTGATTCACTGAGATGTGTAAGAAAGATGAGAAATTTTTTTCCATGCTCACCCACTCAAGAGTTTCTGTGCCAAATCCATGAAATTCCAAAATAAAAATCAACAATCTTGAACTCATCTCCCCCCCCTCCCCCTCTTATCTTCTCCCTCCTTTTTCTTGTTAAGACTTTGTAATAGGCCCCTTAGGTCCCTCTGAAACATTAAAAATTAAATTAAGAATTTTTTCTGCTTACATCATTATTTTGCTTACTTGTTGCTAATAACAATTGTTCCAATGCATACTTTCTTGTTTCATGACACTGTTACTGAGAATATGGAATTGTTACCATTTTCAACATAGGAGCCCGTTGATGAGGATGCAGCACCAATATTTACCAAAAAGAAAATTCCAGAAGTAACAAAGTCCTATCATAACTTTATGGTGAAGGTAAAACATTATGCTAGTATCTTTACCAAACTGCCTGGTGTTACAACCTATTTTATAGCATATTTGACATATTAAAGTTACGTTTTAACAAGAGCTTCATTTGTTTTTCAAAGGAAGTGGTCAAGGACTTTCAAGCTTCAACATTGCAAGTTTCAGACAGTCCATACGACCAAAAGTATGTCATTCAATACATTAATATCTCCAATAAATCTTTTCTTTTATATCAAATTCTTAGTAGCTCTTGCACTAGGTTTTGATGCATGAAGATTGACCCAGTGGCCAGTTGGATCATCTTGGTTGGCCTACACTTAACATGTAAACATTCATTGGATAACAGCCAGTGCTCTTCCTAACATAGCCAAAGCTGGTATTACTAATTATATCAGTAACATATTCTGCTAAACATACATACATATAGTAATTTGTCAGAGTGGTGCAGGTCAAAGGAAAAGCTGACTAATTCAGCTGAATCAACAGATTTATATGATCCAGTCAATTCCTAATAGTGAAGCCACATCTTTTTCTCTTGACAGTGCACTGGAAAATATTCCAACAGTTCTTTTTGAATTTCCAAATGGCTTGAACAAAGGCTTTGATACAGAAAGGTTTAGAATATGTGAAAGCCTATTTGATACAACAACAGTAAAGGTAAATTGTTCATTTCACTTATAGAAAGAAAGATGACCTAATTATCTCATAATTATGAATATTTGACTAGCTGCTACAATTAGTATGATGATGGTGACAAAAATGATGATTATTATTGATGCCAATTGATGACAGTTAATGACAATTGATTATAATTAATGATAATTGATGACAGTTGATAATAATTGATGACTATTGATGATAATAGATGACAATTGATGATAATTGACAATTTGTAATTTTCACTAGGGAATAGAGAGCACAACATTGCTTGGTGTCCCTCATGTCATTACAACAAGCATAGGGATGTGTGATATCGATATTAGAGCTGTAAGTTCCTTCTTGAATTCTCTCATTATAGTGCTTAAAATCTTAAGCTGTGTTTCCCTTGCAGTGTTTAGAATGCAGAAATAATATTAAGCAAAATGCTGCTTGCTGAGGCATTGAAACTTGTTGGTTAGCAATGTGATTTCAAGATAGAAGAACTACAGATAAAATTTCGTTTTGATTGAAAAATGAGCATCAACTTGCAGTTCAAATTTAGTTCCATACTTTAACATAACATCCCTAACCTTCTGCTTTCTCAGTGCCTTAATGGATTCTCTACAAGTACTAAACATTGCATTTTAAAATTATGATATCCTGACTTTAGGCCAAGTGGGGACTTATGAATAATATGATCGGGAGTCTGAAGGAACAGAACTTCAAAGCAATTTCATAATAAGTGGCCTGTGCCTGCTTAGACATGAGCTGTCAATATGACCAGGAAATTGAAAACCAAATCCCTTTGCATCAGCGAAATTAAAGGTAATGTGTCCAGCTAAAGCAAGCGACTCTGCGGGGGTTTTAGAAATATGTGATTCTTCATGTCATCGCCCCAGTCATTACAGTCATTTTGTTTATGGATCGTGCTGCGAGGTTAGCTTTTCATGTGAGCAGTTTTGCATCGCAAGAATACTAATCAATCGCAAACCGTTATTTTGATGGGTGGCTTGACAAGTTGGGTATACACAGTTCTTTTATATGGACACATTACCTTTAAGCATGCTAAAATAAGCTGTTAATATAGTTATTCAAAAGTTTATGTAGATATTTGTATAAATCTATTTATTTTGTAGGAAAAACTTTTTAAAAAATTTTCTTGCATCTTTGTTTGATGTTTGTTTAGACCCTGTTTACATGAGACCTCAAACAGTTCAGATCCAAAGTATTTGTATACTTGTGGATCCGATCCCAAGCGTTTACTTGGGGTCTGATCCAAAACCATTTGCATTTACACGTATTGGATCCAGATGAGTGTGCATCAGACGCAACATGAACATAAAGCAACTTGCAATTCACCCCAATTCACAATTAACAAGTGCTGTTCACAGAAGACAGACTCACAGCAAAAATAAAAATAAAACATAAGCTCCAAACATATCTCTAAGACTGCTGGATTCATCTTATCGTGGTACTGATTTGTCAATATTGTAGTAACTCAACTTCCTGTTTAGTTTTCTCATGCCAATCTCACAGGATACAGGTTTGAAGTACTTCGAATTGACAATTATTCTGTCTCACTTGCGAAACAACGTAAACCAATCCGATCTGGACCACAATCCAACTGTTTACACAGGATCCGGTCCAGATCAAATCCTTACAGGATCACCTCTGAAGACGAGCCCAAGTAAACACAGGACCTATCCAAACTCTTTTTTATCCAGTTCGGATCCGGTCACATGTAGACAGGGTCTTAGTTATGACATATGGTATGAAATACAATTGTTTTTTATCTTATTATTTTCTCTTAATCAATTCAGTTTATCTTTGACATCTAGTCTTTTTCAATTTTTAATTAACTTATTCACATGCTTCTACCAATAATACTAAAAACTGAAAATCTTGTTTTGTCTCTTTGCAGGGTCTGTATAACAGTGTGATTGCAGTGGGAGGCAACACTTTATTAAATGGGTTTGTGGACAGACTCAACAGGGAGCTATTATCAAAGACACCATCTGTATGTTCTTCCCTTACTTTTAGTCCAACAATTCTATTTGAATACCTTTATAATTGTATCATGATATTTATTATTATTTCAAGTTTCTAAAATTTGATAAATAGACAAAATGTAGAAACCCTGCTACTGTCTACTGAAAGTATAAATATTTGTTTATAATATTTAATTAGATAACTTTATGTGATTTTTTTCATAAAGTATGCATTAATTCCTCATACATGTCAACAGATAAACCTTCATTTTCACTTCTTCATTTTGGTCATCAAAACACCAACCCGGTTGATGATTGCATCTGTTGTATGTTTGCTAAGTGTTTTATATATATTATCAATTATAAATAATGCAATGGTGAGATTGTTATGATGTTTTGGGTATCATACTGGTGTAATATAGTATTGATGCAATTGATTTTGTAGAGCATGAGGCTAAAGCTGATATCCAATAACAGCCAGACAGAGAGACGATTCAGTTCATGGATTGGTGGTTCTATCCTAGCATCATTGGTAGGCAATTTCATAGCTTAGCAAACCATTTATTAGTGGAATATGAACAATTTTCACTAATGTGCTTTGTGAGTCTTTTTTCATAAATTGTTTCCCTTGTTCTGTGAGTTGCTCAAGATGCATCCAGATGCTGAAAAAGGGCATTTTTCTATCTGTTCTCTTTGAGGCATGTAATCCAAAGCACATCTGGAAATAATTTCCCTGTTAGGCCTGTGTATGCATTTGGAAAAATAATACTAGTAACTCTTTAATTTTCATTCTAATCACTCGTTTCTACAATTTAGGGAACATTTCATCAGATGTGGATTTCCAAACAAGAATATGAAGAAAGTGGTCGAAGTTGTGTTGAAAGGAAGTGCCCATGAGAAAACCATTCACAGAGATATTGACCGAAATACTACTGTACAGAAGTCATTATTAATTAACATTATAACTTTTATATGTGGTAGATAACCTTCCCTTTTTTCTGTCAACTCACTCAGTCAATTCACTTTGTATTTAAAGGGAACCGTTAAGAAAAAATTTATTTGGCAAAAAATCCATTTTTTATTGAAATGTAGAAAATCTAAACAGTTTGAATATTCAAATCAGCTTTTGGTACAGAAAATATGGAAGTTGGCATGAAAAAGCAGAAACGTAACCTACTAAAGTACTTTTGTCCCACATTCCTCGATAATAATTTTGCATAGTGACCAAAGGTAAGCTGAAATTTTTTACAGGTTTGGATCCAAAGCAACGTGAGATAGTAGTCAGTGATTAGTCGAAAGAATTGCATCATCCAAAAAATGGTTGGGAAAAGAGAACAGTCATATTTGAAAAAGTCATTATGCCCAAAAATAACATGATTCGGCCGATCAAAATTTACTCATGAGTCCAGAGTGGGTCAAGGTGATAGTAACAACAATTTCAAAAATTAGGGCAGAGGACACCTTTCCTTTTAGGTGTTATAGAATCTTTCTAAATCAAAACAAATAACTAAATGTGTGTAGAAGAAGAGTTTGCTCTCCCTGTTGAACTCTCCAACTAAATGAGCAGTTAGCGGTTGCTAATTGGTAAAAACATAGAGAACAAATCAAACGTGTCATTCTTCTTCTGACATTACTTCTTTCCCTTTGACATGCTGTCTTCAAAGGTTGAATAAATTGTATGATGTTTTTAACTTTAACTAAACAGATTTGCACAAGGGACTCATTCTAAATTCAAAATCAAGTCATTGAGGATTCTTCGAGACCAATTATTTCATCAGTTCCGAAACCCATCAGAAACTATAATATTAACGCTATAATAATAGATCCATATGAATGTTTGCATAAACATTTTGCTCAAGGATAGAGTATAGCAGTTAATTTTACTAAACATTTTTGCAAAACAGCAGGCTTTAAATGGAAGGTGGGCCAAATCCAAACCAAGGAAAACAACAATGACATATCTTAGCTGCTACACAAATATCACACTGTTGTTGTCAAAATAAATACACACCAAATAGGAATAACGAAGGATGCTAAGACTTGCACACAGCAACTGGATAGGATAAAATCTATCAACTTGAAGGACTAGACAACCTATGTACAAATTAAAATATCTTTATTACATAAAAAAAACAAATTTGTTTAAAATACATGTAAATAGCTTTTGGGAATGATATTCACATCAACATTCAAGTATAATGTTGAGACCAAGCAGTCCTCTAAACCTAAAGAATTCCATATAAATGAAGGGAATTGTCTTTTTTGAAATGAATAAAGATAATTATATTCAATATTTTCTAATCTGGAATTTAACAAAGGGCTTACTGGAGACTGCTTGACCAAGTTTTCTCTCATGACCAGGGATTCTTTCCTGTTTCGTTTGAATCTATAAAATGTTAAATGTGTGTTAGTGCATATGATAATGCAGGCATCAGTTAGTATGTGAACAGGACTCATATTGACACGCAGACATAAGATTGAACCTACAGAAAAAGCCAACATACATGAAACTCAAATAACAAGTACAAATTCTTAGGATAAAACTGCGGAGAAAGGAAAATAATAACTTAATCCAAGGATAGAAACCGGCAGAAATACCAAACTTGATAAAAAAATACATTTTTATGCCCCATGTTTTCTTACCAGCTTACAAACACTGTCAAAAAAATTATTGGCCTCAAATCACAATATGGACATGGGTATGACATCATACTACTTTGTAAAATATTTTGGGCCCTAGTGAAAGGCTGTGCAGTTAAAAATTGTTCCTAGCTCATGCTGATCATGGAATTGTTCCTGGGCTTCTGTAAGTGTCAATTTTCTGGCAATGGTGAGAAAAAAGTCTATATTGTGTGCTTGTGTAGGAGCAGCCAAAGAAATTATTCTGGAGTACAAAATATAGCGTTTCTGAGAAAGGGTTTGACAAATGGGTGTAGTGGAGGGTCAGTTACCATTGCTGAAAAGAAGCTTTAAATTCTTTTTTTCCATGAAGCCTAAAATTCTTGGCATTCCCTCAAAACTTGCTGACACTTTATATTCGGGATGAAGAAGCCCCAATCGTCCATATCCCACTTGCAATGCATCCAGAATGCACCCGAGAACTTACCTTTATAATGTGATTGCAGATTGGAAGATGAGGCTGACTTTTGGTCAACAGAACCGTCACTAAAATAAATTGGAATATAAAAATGACAAAATTGCACATAAATTTTCTTCAAAATCATTCTCGATCAGTTTGCAAAAATTAATTGCAAGAAAAACACAGGCGAAATAGAAGCATTAAATAATTCGTTCATTTACCACCTAATTCGCCGAAAAGACTTTTGACAAAGATATTACATTGTTGAAAATATTGAAAATAAATACCCTCTTTGATGCTTGTACTCTTTTCTAGCCTTTGATGTTTGTTGTCTTGACTCGAATATGTCCTAAATGCAAACAGCAAGCGAATTCTCATTGGACTAGTTACACAATGGGTTGTTGCAACATGATACAAACAGCCCATAACAATTGGTTGACGTTGAAATACTTCCGAATTTAAACTAGTAAGTACGTACACAGTTCTTAAACACGTTATCATGTAGAATGTGCAGAAAGTTGTTGTGAAAAATATTTAGGTATTAAGATTTCTCGCCAGTAACAAGCGAGCCTGAAGAAAATTCTGAAAGGCTTACCAGGGCAGTGTCCTGAGAACAAGACTCTTTACTGAAACCTACCTTTGACTGTCATGAACACTACTTAATCTAAACGTATTGAAAAAGTTCCTTGAAATCACATACTTGGACATACTATAAAGGACGACATTCAGATGCCAGCTTTCTTTACATCTTCACCCCCCTAAATACCAGGATACTGCCTCTAAATGATAGGGATACTGCCTTTCTTTTTCTTTAGAATTTATTACGCAAATTGAATGAAGCATGGGGTGGGATTAAATTCAATGAAAATTACCTTTAATCGCTTCTGTTCATCTTGGTTGACATAATTTTCATAATTAGATCTTGCGTGTGTTTTCGGTGACTTTCTTCCATCTTTTTGGTCATTTTTTGATTTCTTTTCTTCTTGTGCAGCCTGTTGCACTGGGGGTAGGTGGAAGCTTTCATCGGACGGAAGTTTCCCCATTTGAGCTTCAGGTGACCCAACCCTTGACAAATTAGTTTTCCTCTCTTCAGATGTGCCCCCCTGTGTTTTTTCTGCAGCCATTCTACTGCTGTGTTTTTCTGACGTCATACTTTCAGATACAATCGAGGCCCCGCTCACTTCTCGTAATCTATGCTTCAGTTCACGACTAGTTTTTTTGTAGTAAAACAACTCTCTTTCTAATTCTTGAATTTTTCTTTCCAATGACCTGAAAATAAAGAACGGCACTTGAGGATTGTAGATAGACTAGGAATGATGAAACTGCAGCACAATGTCCTGAAAATAAAGAGCGACACTTGAGGATTGTAGGTGGACTAAGAATGAATAATCTGCAGCACAATGTCCTGGAAATAAAGAAGGGAGCAGCACAATTGACTGCATTGAGAAGAGGATTCATTTGTGTATGCTAAAGCATTCAACTAAACTAAAAATGAAGATATCTGGGAATGTTGTCAATAGCAACAAAGCGGCAGCATAGAGTGACTGGGGCGTGCAGTTAGAAGGATAATGCTTCAACGATTCCGCTTCAACGATTCCGCTTCAACGACTTGAAGGTGGAGCAAATACAACGTTGGTCGAACCTTCTGTAATACTTCTAACATAAATATAACGACATTGTTTATAGATAAATGACAGTTTATAAAGTAAGAACCCTTTACCTGACAACCTCGTTGGATGATTGTCCTTTAACTAAATTGTTAACTTTTTCGATCAAAAATTGAATTTCCTTCTCGTGATCTTTTTCAAGTTCTGTTAGCTTCCTTTCAGCTCTTGCCTCCATTTGAACAAGAGAGTGTTGCAATTCCTGTGCAAATTTTTCCTTCTCTCTAAGTTCTATTTCTAGTTCATCTCGCATTTCCATCATTTTCCTTTCCGCCTCTTTCAGCTCTATCACTCGTTCAAAATACTTCTGCAGCAGACCCTTTATTTCCACTGCACTTAGCTCTTGTACCATCTCCATCAATCTTCCAACAACAACTTCATTGTCAGGCTTTATCCCAAAACTGTTTTCTTTGTTCTCAATAATTTCATTTTTAAAGTCAATAGCCATCTCAAGTGCCTCAACAGCTTCAACAAGCTCAATCAAATGCCTCTCCTCTGTTGGTTCTAAAATCTCATTGCCTTCCAGTTTCAGCTCAAGATCCTTTCTTTGCTGATCAAGTTCCTCTTTTCTTCTTAGAAGTCTGTTTACATCTTCTTGGAATCTTGCCTTGTCTTTAGCAATAATTGAGGCACGTTTGGCGTCCGAAATTGCTTTTTGCACGTCGTCTAGTTGCACGGAAAGCCTCACAATATCCTACGCGAAGATCAAAGCAAATTAGCAATAAACATCCGAAGTCTCCATTGATAGCTTGACATTGCTATTCATACTGTCATCAGTGACTAAAGTCATGAGTGACTAATGCATGTCCTTACCGTAAATCCTAAAATGAACCCCTTGTGGGCTTATTCGAGGGCGAGGTTTTATACAAGGAGTGCTAATAAAAATTATCTCAAAGTTACAATCAAAATGGCTAGCTTACTGTTCTGTAGCTTTTTTACAAAAGTTCATTTCATTTACAATTTCCCCCTTCATATTTTATTCTAAAATATTAAACCAAAGTATACATCGAGCACTAAAAGATCTTTCAGTCGTATTTCAATTAAAACCACATTGGGGGCTTATTAAACGACAAATTTGGCATGCTATGCTTATTCAAGGGTAGGGTTTTTTTAAAATACATTCTCTTCCAGGGCAGGGGCTTATTCAGGGAGGATTTATTTGGGGGGGGGCAATCGAAGATTTACGGTAATAACAAAAGTCAACCGTCCGCACGACGACCCTTCTCATATGCTTGAGAAAATTGGTTCACTGCCCTTCAAGTACATTTTTCTAGGGTTGGAATCTTTTTCTGTGAACATAAAACCTTGTGTCAATGATTTGATCTAAAGGCAGACAATTGTCTCCAGAAAAATGTTAATTTTAAGGGTTCCTCCAGGCCTTAAAAAATTAAAGAAAAGAAAGGATATGGAATTACACGACACAGGAGGGCGCACAAGAAAAGATATGAATTACACGACAAAGAAGAGCGTACCTGGTTTAGAATCTGACTGGATCGGACTTTTTTCATTTCAAGTTTATACTTCTCTTTTAATAGATCTTCTTTCTTTCGGATTATTTCTTCTCTTTTCTTTAGATCTCTATCAAGCTCTTCAATTTTTTGCTTTTCTTTTACTATCTTATCAATTTCTTCGTCAATCTTTTCCCTTTTAACATCTAATTCGTCCTTTACCTCCCTGTCAAAAACAAAACAGTCATCTAAATCTTTGGCAAAATAAACAAAAATTTTAGGTGAAACTTCAATCGATAGTACGTAAGCATAAACTTTTAAACCCACTTCCTTAAACCCTGGCCAAATATTCCGAACATTTCACAATGCTACACTCAAAATGATGTTCAGGGAAAGTGTGATCCCTTTGACCACTTGTTTGGTTATCAAATCACATTCGATAACATTTGACGCCGTTCGATGGCGCTCAAAATCTTCCAGGGTTCTAAATGTTCGGTGAAACGTTAGCATTGTTTGACCACCTTTCTAAACATATCATTTTACACCTTGCGATGGTGCGACTGGGCATGATGGAAAGTTCAATGAAATGTTCGAAGCATCTGAACATCTTTCAATCGAGCATTGAAAACAATACCACAATAAATCAAAATAAAGCCAAAATAAAGCCAAAGCTCGTACTGCTCATGCGCATTGCTTCCAGCTCGCAATTTCCTCTGGGCAGTTAACGCCTCTTCTGTTTTTCTCTTCAATAGCTTTGATTGTTGATCAGTCTTCATTTCCAATTCTTTAATCCTGTGTTCACCTTTGGTCAAATCCTGCTCTAACTTTGACTTTTCTTCCGACTCTTGCTTCAGTTTTTTTGCCATGCGGTCATAATGGTTACGCAACCTCTCAATATGGCCCTCTAAATCTTTAATCTTTCTGTCCCCCTTATTTCTAAATTCGTCCAATAAATTAGCCTCAGTCCTCTTGCTTTCAAGTGCTGATACCTTAGTTTCAACAGCTTTCAGTTTCTTTTTGTATTCCCTTTCCAGTTTTTGTTTACTGGTCCCCTCCTTCTCAACGCTGTCTAGCTTTGACCTTGCCTCCTCTAGATCTTTCTTCGCTTGTTCCGTCTCTTTCTCCAAATGCTTCAATTTCTCCTTGTACTGGTTATTTAGTTCCTGCTTTTCTCGATCACCAACTATCAACTCTTTAATGAGCTCCTCCTTTTGCCTAGAAAAGACACAGCAAGTTTGGCATGGCAAGAATTGTTTGGCATAGCAAGATAGTAATGCAAACGGCATAGCAAGATTGTGACGGAAATAAAACAACAAGATGGTAAAGCAAAAAGCAAGATTGTGGTGAGTTTTCTCAGAAAGTTGCAAAAAAGATGATGTTGTGAAGAGAAATGGTATAAAAGACTGCCTTCGGGATCCTCGGAATAGTTCTTATCTCGGTTTGAAATGAAAGAGAATAAGGCAAAAAAATCGCAAATCAGGAAGACACTCTCAGAATCAGGAAGATATTTGGCCTTACAAATCACTCTCGTAAAGTATAAAATGACTGTCTTGCAGTCGAATGCCGAACTAAGCTTAGCATACGTGACCAACAAATCAAATTCCATTGCAAGAAAGAGTTGTCTCTAAGAACTAACTCGATGTTCCCTTGTAAATTCAGCAACTTTTGCCTTGCGTCCTTCAGGTCCAATTCCACATTCCGCAATTTCCGTTTCGTGTTTTCAGAGGTTTGAGGTGCTTTCCCCGCAACCTCGTTCTGATTGCTAGGTGTACGTCTAACAGGCAGCTTCGATGGTGTCATGGAAGCCAATGGCCTGTTCACTCCCTGCGAAAGAAAAATTAAAAATTTGCTTTCTAGTAGAAAAAACCGATAGTGGAATTTCACGAAACGCCAACATTTTTATTATGATTCCTAATAGATGCCTTCAACTACTGCTCATTCAACAACAAACAACAAACGGTATAAATTGCATACGAGGATCACTGTAAGGGCAAGAGAGACTTATTCAGAACGTCTTTTCTGCAATTGCCAGAACAGCACATGTCATGATCACCACTCAATGCTTTCAACTACTGTACACGCACAATACAGCAGTTCGGAGCATTGTTACCCTGAATCAAAAAGGAGAGCTTGCAACGAATCCAGGTCTTTTCATACAGTTTAGTTTGCTCATCTTAGGCTTTGTTTGTGGCTAGAGGGTTGAATGGTCTTTGAGGTTTTCTAGCTGTTTGATCGTTTTTGTTTTAAAGAGCCTATTGGAGTCATTGTAGGCTTTGAATGTTTTCAAATGGTTTTTATACTAAACAAACATAACATAAATATCAATTTTGTACATATCAACTTAATCAAATGTTGCCTTTTTCAAAAAGGAATTTCCTTACTGCTATTCACTAAATTGGAATATTTCAGTTCCATTCGGCAGTATACACAGCTAAAGCTGAAAGCAGTCACGGGAAAAACCATGAAAATGTTCCCCTTAATAATGGCAAAAGGTATACCTTTCTGGGTACATCAAAAGGAAGCTCCTCCCTTGCCGCCACACCTTGGGCATTTGCACTGCTTTCTTTGGTATGATTCCAGAGATTCTGAGGAAATTTAGGAAACGAAGAATGTGCCTTGGTGAAAGTGCTTTTCAGTCCACTAGATAAGAGAAGAAATGGGGTTAAAGCGTAAAGATTTGCAACACAAGTCTTGTTTTATTGTTCAGATAATGAGCGCTTCAACACTTTAATAACCTCTATTCAGGCCCTGTTAATAAATTGCTAGCAAAAATATTCCTTTTGTTAGGAATATATAGATATGTGGAATATATCATTCTACATAGAAAAGAGTTCCTCGATCACTATGACAACAAGTTAAGAAAATTTCCTTGTCATAATTCCTTTTCTTTATCTAACATACACTGCCAAATATTACAAAACAAACATAATATGGCGTTAGGGTGATAACGTACCGATCCGCTCCTTCAGCTTCACTTTCATCTTCTTCCGAACTAACAAAATCATCATGGGAAACTTCATCGATATCTTCATACTTTGAAACCAATAGTTCATTGCGCGCTCGAAAGCTTCTCATCAACTGATCGTCGTCAAACGAGGCATACCTCGTTTTGAACCGTGATAGTGTTGAAGCCCCTCTTTTCTGCAGCCTGGAAGGAGCACTTTTTGGTGGAATCGTTCTTGAATTGTTTCTGATGTCTATTCAAGAAAAGTTTACAAAAATCTTAGAATAAGAAATATTAAGAAGTCACCTCTCCCTCCTGAATATTGGCTTTCTAAACAAGACCTATCGAAACCTATTTTTCGTACGACTTCGAGGATGCTACTTATCGACATTGCTTTTTGGCGAGAGTGGAGCGGGAATGGAAGTCCGGTAAATCCTCTATTCAAGGCCCTGCAGGGGGATTTATCAAGTTTGGGGAAAAAACTAAAAAAGCCGTTTAGAGTTATCAATATATTTATCACTCAGCACATCATTTTTTCGTTACATATCATTTGGCAAATTCTTTAAAAAGATAATTATAATTTCTCAAATCTCACTTTTGTCATCATTTTTGTGACGCAATCTCCCCATTTCATCTTCGTAAGTATGAATTTTCAACTGCTGCTCAAACATTTGCCGTTCTCTCCTCTTTTCACCTTCTGAAATTTCCCGCAGTTTCGCAGCCAAACTCTCCTTTTCATTTTCCAATGCTTGAATTTTGACTTTAAATTCTTCGATTTCATGCGATTTTTCCATTAATATTTCCTGGTCAATGATTTGTCGCCGTGCATCATCCGCCCCCGCAGCCAGCTCCCGTGCAAAGCTCTTGCAGCTCTCCCAGCGTTCTATCCACGTGGCGAGTTTATCCTGGATGTCGTAGGGAGGCATGTCTGAACCATGGAACAATTTGATTAACGAGGCAGCATCGCTGCTCATTGAGCCATACATGTCACAGGTGCTCTTCAATCTGCGAGTTTAAATGCACTGAGAGTTAAATCCAGCGGAGGAATGTAGTGAATCGATTTCTGACGTAGCAAACAACAAAGATGGGCAAACGGTGGAGAATAAGCTTTAGAGAGGCCAGTGGTGTGGCGGTTTTTCAATTAAAATAATCAATTAGAGAAGAAATAGAAACCTTAGTAGAAGGTGGAACTGTGAGATATTTTGCTCATGAAAAGAAATAGACGCGACTCAATTAAGAAGACTAAACCTATGACAAATAACTATTAATTTTCAGCCATCACAGTATAAGCTATCAGTGGTTATTATTATACAGTATTCGATTCTTTCATTTCTCTCTACTCTCCCAACTGCAAATTAAAGCATAGCAAAGTGCAAATATGATAATGGTGATCTCAAAAACAAAGCAACTCTATTCACTGACTGCAATAATGATGACGCTATTCAAAGCAGCAACAGTCCTATACTTCACCTTTCTATTTCTTCTTTTAACTTATCCGAACTTGCAATATCAACGGGTGGTCTTTCAGAGCCTTGTGATGATACGGGTACAGTTTTCTGACGGATTAGCTCTTCGCGCAACACCTACCAAAGGAATCAAATGTATGACTGAACTTTGATTGCAAAAATGAAGAACGTTAGACATTTTACTAGCTACGCGTTAGGTTGTTGATCATCGTTTAGTCAAATGTCCAAAGCGGCGATTCTTTCTCGCCATTTTAGCAAACCATGCAAGAAACCTTGCATGGTAAATAAGATTTTAATTTGAAGTAAGGATACCTGAATCTCGTTTTGCATCTTTGCAAGTTTCGTCGCCTCAACAACTGTGTTTATTATAGGCTTGTTTCGTATGTTCTTCACCTGAAAATTTAATGAAATGCGAACGAATTAACTTTTTAGAGATACACCTTGTTGATGTACTTTTATGGGGCAAAAAATAAGCGTTTGTATTTTTTGTGTACTGAAAAACATAATCTCTAATTAGAATAGCAATTGGACATTAGAGAACGTTGAAAATCTGGACTTGATCTAGTTATATTTGTTAAGTAGCCAGAGAAGAGACAGTGTGTGTTTAGTAGCGAAATATATACATAACCTTTAAGCATTTACACGAAAACTAACATAGCTCAGCAGTAAGCTCGTTAAGAATGTCAAAAGCGATTAATAAGCAATTACGAATGTCATGTGATTGTCATGTGACTCTACTTGACATACTGGGGGCCCGGCGAAAAGCTAATCTAGTAAATTGTCTATTAGCTGCGCGTGAATAGCGTCTCTTGCTACGAAGGCTGCCTTGCGTTGTGGACGGGTATTTTCGTTTGAATGTTCTTCATTATTCTCTGTGCTTTCTTCTGGAGTCGAATGGCTACCCGCTTGCACTTCTAACGGATAGAGCTTGACGATTGAACGAGTGGTACATCCCTTTGATGTGCGCACCACAGCAGCCCTACACAGTGAATCAGCACCAACAATGAGTTCAGTGACAATACCTAGTGGCCAGCGATGTCTAGGGGTGTCTGTGTCTGCAACCAATACCACATCCCCAACATTAACGGTACTGCAAGAGGTACGACGGCCTTTATCGTGAAATGAATGTGTTTCGCGGAGAAACGATAAATATTCCTTGCAGAAACGATCCATAAAGTGATGGTAGAGAACTGATCGACGACGATGCGCGTATGAGATGTTATCATGATCTCCATAGGTTGGGTCTGACAATGTGTCCTCAGCAGAAGGGTGTGGCAATGAGGTGATGCTGAAGCCGAAAAGCAAGTGGCTAGGTGTGAGCGGCTGCAAGTCATTTGCATCAGAATTGACGTATGTTAGAGGACGATCATTCAAAACTGCTTGAATCTCCTTAATTAGGGTTTGTAACTCAGACATCGTAATCAGCGATCGGCCAAGAACTTTTTTAAGCGATGTTTTTGTTAGTCCAATCAATCTCTCGTAGACACCGCCCCAATGGGGACTGCGCGCGGGTATGTAACGGAAAACGATTCGTCTTTGAGCAAAGGCGTGCTGAATACTTTGAGCTTCGAAGAGCGAAAGTAATTGTTGCAAGTCTTTTTCGGCGCGTTTGAATGTTAGAGCGTTATCTGCTAAAATGAAACGCGGTGTCGAAAAAACACTACAATGACGGCGGAATGCCATGAGAAAAGACTCCGTTGTAAGGTCTTCGACGATTTCCAAGCTAATTGCTCGTGAAGTTAGGCAAGTGAATAGGCAAATGTACACCTTGCGAAAGTTCCCATTGATGTCTTTAACAATTAAATGACCGGTAAAATCAACACCAATGTTTGAAAACGGACGGCTAGACGTGTCCACGCGAAATGTTGGCAACTCTGCTGACATAGGAAGCGGGTAATGTCTTCCAGTGACTCTCTTGCATTTAAGACACTTACGAAGTAGGTTGCGTGTTACAGAGCGAGCACTTGGTACCCAGAAACGTTTGCGTAGAGCGACGATCGTACCACCAACACCGATATGATGCAACTGTTGATGATTATCAAGAATCAGCAAGTCAGTAAAACGTGAATGCTGCGGCAAAAGAATCAATGAAGAGTCGAAATCAAACCGACCCTTGGTGCGAATGATTCCCTTTTCATCGAGAAACAAATTAAGCTGACGAACAATGGCTGGTGCATGTTCAAAGCTTGAGCTAGAAGACGATGTTAAATATGTAAGTACTGTTGCATAGTGTTGATGCTGTTGAGAAAGAATCCATTCTAGCTCTGCTGTTTCGAGTTCAGCAGTCGAGGGCGGTTCCTTTATCCTTGTGCGCGAGCAAAAACGTCGGACGTAAACGGTTGACGCTAAAAGACGAGAGTAGTGATTAAAACGCTCTAGCTCGATAACGTTGCACACACTTGGACGTATTAACGTTTCGGAGAGTTGCTGTTCAGCAACAGCAATGAGTGTTGTTATAGTGGGCGGCTGTGCCTTAGGCCATTTAGGCCACAAAGCTTCTTCGGTAATCCAAGATGGACCCTGACTCCACAGCGGTGATCTTTGTAAAGACTGTGCCGAGCAACCTCTTGAGACTATATCTGCAGGGTTCTCGTCCGAGGCTGTATGGCCCCAGAGAGACGAATCGAAGAGCCTGTTGATAGCATCTACTTTATTTTGTACGAACTGCTTTAACTTGCGTGTAGATGACAACCAGTATAGGGAAATTTCTGAGTCTGTCCACAAATGAACGTGAATACACGAGAATTCCTTTTTCAGAATTGCGAGTAGGTTGTTGCAAAATTGCGCCCCTATTAACATAGCACTTAACTCTAATTGAGGAATTGTGAGACCTTTTTTCCCTCTTGGCGCTAATTTCGATTTAGAACCTACGAGGGTGCATTGGGTTCCCTGACTTATGTACGCGACCGCGCCCATAACAGATTTACTTGCATCTGCAAAAACATGCAGATAAATAGGCCGAGAATTGTCGAAGTCTGCCCATCGTGGAAACTGAAAACGGGAGGCAATATTGAGCTCGTGTTCGATATTTTTCCAGCCTTTCGCTTTGGCAGGGGGTAAGGGCTGGTCCCAGCCAAATTTTTCATCCCAGAGCTCAGCAATAAAGAGGCGAGCGAGAATGCACACGGGCAAAACTAAACCAAGTGGGTCGAATAGTTGACTAGCAATACTTAATACTTTACGTTTTGTCAGAGATTCAATGGGCGAATCGAAATTTTTCACTGGAAAGTTAATACAATCCTTTGAAGCATCCCACTGTAGGCCTAGTAGAGAATTAGCCTGCGATTTAATACCAGTGTTATTAGAACTGATTTGGTCTTGCAATGCTTTCGAATTAGTTGACCACTGACGTAGAACGAAATGACCTTCATGCATTATTTCGCGCGCTTTATGGAAATAAGCAATGGCTTCAGCCTCGGTTTGAGCCCCGGAAAGGAGGTTGTCTACGTATAATTTCTGACTAATATCAACAGCTACGGGGTGGCTATATTTCTGCAAATGTTCAAGCAACACAGCACCAAGAGACATTGGACTGCTTGTATGGCCGAAAACGATGGTTGTATATGTATATACACAAATTTCTTTTGTTGGATCATTGTCTTTATACCAAAGAAAACGCACGAAGGGCCTATCTTCCTCCTTGAGTTTGATATTAAGAAAGGCGCGTTGAATATCAGCCACAAATGCATACTGCGGGAAACGAAATCTGACGAGAAGTTCGAGCAGATTATTGAGAAGACACGGGCCAGTGTAAAGACAGTCATTTAGACTGACTTTACCTGCGTTCGCTGCGAAAACTATCCTGAGAGGTGTAGTTTCAGAATCTTTGAGGACGAAAAAATGGGGCAAGTAGTGACATCCCTCCTCGGGCCAAGGTTCATCTAAATCACGTAATTCCTCTATGTACCCCTTACTTAAATGCTCTGCCATAACTTTACGATACGTGTCCATAAGATTGAGTTTAGTTAAACGCGCTGTTACTTGATCTAAACGCTTTTTACAAAGTTCCAGATTAGACGGTAAGGGCGGGTGGTTTGTTTTCCAAGGCAATGGGGCAAAGTACTGCCCGTCACGAAATTCAATCTGCTTTCGGTAACCATGGAGAAAGTTATTTTCTGGCTTGTCGTTTTCAGGGTCACTAACAAATTGACCTTGAAAAAGTCGATCGACTTGAATAAGCAAACTTTCATTGTCAACAAGATTTTGAAAAGAGACATTTTGGCTAGAATCGTTATCTTCGCACAACACATCAATGCACTTTGTAACTACATCGGAATCTTTAATAGCGTGATTATCAATAATAGCAGTAGTAAGCATCGCGTTTTGTGGCCAAGGGCCATAAAGGACGTCACCGAAATGTGATTCCTGGATTAATGGCTGCGAATTATCTTGAATAATTTCCCCAAGAAAACGATAAGCGGCATCAGCACCCAAAAGAATATCAACTGCAAATTTATCTTCTTCAAAGTCGTTTGCCAAAGTTAACCCTTGAAGACGGGGGTGCGATTTGAATTGCGAATACCCAGAGTGATCTAGAGGCTGAACAATTTCCTCAGTAATTAAAACGCGTACGTGTTCGATACCTTGTGGGGTTTCCAAGCCAATTTCTGTTACCCCATAATTATGTTGGGTTACTGTCCCTCCAAAACCTGACACAGATAATAATTCGCAAGAAATTGGGTTTAGGCCTAATTGAGATGCAAAGCCTGACCTGACGTAGCTGCGCTGCGAACCTTCATCGAAAAATATTCTCGCTGCAAGTTTCTTATCGCTGGAAACAGCAACCCCTTTAGCAGTTTTCAAAAGTATAACATTTGCGGCGTTGCTTGCTACGGTTGTTTGTTCAGAAGCAATTTCAGGCGAAATGTTAGCCTTAGCATCTGTAGTAAACTTGTACGTTGTTTCATCATTACTAGATACATCAACAACATTAACGACAGAGTTAGGTTTATGCGAATAGGAATCAATTTCATCAACGTTGAACATAGTCGAAATTACTGGCGAAACAGAACAACAATTTGTTACGATTTGTTGTGATGGCGTAATGGATGTCGTTTGCGTGTCATTGGTGGTGAATTGTGACGAGGATGACTCATTTTTGACTACAGAAACGTGTGCGTTTGTTCGTGACTTGCTTGGACTAGCATTTCGTGGAGGTTGAACGTTAGAATTAGACTGGTAAATTTGCACCCCGTGAATGCTTGTGTGGTGCTTTCCCTTACACTTGGAACAACGACCCCTCGAATTACATTGAGAAACAGAGTGTCCCGAGCCTAAACAGTTAAAGCAAAGCCTTTTACGGATAATAGTTGCCCTTTTCTCGGATGCGGACTGGGAACAACGCTGGGTGTTATGTGGGCCAGTGCAAAATTGGCAACGTAAATCGCTAGATGCAACCAAAGTGCTTGTGACAGACGGGGGTTCGTAAATTTCATGTCTTGCCACGGGCTGAAGAACTTGTGATTGTTCCTCTTTGGCAAGAAACTTTTTGAAATTTTCAACAAACAATTGCAAGTTGAAATAGGATTCTTCTCCACAGTCTCCTATGGCACTACGAGCTTTAACAGGTAACTTCTCTTCAATAATCGGAATTATGAAAGGAGCACAAGCTGCGACATTAACGTTTAAGGCTTCTAAAGAACGAATGTCCCCCATAACTGAATTGTAAAACTGGCGAATACTAGCGGCAAAGGGCGTGGGCTTTGGCATTTTGAGAAGATTCATTATGTGGGCCCGAATTATACGTCTGGGGAGACCGAAATTCTCCTTTAGCATTTCTTCTAAAACTCCGTAATTTAGTTCGGAGGGTATTATCCCTTTAACAGTATCTAAAGCTTCTCCCCTTAGTTGACCCACTAAATACGTGAACTTTGCAGTGTTAGGCAGGTCTGGAGAGTTCCCAACTTGTGACTGGAAACGTTCCCAAAAGCCAAACCATTCGGTAATATTCCCATCAAAGGTTGGAAGGTTAAGATCGGGCAATTTTGATCGAGAAAATGACTGTGAATGATGTGGCTGTGAATTGGTTGTGGATAGCTTATCAAATTTCGTTAGAAGAAATTCAATTTTATCGATTTTACCTTCTATTTCCATGGCAAATACCTCAGCTTCATCGCAAAAGTCGTCGAGTTCGGCTTCATCTTCTAATTCCTCGAACAAAATGCTTCGTAGCTCCTTTTCAATTGCGATACTTTCCAACTGCTTTGCCTTTAACGCTTTAAATGATGATGTTAAAGAACGAATTTCTTCCTCTTGTAAACGCGGTACGCTGAAAAGCGTCGAAGCTTCGCTGTGTATCTTCGTGAACGAACGGCGAATCTGCCTCCTCTCCTGTTTCAACTTCTCTAACTTCGATTTGGGCATTGTTACGAATGCTTGAAAACTTTCACAGCAGCGAAAGAACGAAAACGAAACGTAGACGGACAATCCTGGTTACGGCACCAATTTGTTAAGTAGCCAGAGAAGAGACAGTGTGTGTTTAGTAGCGAAATATATACATAACCTTTAAGCATTTACACGAAAACTAACATAGCTCAGCAGTAAGCTCGTTAAGAATGTCAAAAGCGATTAATAAGCAATTACGAATGTCATGTGATTGTCATGTGACTCTACTTGACAATATTCGGCTATGTAAAATTATGTCCAGTTATACCCAGTCACGCCCTGGCTTAAAACCCAAAGTTGGGCAAACTGATTTGGGTGAATTGAACCGAGAGCTTGATGTAGAGATAGCAACAGGAATATTTAGAGAAATACATATTGTAGTACCCGTGTGGTTTCCTTACCCTTGTGGCATATTTCAAAGAATTAAGATTTTCATCGATATCTGATGAGCAGGAGCTTAAGCATGCTATCATCAAAGTCCTGCTGTTCCCTCCAAGAGAATCCTTCAAAAGTCGTGTCAGCTTGCTTTGCCTGTATGGGACATGCTGCTGCCTTCTTCTGGGGTCAGACAACGCCGATATCACATTGCCCAAAGCAAGTAGGCCGCCATTTATTGAAATTGATTCACGGAATCTTTCACCCTGGTTTCCTGTACGGTGACTCCTCTCTGATCCCGCTAAGTCCACAAAATGGAACCTTGCTGTTGTTACTGACTCGCTGACTGAAAGAAATGGCCACATGATTATGAATAGCCAGTTCAAGCTCACCATGAAATAAGGAGAAAAACCAGCACGTGGAGAGGAAAAGCAAACCTATAATACACTTACAGTTTGCTTGATTGTCGATTTCCTCTCTTAACATAGGATGGCGTTCTACAAAAAATTAGTTTAATTCATTTCAATGTAGAGAAGATCTGTAAAGTTTAAGGCAACAAATTCAAAATTTGCAAAAAAACTTCTCCTAACATAAAGTTGATGACTTCATTTCGTACTTTGGAAAAGAAAATTTTGTCTAAAGAAGCAGATCGTAGATAACCATAAAAAAGAAGTGGTTATTTCAGAGTTTTGGGGAAAGTGTTTGAAAAACTCATGTTTTTAAACAAATGATACAATGAATTGATTGAAGCACTTGCTCACCAATAGCAATTGTAAATATGCAATGTGATCGGCTAGAATACTCGTTCATCTGCGTTGATGCAGTGTGGCGTAAAGATGCTCCAGAATCAAGACATGACATGACGTCATCCAGACTGTGAACTGTCTCCTCTCTCAGGCCAGCAACAACTAGAAGACACAGGCAGATAAAGTTAGGGGTGATATCATCTAAACAATGAAGATAGCTTCAAGGAAACAATGGTTTAGTTAAAAGAACTGATAAAAACATGAAACCTTACTGGTATTGCCCTTTTCATCTTCTCTTATATGAAGATCTTTGCCATCCCCTTGGAATTCTAGCAAATCCTTAACTTCTTCCTTGTATATTTCAATGAATGATACCTTCAGTCGATACAAAGCTCCTTTGCTCCGTTCCTGAAACCAAACAAATGCATATCTAGACAAGCAAATTTTTAAACATATTCAAGAAAAACCTAACATATTAAATCAGATTTGAACGGATCTGTAAATTGCAATCAACAAAAAAGTCAAGTAAATGGGTATAACTTGATGCGATACATTTCGATACATTCTTCAGGAGAGAAATAGTGCAAATAAGACCCAAGTTATTGGGTCTGACCAGGACTTCTTAAGGACTCTAAATGGTTTATTGTCCTAAGATTCTAAACAAGGTTTTCAGATATGAATGAAATCATCAATACAGAAAAACAATGCTTTAGAAAGTCAACAGTCAAGCCATTACGACTTCATAAGCAACTTGACATGTCTGCTGTACGGACCACTAATGGTTTGTACTACCACTTTATGTCCTGTCTATGGCAGGCAAAACATCTTTTTTTGAGAGCAGTATTCAACCCTCGCAAATAAGTTGGGAGAACACAGGTGACCAACCACATGAAACAAAAACGTCAGAGATGTTGGAGTGTATGTGATAGTATACAGATACAATTTGAAATCAAAACATATTCTAAAATGTATAAAAAATTATTAAAATCTAGCATAATTTATGCAAATGAAAATGCAAATAGCACTGGTATGCAGTACTGTTAGATCATAAAAATACCTCAATAATTTTGAATATATCATTTATTGCTCTTGGCAGAATTCCAATTTCTTCATCAAGCAAAGCACAGTTGCTACCTGTCCCCATTGTATATGTTTTGCCAGAACCCTGCAATATTAAAAATGTTATGCTCATAGACTTTTATAAGATGAAACGATATATTACTAGATATGTCCAAACATCTTCAGAATTTTACTTATTTTATGAATAGGCAAATTGAGCTCACTATTTCAAAGCAACGGAGGTATTGACATGTAAACTAAACTCTTAGAATGATTCTGTAAATGTCATCATTTACACCTTCACTTTTTGACTTTGGGAAGTCTGGCTGTTTTCTCACTCTTGCAAAAAACCCTGTACCAGTTATGCTATAGATACAGCTAGACAATGTTTTCATACAAAGCAACATAAATTTACAGCTAAATTTGCATTATATGCAACCAGAAAAGCAAATCTTAGTGAAAAAATTTACATTAGCGGCAAATAAATTTTACTCACAGTCTGTCCATATGCAAATACTGTGGCATTATAACCATCAATGCAATTTTCCACAAGTTGACAAACACAGCTTTTGTATACTTCATCCTTTGAAATAGAATCATTTCAAAAAGGGCTAAGCAACTCTTCAAGAGCTTCTATTACATAAAATGAGATGATTCAGCAAACAATTTTAATATAATGTCAGAAAGATTAATTGCAAAGTTAAGCCAATTGCTACATAACTTTGATCCCCCTAATCTTCTCCAAAAAAATTGGTGACCTCCAGTAGAGCCTAAGCATTTGGCCTAAATATCTATGGTTATCCACAAATATCTGAAAAATAGGCTTTGGATTTGTTTGATGCAAGTGTACTGCTTGTTCAGATTACCAATAGACAAAAAAATTCACAAAAAAGACTAAAAATTTGAATAGACAGCTCATAGTGTGGAAATTGCAAAAGAAATTCATTTTGAAGGAGTTAATGGGAAAAAGGAAGGAGGAGTTGGTGGCAGAAGTCTGATGGAGATTGAAGGGGCCAAAATGCATTTAAATAACAATGTTGCTATATTATCTATTGACAATTTTTAGATCTAAACAGTGTGTACTTTACAGCATTTGGTTCTATACAATATATCAAATCCTACAAAATTCAAACGCTCCACAATATAAATATTTCTTTGTGATTTGTGATTTAAATGAATTTGTCTCAGGAATGATTAAACTACTGAATTATCAAAAAGTGAATGCAATATGCATAAAAATTATCAATGTAAGCATGATCTTTATATAAGGCCAAACCTGTGTTACATCTGGCTTGAAAACATGGTCAAATTTGAACCCCCTGTTTTTGCCAAGTATCAAATGAGGCTTGCCATTTACATATGAAATACATTCTTCCTCATGAAGAAGCTTTTCTTGGCCAACCAAGGGTCGTACCTGTGGAAAAGTGAATGCCGAGAGGAATTAAGAGAATTTGATAAATATTTTGAAAATAATTCCTCACATTTAATAAAACTCAGAAATTTTGAAGGAACTGGAAAAACAGTTTTTGCTTGTAGAAACAGTATTTTGATCTATGTAACTCTACAAGAATGATTCAACAGGTGCTGATTTTTAAAAGAAGCCAAACTGATTCTCAGCATCATTGACCCTTTTTGTCATTCTTACAATTCTACCATGAGAAAAAAGCAAGCAATATGCTACCTACCATTCAATAATGTTATAGAGATATTGTAGTGATTCAATTTAGGCCATTTTAGACAATTCATCATTACTTTACTTTTTAAGCACATCCTTTCCTTTGTATAACACTTAAATTAAATTTGCTAGTTTTCTAAATCAATACCCACTTTTGTAGACAATAATCAGTCAGTAGAAATCATGTTACACATTGCATAAAGAGTTTGCATCTCTCTGGCTTTGTGTCCTCTGCACGTTAAATAAGAATGCACTGGTTGGAAACAGCATGTTTGTCGTCTAATGGACATTTTAGTCAATCATGGATCCATGTTCCGTTGAACACTCAAATATCAGGCTTCTATATAAGCTCTGGTAATCCTAATATTTACTTAAATAGCTCCAAATATTCAACCTTGTTTGATGCTCAGGCATACCACAAAGTTATAGTTACTTTCTTTGTGTTCAAGTAGCACACATTCATGAAAAACAAATTGAAATGTATTACAACATTGGATATTTTCAGAGCCATAATGGAAAATATAAAAGCCTCAGTCTAACAAAGGGATGATTTGCAATGTGCACAAAAACAACAGGGCAAAAAGTGAAAATGTTCATCGATTGTTTTATCAATATGCATAACAATAAACTCGAAAAATTTTACCCGTATTGCTACAGCAATAGGAACTTCTTGCATTATTCCTGAAATCGTGTATGGATTAGGACATCGTAACGTTAAACGGACGTAAAGATCACCATCGAACAAATTCCGATGCCATGTTTGTCTCTCATTTTACAGCAGCTGCTTGCAAGGCAGAAAGCATTCCATTTAAAAGCAACGATTCCAATTTGTAAAATGTTGTTTGCTTTTTCTTTACTTCAACAAGAATAAAGAACAGAGATATCTTGATAACTTTTGCAACTTTTCTGAGTAACTACTTACTTAGTCCCTCCAACGTCTCCTGACGACAGACCAGTTCCTAGAGACGATTTGATGACTCGATTGCATGTTGGACCGTCGCCTCGTCTCTGATTTAGAAATAAGAAAGATGGCAGTCGCCATTGAATGTTGAAAACAGCAGCAAGTTTTGAAACATGTCGTTAAGCAGCGACCTTGAAGAGAGAATTTTAGACGCTCTTCGCACATCCCAAACTGCAATCGTGACACACCAACTTAGCAAGAATGTTGGTCTTGTTTCTGCTAAAGATGTGAACCCAACTTTATATTCTTTGGAGAAACGTGGCTTGATTAAGAAGGTTACAACTGAGAATAATCAAGTTGGATGGCAAATTGCCAAAAATGATCACCTTGAAGCTGCTGCTGGAATAGCAGTTAAAAATCAGTTACATTTATTTCCCGGCAATGAGACAGAAACTGGACCATCTGCAAAATGTTCAAAGCATGAAAAAGAGCTGAGCAGATCAGTTGCCCATGATATGGATGTAGATGCACCAGTTCAGGACGTAAAAAAAGAACAGGTCAAACATAGACAGGGAGGATGGGATCAAAGAGAAAATATTTTTGGCTTATCTAGCCAACTGTTGCCAGTTGCACCAGATTCAGCAATGACCCAAAGATTTGTTGTTCCTAAAGCACCACATGAGATGATAAAGCCATCTGGTAGGAGGACTAAAATTTTGGCAAATGCTTTGCATAGAGATACAACAAATCATGGGAGTACCAGGCTTCAAATGAGTCAAATTTCAACCAGCCAAGAGATGCCTGGTGCCTCTCATGTTCAGCATGGTTCTTCTTATGGTAAAAGAAGGTATGAACATTCTGATTCTTCAGCTTTTATTTATCCAGCTGAGCATCAGCAAGGACTGTCTTCTGAGGGATTCCATCAAGTAGAAAGGGGCACGTCAGATCAAAGGATGGAAGAAGCTATATTGGCTTGCCTCCAGCAATTCAACAGGCCTTATTCAACACTAGAACTTGCACGCGCTGTCAATAAAAAAACCAAGACAGAGGTAAATCCAGTTTTGTATGACATGCAGAGAAGAGGACTGATAATCAAGACAACCATGCAACCACCTGCTTGGAAGTTAGCCCCATATGATGTCTGTCAAAATGTTCAAAAGTTTGATGAAACACCCAGATTGCACCAACATATATCATCTACCTGTATTCCAAGAAATCCTGTAGAAGCCTCTATCGATGAGCAATACAGTGTCAACCAAAGCACAAGAGAAAAAATACCAAGACAGCTCTCCTGGCCTTCAAGTGAAGAAGTCAGCACTGCCTTGAAGTATTCTCAATGCCAAAATGAAAATCCTGTTTTACCTGTACAAAGTTCTGAACCAAGCAAGGAGTTTTCTGAAATAAGCTTTACAGCACTGAGTAAAAACCCTGTCAGCGCTATCAATGAGTTTGCACAGCGAAATCAGCAACCAATTTCCTTTGAGATTTTACATGAAGGAAAAGGTGGGAAAAACAGATTTTTAGTTGCTGTTAAATTGAATGGGAGAATGTATGATGCTGTTTCAGCTCCAAATATAAAAGAAGCTAGGCGGGAAGCAGCAGATGTTGCATTGAGAGAAATTTTAAGCAGGGAATCAATAACACAAAATAACACAAAAAATATTGATGGATTAAGCAGAACACATTTTGACAACATTGCTGCTTTAAGCCATCAAACATTTATCAAGATATCATCAGAAATAAAAGAGAAATTTGCTGGAAGAAAAGTAATTGCAGCTTTGGTTATGAAAACCTATGAAGATCAAACTGGGGTAGTTGTTAGTATTGGGGCAGGCAATAGATGTATAACAGGAGATAGATTAACTCTTGAAGGAATGACTGTCAATGATTCTCATGCTGAAATAATCTGCCGAAGGGCCTTTCTTGCTTTTCTGTATTCAGAGCTAGATCAGTTTTACAAAAATGAAAACTCTGTTTTTGAAAATGGAGGAGTAGATGGAAAACTGCAGGTAAAGGATGGCATCACATGGCATTTATACATTAGCACTGCTCCATGTGGAGATTCTGCTCTCTTTTCACCTCGTGAATGTGAAACTATTAAAACTATCCCCACACGTGATCATTCTCCCCTATATACATCTAAACAACAAGGTCTTCTACGCACAAAGATTGAAGATGGAGAGGGGACTATACCAATAGATGAAAATGATGGGCCTCAAACATGGGATGGTATTGTTCGTGGAAAACGACTTCGTACAATGTCATGCTCTGACAAAGTGTGCAGGTGGAATATCCTGGGCTTACAAGGAGCCCTCCTCAGTCACTTGATTGAGCCTGTTTACCTTGATTCATTGACACTTGGTTACCTTTATGAACATGGGCATTTGTCTAGGGCGGTGTGCTGCCGTCTTGATAAAAATTCAAGAATTGATGATCAACTCCCAATTCCATTTTCACTTAACCATCCATGGATTGGGCGAGTGTCTGCTTACAGCCCACACAGAGAGACTGAGAAAACAAATAACCTCAGTATCAACTGGTTTCTAGGGAGCCCTGGGGTAGAGGTAACAGATGGTAGAACAGGTGCCTGTCTGACACGCACATCAAATGCACCAACACCCTCAAGATTGTGCAAAGCTAAGCTTTATAAATCTTTTAAAGACCTCTGCTTAAAGAGTGTCCATTTAAAGTATCTTGCAGGGTTTGAGACATATAGAGAGGCTAAGGAGAAGGCAGAGACCTTTCAGAAAGCAAAAGATGTAATGATCAACCAGTTGAAAAAGTCAAAGTTTGGCTCTTGGGTAAAAAAACCAAGAGAGCTTGAACTCTTTGATTCATAACTTTTTTTACTATGAAATTTTATATCTAATGCTTATTGAAACTGGCAATTCAGAAAAGTCATGAAAGAAAAAAAACTTCTGACAGACTTTATCTTTTTTTTTCTACAAAGATAAATGCTATGCAATAAATTAGTTTCTGTAACACATACAAACACCCTGCATCTAAACGTTAAGAGCTACAGTGCATGTCATGAATTATTTACACCAAAACGTTTCGTAATTAAAAACTGAATTGAAGCTAGTTTAGTTCCTGTTAAATTTTAAAGCAAGTATCCAGCTTTTATTCCTGGATCATATGTTAAAATGAAATGTATGAAATCATCTGTGGAAAACTTTGAAGTAACTCAGACATGCAGCAATACTAGTATTAAGTTTTTACAATGTCCATTGTTAGTGAATTTCACTATCGGACTGAACTTAGAAAAAAATTCATCGATCAATAAGCCAGTATTTGCGGATCAAAGGAGCCAGCCAAGATCCTTTTTATTTCTCTTGCTAAGAGGATAAGTGGCAGAAAATTAGTACGCTGAGAACTGTAACGCATGTTGAGGTATCTCATTATGAACACCCGGTTTATGGCGCTGTCGTTGCAGCTTAAAAGTTTCATGACGTAAATGCAACAATTGCACAGCTCAAAGCTCTTCGTGTGAATATCTTTCGAAAACTTCCCTCCTTCTTCGATTGGCTGGGTGAGCTGCTTGGAAACGTGTTTTGTCGACTGAACTCTAGAGTGTGAGGAATATTTCAAGATCACAAACATTGATAAGATAGTGTTTCATTGCAAGCCAATTTAGACTAGCCTGCTTATTGTAAACACTTTCGTCTCTAAATCATCTTTCATTAATATTGAAATGTCGCTTTGCGTTCTCCCTGCCTACCGTAGCGGACGGCCTATTCAGCATCTCTTTCTGGTATATTTCAAAGCTACAACTTGAAAATTCAACCCCTATCGGCATCTTTTGTCACATTAAATTTTGTGACAGATTGTCGCGAAACAATGCCAGCTGAGCTAGTTATGACTTCCTAAAGCGGTTAATGAGCAGTTCTCAAATTCAAGTGCACAAATTTCAAAGCAACTCGGTGAAGTTACTAACAAGAACACAAGTTTACTTTGATCGTTATAAAGTCAGTTACAGTTTCAATTTATCAACTTTTTGGCATTACATCAAAAATGCATCAGAGGCGAAAATTTGTTATTTAAGTGGGGAAGGAGGTAAAACTTTTTTTAAAAAAATAAGAACGTTTGCCGACAGAAGCGCTCAAAACTAACAATTTAGCAAAAGCTTGAGGTTCTTCCCCTAAACCCCACAATTTCTGCAACTTTAATGCATCAGAATCGGTTTGACAAAATGCATCATGAATACACTTCGTTCAACAAACGATAATCAACCATAATAGTCTAGTGATTACCTCGACCCACTTAGGCCCTCCAAACAACGTTCCGCCGTTCCCATTTCCACTCGAGTCTGGAAGACTGGACCCGGAAAACTGATCAAATGTAAAGTGAGCACTAATGATCTTTTGGTGCTTAGGCCATTCAAGTCCAGCAAGCTTCATGTACGTCAAAATCTCAGCATCTTTCAACACAACGTGCCAAATTGCAACCTAAGAGTGGGATTGAACGTCGGCTTTAAAAAAGCAAATGATTATTGAAAGTCACTTTCATAAAAGAAATCAAGATTCCCTCCCATACTAATCAAATATCATGGCGTTACCTCGTCAATCTCTCCTTTGAAATAGTTGTTAAGGTTCCTTCCAATATACAAAGCTGCAGTTGGACCCTAAAGGCAAAAAAGCATCAAACATATTTATACATCATCGAGTAATAATTCATAAAGCTACAAACATTTATTCACATCGCCAGTCAAAAACATTGTAAGGGAAAAGTATATTGCAAAAGAAGAATTTACAAAGTTGAATCAGAATAATTTCAATAAAGACTGACGAGCCAGATGGTTGAATAGAAAAGAACGAGATGTGAATCATTACCCATGAAGTTGGTGACACTTGAATCTTCTTTCCTTGTGAAGTTGCATTAAGGAAGATTTCAACTTGATGTTCTGAAATGAAATTTTGAATAAGCTTATTTAAAGGTCTTTTCGTTTACTTTCATTGACCAAGTAGATTGTTTTTGTTACGTGTAGTATGATAGAACTGCTCTATCTAGAAGTTTTTGTTCATCATATCCGGAGTTGGAAAGAACTTCATATTGAAGGTACGAAACATTTTTGTACGAAACACTGTTTAGAGTTGCATATATCAAGAATCGAATTTCACTCACGTTGTGCATCGTAGCGTAGATTAACATGATGCCATGTGTCTACAGAAAGCGTCGTCGTTCCACTGACAATCACCGGCCCTAGCTTTCCATGAACTTTTCTACAAACAGCCATAAAAAACCATCACTAGACCATCAGGTTATGGTTAGAATAAAGCGAAAGATAAGATAATTTCATGCTGTTTGTTGTATTCCGAAAAAGCAGAGAAATGAAACTTAGCATGGAATACCAAAGAAAATTTACACGAGACAGTTAAAAAGTTATTATGGACGTCGTCATGCTTAAGATTTCATATATCCCTAAGCTATGAACGAAATATTTTGCTATCGGATGCTTATAAGCATAAATTACATAATTACAAAGCATAAATTACGATAAAATTGAAGTGGACTTACCCATTAACAAGGTACAAACAAAGTGTTGAATCGAGGCTACAAATGATTGGCATTTCTGTAGCGGGGTATCCAGCGGACAATTTCAACCAAGCACTCAAAGTGAAACTGCAACAGCAATGTTTTATAGTTTTACAAATACCTTCACATTATTTAAAGCAAATGTTCACAGAAATGCCCAATGTTTTTGAACGTTGCTTTCATTATCAGAGTTTGTGTGGTAATAGCGTGAATAGCGCACACAAGCTTTCTATGTCATTGATAATCGTGCGTAAAGATTGAATGTACTTGTAATATGAATCAAACAAACGAATTGTAAAATGCTTGATTACCTTTCGTTTAGGCCAAGTGTGAGGATAGTTGGTAAAGAAACGTAGTCGTCCACTCCGTCAAACAGAAGTGCCTTGTTGTGCCTGTAATCAAATATGCAAAAATCATAGCGATTCGCACTATGCAACTATCTTAAATCTAAGTGATCAACAAACTGCTCGGCTACGAAATTTAATAAAGTCTGACCTGTCTCTGCATCTGGCCTGCACTTTTGACCAAATGACGTCATGTTGGCCGTAGGTATAGAAGCCTAGGCGACCGCCGTTTATTAGTGTATCGTAAATGTAACCAGAATCAGCATAGAGGGAGCTCCCTTGAGTAACTTTCAGCCTACAAAAATGGTATTGGAAATGATAAATTTGTTGTAAGACAAGCATGGAAAGACATGTAAAAGTTAGAATTATGGTTATTTCTACGTTCGTCATATACATTATATAGGACATATAAGATCCTCGATACCAAAAAAGAAGGTCATCAACAAAAAATTTGTAGTTGATTACGAAAAAGGAAAATAGAGCGCACCTCAGTCGTCCCAGTGAGGGTCTTAGTTCGAGATGAAAAGAGTAGGCAGTTTCGTGTTGCCAGCCTCGCATCAAAGGATCGCTCCATAGCATTTGTACCTTGAAAGTAATTCATAGTAGGCTAGTAACCCAGTATCTATTTGCATAACACAAACTTCCCAAACGTCTAAACTACTTGGCAAAAGACGCCAGGAACTAAGTATATTTGAACACTTTTTGAAGTTTCTGCATACCACGCCCAATTGTGTATCGGTTTATCCCGAAAAAAAGTTTATCGCATATTCAAATCTGATGTAATTTGCCACAAACGGTTCACAAAAACAATCACCTGGCATCTTTTCACTAGAACAGGCAAAAATCTTACAACAATCAAGCTTCGCTGTTGCCTTATCATCCCCTGTCTTAAAAAACATTTTAAAGCTTTGTTTTGTATTTAGCTTTAGGACATACAACACTCAGATGCTTCAAGATTCCAATCTACTTCAAAAATGCAGTGTTACCTGTTCGGAGGTATCAGAAGAATGCCAGAGGGCATTGGTAAGCGCAGTTCCTGGGCCAGAATTGCCAGTCTGAATCGAATTCACCAACTGCAAAGATAGGACAGCATTTAAGATCGAAAATCGAAGGAATCTCAACGTGCGAATAAGGAATACCTCCATTGCCTGATTAGAGGTTTATTTACATAGTGCGTAGGGAAACGTTTATTACATCCAGTATCAGCTGTCGGAGAAACTTTTTGAAATTGATCGAAATTTTATCTTCTGACTGGAGCATTTCAACCGATTTAAAAACCATATTTAAAAAAATCAGGCTCAACTTTTCTCTAGCGGTTTCTCTACCCCGAGGTATAAATGTTCTATTGGCAAGACTCGAATGAACCCAGCTCTATTTTATCGTTTCTGGAACTGGATTTAGGGTAGAAGCTGTCAAGGCATCTGAACAATTTTCAAGCAGAAATATTTCACCACATACTCTGATTTGAATTCCTTTAATCCCAGCTTTGTAAGTGTCGTTATTAAGGTTGTTGTTCTTATGTCTCCAAGTCAAGAGGTAAAACTTGGTGTTACTCTGATAGCCAAAAACTATCCCGAAATAATCCTCTCCTTCCTTTGTGTTGACAAACACTGTCCCAGTGAAGTCAATCTCTCCGTATTTCTGTTGACCTAGAATGCCAAAAAGACAGTTGTCAGAGATCAAATCAAGAGCTAAGAATATCACTGTGCAAAACAAAGCACGGAAATTCATTCAAAAAGCAAAGTTCAGACGCTGTCATTTGTAAATTGATAAAAAGTAGTTTTGAATTGGTATAAGATGCTCTTTACCAATTAGCATTACAGGTCGTTTGGTTCTCTGTTTCTGCTCGACATCCATGCCCTGGAAAATTAAGACAATAATTATAAAGAATCGCTCCAAGAAGTCAAAAACGAAATCGATTTGAGAAAAAAATTGATATCAGAGCAGTTTGTCATAATATCATTCAAGGGTAGGTATACAACGAGCAAAATAAATTATTTCAAGCATTTATCCTAGTAAAATGCTTATCATTTGATCGCAATCGTATGAAAGGGGTAGAAAAACATGAAACATGATGTTCTCCACCCCTAATAGAATCCTCAAGCGATGACATCGCGTGATTGAATTTTGATCCCATTTCCTAAAACAGCTTCATAAAATACCTCTAAATGTGCAAAATCAGTTGAAGGTATTAAGAATTAGTTGAGTTATGGCCACACGAGTGCAGGCTTAGGCCCAATCATACCTCTCTAGTTTGGTCTCTGTTCATAACTTAATGAACAGAGCCAAAATGACAGTAATCCGTTAGCAAAATTCAAATCTTTTATTGGCTATATCCCACCAGTTTTTGAGACATTTAACTCATATTGCATATTTAGTGGCATTTCATGGTGTTCTTTTATGTTATGTGGTCAAAATTAAAAAATTCCAAAAATATATATTTGTTACAACACACTTAGGAACTCTATTCAGAAGATTTTAAAATCATATTTTTGTAAATACAATGTCATTGACAAGAGGATTAGAATATGTTGAATAAGTACCTTGTTTGTGACTCTCCAATTGGGTTGAGGTTCGGTTGATGACGTGGGACTCAAATCGACAAGAAAGTAGTCTTCGAATGAAGTTTTGTGAATATTTGATGTGCTTGGACACGTGTCAATTAGGTTCGCATATCCATCACCATCAAAATCTGCGGCACAATCATCGCCGATGGGATTATCTAGATGGAAATAGGGAATACTTGATCGCTACTAACCTAAATTCCCTACCATCTGGTCTAAAGAGAGATTCTGGTGTCCGAAACATTTTGCGATGAAAGTTCTAAGAAGAATAGTTGAAACGTTACTCTAACCTCAATATGGCACAGAAAAATACATACATTTTGTGTTATCCCTAAACGCTGCTTTAATACAGCAAAGATTTAAGTCTGCTTTAATACAAAAATGTATCATTGAAATCGGCAGAGAAGAAACAAAAAACTGAATAACACGAGAGCTAGAGAGCGGTTCTTCGATCTGGGATAAAAAAAGCACATACTGTTGACGTCATAATTGAGCTTGGTGTGGTTCTGCAGAGGGTTAGCAACGTAGATGCAATTGTCATTTGCATTGAGGACTCCATCGTTGTCCTTATCGTCGTCACAAGCATCACCTGACAAACAATGGGCAAATGAGCACAAAAATGAAGGTAAAGAGAAGACGCTAAAAATATAGGCAAAATCATCTATACTGTTATGTCATAGCTGATAGGTTGAAGGCAGATGAAAAACTAAATTCAAAAAATAGAACTTTTAAACTTGCAGACCTAAACGAAAACCTTGGACAATCTTAGCATGCGAGTCAGGGAGTGGATTAAAGAAGTTGGCCCACCTTTTCCATCTTTATCAGTGTCAACCTGGTCTGGATTTGGAAGGTCCGGGCAATTGTCGAATGAATTCAGAACAGCATCTCCATCACTACAAAATAATATGTGTAAGGGTGGAAACAATAAGAACTTTTGTGTCAATGTCTACATCACACAAAACGTGAGGTATGAATAAAAGTATCATTGATAAATTGACCAGTTACTGCATATTAAAAGAGGTTTGTAGTGACCGTCCAATAAAAGGCTCATCTTTGCATGAAAAGAGAGAATAAGATGATATCACACCTGTCTCCATACAAGGCTGGATCACAAGCATCCCCATAGCCATTCTGGTTCGTATCGGTCTGAAAAACAATCGATTCCTCAAATAAGGTTTTCCTGAGTTTCTTGACAAAATCATCATCATACCACAAAATTATTATAATTTCTGCTATACGAATACATAGGGTAAATATGACAACCTTGGTGCAAATCCTGGGGTTGTTGAAAGTGCTTCCAACACCCAAAGTCACTTGAAAATAGAGAAAGATGGGAGAAAACATGAAAAAGGGAATAAAAGCTTCGTCTTAGTGTGAATGAATAACCTGGGCGGCATTGGACACCGAAGGGCAGTTGTCACACACATCACCAACTCCATCGCTATCACTGTCAGCTGTGTTTGTTGAGTTGACGTATTTGCAATTGTCTGTAGCATTTGCGATTCCTTGAAAAGAAAATTGTAAGAACAAAGCTAGACCCGCTGTTGAGAATTGGAAGGATAACATTCAAAACAATGCTCGACAATTGATAAAGAACAATTGAAAAATAGAAAAGTGCCAACTGCAATGATGACATACCATCGCCGTCCAAATCGGCATCACAAGCATCGCCGATACCATCTTTGTCTGTATCTTTTTGGTCAGGGTTACTGACGTAAACACAGTTATCGCACACGTCACCTACTCCATCTGAATCACTGTCTGCTTGGCTTGTATTAGTCCCAGTGAATGGGCAGTTGTCCTAGGTATGGGATTGCGAGGGATTTCAAGCGAATAAAGTGTACAGCAATTGATTATGAAAGATTTCTAGAGATTAAAGAGTTATTGCAGGATAACGTATAATCTATTTGTTAAAATTATACTTGCTAAAAATCATTTGCATTTCTTAAAAAGATATTTAATAAAAAGCAAAATAGGGCTAGCACAAGGCGGAAAGAAAAATATCTTTTGTCACGAGCATAGAGAAAAGACGCGGGAAGGCAAACTGAGATGTTTGAAAGGAAAAGGAAATTGATTAGGAATCGTCGAAAAACACAGTAAACTCACATTGATGTCAGGAATATTGTCATCGTCATCATCAGAATCACAAACGTCACCAACAGTATCGCCATCGTTGTCTTCTTGGCCAGCATTTGGCACAAACTGACAGTTGTCCTACAAGAAATAAATGAGTATTTTTGACTATTTAGTTTAAGTAAAAGAAAACTTATTGAATGTTTGGTACGTGCAATATTGAAAAGACTGGTCTGTAACAACGGCTTTATAAAATGTCGACATTATATGAAAACGACGTCCACTGTCAAGGTAAGAATTAGCTAGATAATTAGGAGATGCCAAGCCCCCTATATCAACAATAACGGTGTAGAGGAACAACGCAAAAGAACAACCCAATTCAATGCAAAATACATAGTAAATTATATAACAGTAATGCAAGCAATTAAATGAACTAATATATCCTAAGAAATACAGGAAATTAACAGAGCGACTGATTTAGATGTAACTTAGTTTGCTAGCAGAAAAAACAACCGTTAACAAAAATATCATTTCCCAAACAGACATACCCCTTTGCATTCTGTCACTGAGCAATCAATTCCAATGTTTGAAATTCCATCCAAATCAATGTCATCGCCACAAACTCTGCCATCGCCAGCAAAACCCGGCTTACACTAAAATGTGACGTAACTTACAACTCTTATAGTATGCTCAGTTAAAAATTCAGCATTTTCCTAATCGAATCGCAAAATAAATTCAGATAAATGTCACGAAACATCTCTCGAGAAACGATTTGTTGAAAAAAGCAATCACCTATGAATTTCAAAAATGAAGATTTGTAATATTTTAAATTTATTGATTTAAAAGCCATAAATATTTTAGCATTAGCTAGTCAAATGCATCTAACATTAATAATTTTGCCGATGATGCCGATGATGATCTGAAATCTCCGATATTAAATGATAAAGCCGAAATATCAGCTCCAAATCTGTCAATGTTTGAGTGCCTTAGCAAAAATTGATAGGGCCTAGGAACTAAAAACAGCTGCTGTCAAATCAGACATACTAATTTATTTCCCTATCGCCTTAAATTTTTCTCATTCTATAAATTTCGATCACCTCAAAACATGCAGTAAAACCAACTGTGCATAATTTAATTCCAGAGGAATTATTAAAGGCCTACAACTATTTTGCTTACCGAGCAAGCGAAAGCTCCGGCCATTGTTGCCTCGCAATTAGCATTTGAATTGCAGTCATTTGTCTTGTTGGATGCGCAGAAGTCACCAGGCTGACAACCCGCGTAGCCATTACCAACAAACCCGGGGTTGCAATCACCGCAGTAAAAGCTGCCCTGTGTGAGCAATGCATGTCATGGTTACGAGGGGTCCAGTAAAAGCATTGAAAGCGAGACGGACAAACAGAGATATAATTATTTTACAAGAGTCGTGTGCTGGTGTTCAAATGCTAAGGGTCCAATCAATATAAAAGTTTAGAGGGGTTCATACCATTGTGTTGACGCATTTCGCATTGACATCGCAAGCATGAAGTCCCATGGCACACTCGTCTATATCCGTACAGTTTTGGGTATTATTTGCTGCCTCTCCTAAGCCAACTCCACTGGGGGCAGTACCTGAATACCCTGCGGGGCAACCCTCGCACCTGTAGCCAGGGGATAGGTTGACGCATGCTCCAAAGCAGGGGGACGCCTCCACACACTAAGAAACAAAAACAAATTTATATCATGAAAGAACTATAAAAAAAGAGCCAAAAGATCATAAAAAAATATAAGTTAAATTAAAAAGGGATGCGATATCTTACTTTAAGTACGCAAGGTAATTTCATGCTTAAATTGAAATTGCTTGGCTTCAAGTAGTAAAATAAAATGAAATCGACTCTTTGGTAGTAAAATGGTTTGATGATGAAACGGAATGGGCAAAAGAAACACTATCATCTTCTTCACTAACGAAACAATCTTCAAATGGCTTTGGTCGATCAAAGTGTACGCAAATGCATGCTACCTGAAGTGCATTGAGACCACACACGATACAATTGAACTCCACAATTGGGCTCCACGATTAAAACCGAAATAAAAGCATCACGATAGTCAGACTGAATCCTGTGAATTTTGTCCCTTTTGAATTTTGTCCCTTTTGAATTTGGTCCCTCGGCTGGCCGGTAATAGCTGGTAAATTTAGTAAATGTCTACTTTTTAAAGTTATGCTAATATAATAAAAATGATTCCTCGAAAAGGAGTCTGCTAAGTTGACAGACCTGGCATTAGCTACATTAGTTTCGAATAGAAAAGGTAACCTCGTTTATGTCTGTACAAGTGACACCATCGCCTCTGTATCCTTTTGGACATGACTCACACTTGTAACTTCCAAAGCCAGTGTTTGTGCACTGGACGCCTTTGAAGCAAGGGTTATTGTCGCAAGCACCTGCAGAAAAACAAGACTAAATCAAAATCTACATAAGACATTATTAAGCCGATTATGAGACCTGGCAAAAGACAAAGTAAAACTAACAAGGACTTTTTTATACACAGTCTAAAAAAGTTCATCTTACAAGAACAAGATTACAAAGACGATGCCAATGGGAGCATGATAGGCATGGCGACCCATTGACCTTAACAAACAATACAGTAGCACCAAAGTCGACACCAAAATCCTGCTTAGATCGTACATAGGGGATAGCTGGTTCGATCCAAAGATTAAATGTATAATAATGTAGAAACAACACTAAAGACCACACCAAGGAGTTGATGATGAGGTAATTTGGCCTGTGAATCCTAATATTCCATTCATTCAGCAAAAAAACAAAATGGAAAAATGTTTGGAAAAGCGGAAATATAGCAGATTAAAGATTTTTTGCTAAGTATGTCTCCGCTTTTCAGTGGAATCTTCGCATAATAAAGTATTAACAAGCAAAAATGATTTTTTCAGCACCATTAAGAAGGACTGCAAGAAGGATATGGGCTAGCAAGAAAAATTTCACTCAACATCCAACAATTTGGCCTTCAAAAGCAAGCGAAATTTGTTCGATTTATCAGGAGTTCGAATTATGAAAAGCTGGCATTATTTGGGAAAAAATCGAATCATCGAAAAGTTAAAATTTCAGGACTTTGACTGTACGTGAGAATAAAGTAAACCACTTACATGCTCCATTGAGACACGTTTTACATTTAGTGCAATCTCCACTGGACCACTCATTGTTCTTACAAGGGTGACAGCCTGTTTTCATGCTAGTTGATTCGTACCCTGGTGGACAGCATTCACATTTTGCAGCTCTTGAAGTGTTACTGTAGCTTCCAGGAGGACACAGCTTACAACGACCTAACAGAAAGCAAATTCTATCATTAATCATTTAGATTGGAGAAGAATTGATCAATCTTCTGGATCCCAGCCCAGCTTATGCCAGATTCTAGCGTGATTGCTGCTTGATCTATTAGTTGAAAAAGTATAAGCCTCGACATGAGAAGTTCTTTTACTTCGTCTAAATGTTTTGATGTTTTGTTTTAAAGGCTTGCATTCCGAATTCTGTTTCTCATCCCTACGATATCTATAAAGCAAATGTACACACCTATGCCATCGCTGAATGTTCCTGGAGTACAGTCGTACTTTTTGCCTTCATAGCAGTATGTACCAGCCGGACACGGGAAGCAGCTCATCGGACACCACTGTAAAGAGTATTTAACAAGTTAATCCGCAAGAAGCCCTTTATCATCCGCAAACCCAACTAATGAAAACTGTTTACTGAAAAGTCGTGCCGCAGAATGGTGATGGTTGAAGACCGTCTCGTTTATGGAAATTTTGGCAAAATCGAGTAAGCAAAAATAAAGTGTTTTCGGGTGATTTGTTCCTTATTCAAATTATTTGTTTGATTGGTTACCGCTAATTTATCATGCTCATTTCAACCAGTCGCTGGTACTGATCACATGTTTGACTAATTAGCATTCAGTTGCGCACATAATATAATATAATTAACTGTCACTACTTGGTATACTTGTGATAAAGACAATAGTCCTTCTTGCAACATACAATCACTTACGGTTGCATTACACGTGACGTACGTATTCGCAGCACACTTAAGAATGAGTCCATTATGGCACAGCTGCAACAACAAGAAACAGAGCATCACTCCATGAAACCAAGTGCGAATGGTCAGATAAATGTGCATTAGTATTGAGTAAAGCAGCCTCTCACTCTAAACGAGCTGCGTTTTCAATTACATATGGAAAAAGTTTTACTCTGAGGAAAATGGCATTCTACAACAAAAAATGTTTGTTTGAAAAGTTCTAAATTTTAACATGCATTTCCCAATCGGAGAGCACCTTAAATGGAGAGCATTTAAATGGTAATGTATTATCTAAAATAGAAAGTGATGATCTACACCTTTTGACATATTTGCGGAGGTGTTAAAGCTACATAAGTAAAATTCTTGACTTTGGCATTAAGACAGGACGTGACATGTAACCAGCAGATATCTGGTCACGTGGGTCAAATCCCAGACCTCAGCGGAAATAAACAATAAGGCATCCACAAAATAAATGTAATGAAGATCATTTATCTCGTGTTGGGAACTCACCCAGCCCTCAGGACAAGCAGTACAGTTATCAGCTGATCCATACGCGTACATGTGCTTTGTGACGGGGTCGTTTCCACATTTAATCTCCCTGCTATCTCCAGGGCAATAGTAACCAGCCCTGCACCCAAAACAGTCTTTGTTATCTGAATAAGAGATATGAAGACAAATTACATCCATTGAATTGAATAATTTGAAAAACAAGCAGCCACAAGCAACGATGGAATGTTTGTTCAACTCAACTCTACTGATTGTGAAAAGTCTTCGGCACGATTAAGTAGCTAACTTGTATAGGGTCATGTCACACTACTTACCGTAGGTTGAAATGGTGTAGCCTGGAGCAGTGAAATAAACATTGCCTGCCGTATCAACGCTTACTTTCGCTTTGTCTGCGCACGTTGCACTGAATGTCACCGTGAACGGAATATAGTCGCCGCGCTTCGGATTGCCAGCATCAACAGCGAATATGTTCACCTTCCACGTCCATTTTGTTGTGACGTTGGTAACCTGTGTTACCGTCACGTTATCTGCCGTTGTTATATTCACAGCCGTTGTAACTATAGTTGGGCTGTAACGGAAGAACGAATCAATTGCTAAAACGAATCGTTGTCAAAAAAGTTTTCTTATTAGAAACAAATCTACTTACAGCTTGCTTACAAATTAATAAATGATTATATTTCTCGTAGCTAGCAAAGAGAACCATTTGCTATTGACATTTGACGAAAGCATAAAACAACTTGAAAAGAGGAATTTATTTTTTTTTTTCATTTTATAATATTTATACAGGTTAAAGGTTCATACAAATGTTTTTCAACCTGACCTGTTTAAAAGATTAAAATAAGAGCTAATAACTATGTTAAAATACTAGTAACAAAAGAAATTTACCAATCAAACCTAATTTACTATTTAACAAACCTAATATTTAATAATACTAAGGCTATAAAAAGTGAACGTAAAGATGAAATAAAAGTTGTCCCCGACTAAAGTTGTTCTTTGAAGGTTTTCAGGGAGGGGGCCAATTTGGTAGCCCTTTCTAGATTATTCCACAGTTTTGGACCGCGATAAGAAAAAGCCTTTTGGCCATTTATTGTTTTTAGCAGCGGTATCTTAAGATCAGTTTCTGATGAACGCAGAAACCGTTCTCTATCATCCGAACATTTTTCGAATAATTTTCTCAAGTAGTCTGGTGCAAGCATATTTAGAGATTTGTAAGTTAGCGTGGCTGTCTCCTTTCTTACAAGATTTCTGATGGTTAACCAGCCAAGTTCTGAATTATCGGAGCAGCAGACGCATCGTATGGGCTGCTAGTTACAATTCTGGCAGCTCTATTTTGGATTTTTTGCAACACGTCAAGCTTTGATTCATTACAGCAGCCCCAAACGGAACAACAGTAGCTCAAATGGGGCTCAACAACTCCTCTATACATTTTGTTGAGGATGTCAGATTGAAGATGATTCTTAGAATACTTAATAAGTCCAAGGGCTCGATTAGCCTTGGTCTTGATAGTATCGATATGCTTGTCCCAGTTGAGCTTACTGTCTATCTGAACACCTAAGTATCTTGTGTTGGTGATCACTTCAATGTTCTGATCACCTATTGAAAAAGAAAAAGATGGTGGATTTCCTCTGCATGTCGATGACGTAATCAACAAGGAAAACGGCGAAGATTCCTAAAGCGCCAACATCTCTACTAAAAAAACTGTAAAGTCAAAAACTTATAAACAACTCACACGGCACTGACAAGAGCACTGCTTGTGTAGGTGATTTTGCCATTGTCGCCGCTGTCGTTGTCCGTCGCAGAAACAGTGAAAATTGAGGCGACTTGCAAAGGTGGAATCGGGTACCTCGTGTACGACAAATCCGGCAGAATTGGGCAGTTGTCGTTGTAATCAGCTATAAAAATCTGGAATTCCAAGACAAGATGGTTAGGATTGGAATCGATTAACTCCAACGGACTACCAGCCCCTGCTGTTCAGCGATCCATCGGACTGGATCCAGATTATTGCCATTCACTTTATTGCTATCATTTATATCCATTTTAAGGCACTCAAATAATAAAAAGGATTCAAGTTCATATCATAGGTTGGTTATAATTAATAAAAACCTGACTCACCTTAATAGTCACATTGCCAGAAACAGCCCCGCCTGTGTCAATAACAGTAAGCCTGATAAAATATTCCTTGGTTACTTCATAATCCAACGCATGCCTCAATGTCATCAAGACTGCACTCGTTGAAAAAGGCCCGAAATTCTCCGGTCCCGTCACCAATGTTGGAATCGCAGTGATATTCGAAGTGGCGTTAGGACATAAGAGGATTGTCTCGCCGTTCAATGTGGTTGTTGAGGGCGCAGGGGTTGCTGGGATAGTGGCTGCGGCAGCATGAGCCTCGGAATCATTTGCTTTCACTTCAAACCGTCCTTCTGAGTTCCCAGAATTAATTGTCACCAAATAAGGACCTTAATTTGAAAACAAGCAATAAATGTACTTCAAAGATAAAAAAAATTCCCAACTAAAAAGTGCCAAGAACAACCAAGTACGTGTAATGCAGCTGAATCGAACAAACACATATGTTAATAAAACTACAGTGTAACATGAAACATTGGTGATATAAATAGGGCATCATTTCAAAAAAGCCCTGTGTAACACCAGTGCAAGTCCTTGCTTAACATCAAAATATACCAACCAGTAGAAAAGGCGTCCGCAACAACCATGTCCTGCACAGAGGCATTGAGATGAATGCTCTCACTCAGGGTTACTACGTAATCAACGGAAGGTTTGGAAGCTTGCTGCTCCTCCACAGATACAAACGTCATGTTGCTCACTTGATAAAACAGCTCTGAGTGACACGGAAATCTCTCGGCATGGAAAACCTCGATTTTGTATGTCAGGCCAACCTATATGATGAAAAAATTGAAATTGAAATCAAATCAAATCGTTTCATCACTTGAAGAATAAAAGCAGCCAAATGAACAAGACAGGAAGAAACCAACCTTCAGTTGACTCTATACGCTACGCCAGAAACACATACGCTACGCTACGCACAGAGGTAAAAAACACGAAATCATTCCCTGAAAAGCTTTTGATGGCCTTTAGCATTGTCATCTATATTAGGGCAAGAAACAAGACTGAATATTGCAACCAGCCAATGTGTCCGTCCCTGTGTTATTAGGAAATACACGAGAATTGTCTACAGTAGTAAACTCTATTACCTTAAGTTCAAGTGTCACTTGTTCTGACGTCACATCACCGGTAGTTATACATTTGCCACCAATAATAGAGCCTTCTTTTGGCACGATGACACCACCGCCTACAGCAAGAAGCGGTCCTTTAGTTGAATTAAAAAGAGCAACACCAAATATCATTCTACAAGGTATTTGCAAATTCTAAATCTAACGATCGCTTTAAAATTAGCCAACACATAAATGAGCATCGAGTAGTTAAAGGTGATAATGAACGGTGACATTGAAGAAATTATACTAAAAATGGTATAAAAAAGAAACAATCCCTTTGACGATCATTTGAAAAACCAAACCGTCAGTCGAGCAGATGGTCAAGCAGAAATTTATTGACAGTCTGTCAAACTGTCAATCAATCAGTTGAATAAACGCAAATCTTGCCTGTAGCCTTGGCTGGACTGAGATTGATCATTCTGCAGGGTACCGTCGAGTTACTTGGATTGTGGAACAGTTTCACGACGATAACACGATTTATAACAACATAAAGCTCTTCACCACCCGCAAAAGCCAGATTTTCTTGTCCATTGTACGTAAATGCAGATCTGATTGCGCTGGTAAACCTAGAAAGAGACATCAAGATTTGTGCTTTTCATAAATATTTTATAAATCCACGAAACTTTATGAAAGCGACCTCGACTTCAAAAGCTATTGAAAGTATATCATAAAACATATCTGTAGAGGGCTAAAAAAATACGCACCCTTGATTTTGAAGCTCCTTTGAAAAACAATCGGTCTGGCCCTGGGAGCCATAGCCCTTCCCATTCAAAGCCAATACGATGCACTGTAGAAGCGGAAAATTGGTTTGCTATTGACCGGATCAGTCTCGCCAGTATTGGATAGGAACAAAGAGGATGATACGACTATATTTCTAGGAGAGGCAGATCTGAACCAGTCGGAGAAAAGGTCGCTAGTTGGAATGGCGGAAATGGCAAGCCACGTTTCGTAGGGCGACGGGATGTAACGAACGTTGACGTAGTCATTTTTGTACGTGACGCCATCGAAGTCACGTGCACTCGCTCTGAAAAAGACGACAACACAACTTTTTATTTCAAATGGTCCCTAACCTTAACCCTAACCTTAATTAGAAAGAAGCTGACTTTTTACTCTGAAATAAGAAGAGATTGAGCAAAAATCTAGAAGTAAGACTGGAAATGAATGCAAAGGATCAAAACATCTTACATTGCGATTGAAAAATTTAATGAATTCAAATCGCCTCGATGCTACGGTGACATAGAAAGGGCAATAAATTAACTTACTCAAAATCGTAAAATTTCATTGGGAGTTTGATGGTTCCGTTTAACCCCAATGCTAAAATGGAAATGAAGAATATAGATAATGGCAAAGGGATAAATTTCCAGATCATCCGGAATATTCTTATCAATAACAGAATCCTCATTTTGCCCAAAGTAGAAAAAAGAAACATTTAGTAGAAAAAGAAACATTGGCTACTCACTGCAATTAGTGCAGACTCGGTAGCAATAAAAACAGCACCCTGCGTGATTGCATGTCCCAGGCTGCATTGCTTGTGAAGCTGCTACGTCACACGGTGATTTACAGCTACCCCCTGGCCCAGCCAGTGTCTCACATTCAAACGGGTGGCCATCTGAGCACAAAGTTGCTTTTGCTGCAAAATCAAAATAAACCAAGGTAAATTACTAAAAAAAATCAAAACTTTGACAAAAAGCAGCGAAGAACAAAGGGACAGCAAGAAGGCATGCGTCCTAAGGCCCAGAAATTTTAACAGCCTTTAACGAAGCACGGTAATTTCTAGATTGAAAAACAATGCTTGGTCAGGATATCATGAAAGTAAAGACCAGTGCATTCAAAATATGAATCCAGTCAATAAATTCTGACAAGATGGATTGATATAAACGTTAAGGTAAAAAGATATTGAAGAAAATATTAGGAGCAAGGCAGACATTTGTTATTGATCGTTTGCAAGACAGGTATTAAAAAGGCTCAAAAAAGATTGACAGCTTACGTTCTTCTTGTGTTGTGATAAAAGACGGTTCACTTTTTCCGCTCGTGTAATTAGTACCGCTGAGAGGGACAGTCATTGTTGCGTGACATTCATACATACGACCAGGTTTGACGTCATCGGCGCTTGTAAATGTAGTGTTGGACAGCAATAGCAAGGATCCTAGAAAATCGGAATAGTTGATAAGTGTGAGCGTACTTTTGAGAACAGCGTTGAGAACCGCGTCGAGAAGAGCGTTGAGAACAGCGTAAGAATATAAGCAATAAATTGGACATACATAAGTCCAAAATTTCTAAGTAGTGACAAACAAATAAACGTGAGTGTTACTTGTCAAAGTTGGATTTCCAGTGTTGATACAGGTGACTTTGAAGTAAACGGTTGCGTTCAGAAGTAAAGCATCGGATGAGTCGCTTCCATTTACAGCAGCAAACTTATGTGTCGGTTTAGTCCACTGCACAAAAAGCGTCTTTTTTGCCAAAGCGGTTGAAATAAGGGAAAACGGTGCTGAAAAGGAAGATAACCTCAGTCAAAAGGGCAAATGCTTGCAACAATAAACAAAGAAGTATCAAATGCTTTAATCAGAGTAAATAGGCGCCATCGCAAGTGACTGTTAAGAATAAAGATAATCACGATTAGAAGTTTACATGAACCATGGGTATTAATAACAATGGTAAAAATTGGGAAGGAACGTTTTATTATTGACCTGTCACTAATAAAACCACTGTTCAATAACTAAACGGTTTCTTCACGCATCAATTTCGATCCACACTTTGATATAAACTTTGGCGAACCATTTAGATATTAACTGACGTCTTATACACTAACTGGGTTCACACGTGCTGGGTTCACAAGTTTTTGAAGTAATTTTGATCATTTTTTCCGAGAATCCCAAACCTTCGTCAGTATATAGGGAACATGAAAGCCTTAATTCTCTTTCGAGAAACGTCAACTGAAACATATCTTACCGCAAATGAACTCATTTCGTCTGGTGAACATTGGGACTGCGTTGCTCGCCCTCATTTGGAAACTGGCAAGGTGAGTCGGGGTTGAGCAAACTGCTCCGGTGACTTTGCTCAGAATCGGGTAAAGATTTCGGTGCCAATTGCAATCACAAGCGATTGGGTTGTTGGTCAGGGTTCTAAGAGCAAAAGAGCACGATTATTTAGAGAAGCTATCTACTGAAAGCAAAATAGGACAGTTTGACAGTAAGAAAAGCTTTTGCTCAGTGAAGAATAAAAAGCAATTCGATGAAACGCTATACTGGAAGCTTCAAAATAAATTGAAAGCGAGTTGCTCATTGGAGCTTTTCAGTAGGCTGCAAAAACTTAATAATAGCAAATGTAACGTCCAAAAGTAACAAAAAAGCAGAAATGAGAAGCAAATGTGTTGATTTTTTGCTTGACCTTCTGAAAATTCTGAATTAATTTTTCTGAATTAAAACTGAATAACAACTGGATAACAACGATTGATTAAGTAGAAAGCAAAGCAGAGCCATGACATACATGCTTGAAATGGCAGATAAGTGAATAAAAGCATCTTGTCCTAAGGTCTCGATGAGATTATTTCCGAGGTTTCTGCAAAAAAAATGAAAACCATGGTGGCAAAACATAATTAATTGAAGGAAGAACAAAATTTTAAGCTGATTTTGCACATTCATGATTGATTTCACCCATCGTCTTGCATGAGTCATCTGAAGTGAATCTAGTCATAAACAAACATACTTTATTCTAGGAATCATAGGAAATAAACATATTTTGTAAAAGTTGAGAGAAATAAATATGCTTATACTGTTTAGTGGAAAAATACGAAGATATACATACAGTGTTTTGAGTGAAAGAAGTTCTCCGAGACTGGGGAAATTGGTGATCTTATTGTCGTCAAGGCGTCTGAAAAGAAAGTAAAAATTCATCTTCAACATTCAAGGACGTCAGACAGAGACAGAAAAATTGAGGAGGATAAAAATTGAAATTGCTATTTTCATTTAGTTGCTTGATAAAGCTCTTAGTTGTTTTTCAAAAATGCTGTCAATGCCTGAGAGTTTCAGTTGACAAATGACAGAATAGATGAAGATTTAAAGAAATATTTCTTGCTTATCACTTTGTTTATAATAGTTAATAAATTTACTTACATTTCTTCCAGGGCAGCAGTGCTGCTAAAATTGAATGCCGCATCTTCTATTTTCGAGATCTTGTTTTTCTCCAAACGACTAGAGACAAATGGTATTATAAACTAATCAATCTAAATACGAAGACACATAATCGAATTTTCATTTTAGCAAAGAGTGCACTGTGATTGTAGTTAAAGTACTTACACAAACTTCAAAGTTGTAGAATTCTCAAAAAGTCTCTTTGGCAAAAGAGTAATATTATTGCTTTGTAGATACCTCAAAAAAGAAAATAACAAAAATGAAATCTTCATTAAAGAAGAGCAAGTAGCAATAAAGACGAGCGATTAGCTACAATATTTTCTCTCATGAAATCACTGACACCAGACACAAATTGCAGAATACCATTAGAAATGGTCATCAAAAAACAAACTGGGGAAATCTTATCAGACCTGTGACCCATAGGTAGATATAAATGTCACACCAACGGTCAACACATGATTTAAAAGCATAGGAAAAAGACTTGTTTAAGGAATGTGCCAAATCGTTTGGATCAACTTACAGATGGGTTAATGACGTTAAAGCAGAAACTGAGCCAGCAGCCAGTGTAGTGATTTCATTGTTCTGCAAGTATCTTGAAAAAAGCAAAATAATTACTTGCCAATATAGGAATTAATTGATCTTTTTGACGAAAAAACGTAACCCTTCAGAAAGTAAGTATAGTATGAAGTTTAATATGCAGTTATTCGCCCGTAGGAAAACAAATACAAAAATGTTTTACAGCCATAGATATACTCTGCGGGCTAAATTAGACAGATGAAAGCAATATCAATAGCTCTTCAGCAGACTAGAAAATATCAATTCTCCTAATTTATTGAAGCATATCAATGTCTTACACAAAGCAAACAAATAGCATCATCTTTGAAGGAGAGTTGGGATTCAACCACGAAGAAACATCACTTACACTTTTTGCACTGACGTCAAAGAACTTAAAGGTTTCGCTGGAAATATGACAAGCTTGTTTAAGCTGAGATCACTGAAAAAGAAAAAATACGAATGATTTAAAATCAAGACATAACTAGAGTAATATTTTGCTTGAAAAGCTGGGTGAATTTCTCTCCCAATCTGATAAGGTGATGCATGCTTAGACAAAATATTAGTGCATCCTTTCTTCAATTTTTCCATTTTGGGCTTCACATAATTTGGGGTACCATTCGTCCACTGTACTTTTCAAAAAATGTGTGATTCCTTTTATTTCAATCACAGAAATCAAGTTGTGATAAAACTGGTGATATTGCAGCAAAATTAGAAAAATCTTATACAAATAAAACACGAATGCTTCAAAATTATGAAAAAATATATTAAGATAGACTTAAGTAAATATGGACAGTCATAAATAATACACAGCATTCAACTTAACAAACAACACAACAATTTCAATATAACACTTACAGAATGTCTGACACAACAAGTCCATTAAAAGCTGTATCGTGCAATGCTCGGATCTGATTCGATTTCAAATGCCTGTAAACAAAGTTATAGCGAGTAAGTGGCAATCCCTTATTTCACAGGTTATAGAGAGAGCAAATTTGTGTGATTACAATGCAAGATTCATAAACTGAATGTTGTTATTGCTCATTGAGAAATGTAGCATATTTGTATCTTAGTCTAATTCGAGACTTGGTTCCTATCTTTCATTCATAATCGGAAGTAAAAGATACAAATCTCTTCAATTCCAAATGGCAAAAAGTCAGAATACTCACAAATTTTTCACAGATGACGGACTCATGAATATCTGGGTACCAATACTTTGCAGTTTATTGCCACTCAGGTCTCTGCGGTGAGACAATGACAAGCAAATACCAAATGAATACAGAATGACAACAAAAATATCTTCTTCTTAAATAATTCTCGAATTAATTATTACAAACTCAGACTCCTATTCTTTTTTTAAATATAATATTAACTGTGAAGAATTTACTATGCAGACGACGAGCTGATTGAACTGTTTTCAAAGTGGAAACACTTTTCAGAACTTCATTCGAAATACACATCGCCGAATAATACACATCATTATAAATATTTTCAAAAGAGGCATAAAACAAACTTTTCTTACAAATCTTCTGTTATTGTCCCTTTAAAGGCATTCTCTTCAATTGTTGTGATATTTCCGTTCTGCAGTAAACTGAAAAACAAATGGTATTCTCGGTCTAAAGCATTTGATTCTCACTGGCATGGCACAAACGATCCTAAATCTATTGCTTGCTTTAAGGAATTGATATATATCTAAACACTGAAAAAATAACTTACAGATCTTTCAAGGTGACGTCATAGAAAGTATATTGTAGGATGGTCACGACTTGCAGTTTATCGATTATGCTGAAAAGGAAAGTGGGATAGAATGATTAGAAACATAACTGTCATTTGATACAATAAATACAAAAAAATAAAATAAAATATAATATAATATAATGTAATATAATATATTATATTATATTTTATTATATTATATTATATCATATCATATCATATCATATCATATCATATCATATCATATCATATCATATCATATCATATCATATCATATCATATCATATGATATCATATCATATCATATCATATCATATCATATCATATCATATCATATCATATCATATCATATCATATCATATCATATCATATCATATCATATCATATCATATCATATCATATCATATCATATTATATTATATTATATTATATTATATTATATTATATTATATTATATTATATTATATAACAATGTCAAAATATACAATGTATAATAGGCTCACAGGTTCTCTCCAGAGAAAATGTTGAATGCTCTAGATTCAATCTTTTTCAAAGGAAGTGTGTTTCCATCTCCAATGAATCTAAAAAATCACGAAACACTGTGAAAACAACGCGCAAATCTACATAAACTAAACTCTTGCAATCTCAAAACTCTTGAACCATATGTCTCAAATTCATTATTTGGCAATATAGAACTCTACATCTTACAAACTTTTGACACTGTATTATCTAGTCTAGCAGGAAAGTTTATTTGCAGTTAGCTTGTAAACATACATAGACTAATTCTTCACACACATCTTGTACTCATGTCAGCTTGGAGGCAACAAAAGAAATAAGGAAAATTATTATTATTATCAGTAGTAATTTCTACAACAGAAATACTTTTATCCACGAATTAACTTTCCTTTAATCCTAGCCCACACCTTTGCTTGTTTCTTTCAAATGAATTTTGCAAGGCTAACCAATTTGTATACGCAATAACAGGGATGTGAAGAAATGGATTTTTAGTAAACAAAAAATAAATAACACTATAGATAGAAAGAGATACAATAACCTACTTACGTGAAACGGCAATATGAATTGTAAAATGCATTCGCCTCTATTCTTTCTATTACGTTGCCTCTAAGGTTCCTTGAAATTTCAATTAAGCAAGAAACAATAATTAAATCCAAATTAATACGGGTAACGGGCTGCTGCAAACTGAAGAATTCTAGATATTCGATTAAAGGCATTGAGTCATGGTAAATAGAGATCTTGTTGTTGTTGTTGACAACTTGCTATTGATGGAAACTGTTTTGCTAATGAGCACGAGGTGAGTTCATGTGACCAATTCCAAGTCAACCAATAGCAGTGAGGCAAGAAAATCAAGCCTCAGCGGTTTGGGTACTTTTGGGTATAGCCTCACCTTTTATCATGACTCAGTGCCTTTAAATACAACATGGAAAGCAAAGATTTTAAGCAAAAACATTTTTCGCTTATAGGTTATTATAATACATTTTTCGCTGTGAGTACGTTTAAGCAACAAACATTCACTAGAAAGTGAGGAAAGCTAATTTATAAAAACTGAAATATTTCTAATTGCTGTTACGAATAATTGTATGGACAACAAATAATTTAATGGTACTTCTAAATACAAAGGCAAAGCCCTAAGATGGTTAACGTTTAACACCTATCACTGTCTTTACTATGTATAGAAGTTTACAGAGAAAAGACATTTTTACACTCCTTTGAGGCATGCTGTGGTGGTCTAGATAAAAAAGGGTTCAGCCTTGAAACAAAATAAAGTTGTGACATTAATTGAACAGAAAAACTTCGCTCCGACGTCAACCTGTTACAAACATGATAACCCTGAGGTGTGACTGAACTCACACGGTAACCAACGGCTTAACTAGATAGCAAAGTTCGTAAACAGAAGTATTTGGAAGTACTTACAGGGTGTTAGTTATGGAGACGTTCACAAAAGTATTTGACTTGAGCTTCGTGATTCTGTTTTGATGCAAATACCTAAAAGATTTTTATCTGATTCATAAAACCAAACTCAAACGATTAATCGAGACAGAACCGCACTAATTAAATCAAATAATGTACATACATAGTAATTGTGAAATTAGCGGATTGTGATATAAAACCTTTGTGAGATTCTATTGAGAAAGAGCTGAAAACTTACATGTATCCAACCACGAGATTATCGAAGTCTCCGACTGGAATTTCGTAAAGTTCATTGTAAGATAGATCTCTGTCAAAGAAGGAGAAAATTTGCTAAACAGCCCTCCCAAGCAAAATCGAGGCATGAAACCTTAGAAAATAACGTTTGTGACACGTGCTCAGCTATCAAGAAGCTGCCAGGCAAAATAAGACATCGACAGTCATTATGACAACCAAACATTTGGCGAGGTTTACGAAAGAGTGCATAACATTTCATTTAAATAAGTAGAAACGATCACCCTATGAAGTAAAGTGAAAAAATGAAGTATTTTATCAAAAAATGCTAGTTTCGATATAAAAAGGACTGCTAATTTTAATTGCATTTGAAATGAAAACTTATGCTTACATGCGGGCCATGGTTGTTATTGAACGATTGACAGAAGTGAACGTGCCTTGCTCGATGTATGCCAGTTTGTTAAAATCCAAATCCCTGAAATGAAGTGAATGCAAAAGTCAATCAATCAATCAAAAGTCAGTTAGCTTGTCAATCAAACTTAGTAATCAAGTTCGAAGTGAGGCTAAGACACAAACTTAGCGCCAAAATGTAGCGCTGTTTATTTTCAAAACATTTTGTCTTTCTTCTACTTTCTTATGTCTCCCACTATTCAACCAAAATGTTTAGTCACCCCCTACCCCCGCCCTTCCTTCAACCAACAAGCTTAGTTTTCCCTAGCACAAAATGGTTCAAACTGTGTTAGTATAAATTGGCAGTGACTACAAACTACTTTCTAGTACGTCATAGGAGATTAACTGAACTCTAGGTTCTCCTAGATCTCAAGATCTTCGAATCACACTGGCCCCAAAATTGTATCGATATTGCTTCTTTTGACAAGAATGCATCAACGATGACAAGAATGTAATAATGGAAAAAGTAGCCAAAATAAAACACTGCCGCCTGTAATGCAAATCTTACTCACACTGTTCGGAGACGCTGCAAGTCCTTGAAATGAACTTTGAGTATTCTCCCTATTTGATTGTACTGAAGATAGCTAGAGAGGAAGAAACCATATCCGAATATGAATGACTCTACTTGATAGTAAAACGTTACAAATATCATCTTGCTTCTGTGACTCATCAGAAGTAGCTATAAACAAAGTACAACAACACTAAATTCAAATGATCCCAAATGTCCAGATAGCAACATAGGATCTAACGAAAAAAATGCAATCAAAAACTGATGAAGGCTGTCTTACATATTTTAATCCCCTTATGTCTTAAATAAGTGTTTTAGCTATGAAATCCCCTCAACTTTCAAAAGGCCGAACTAAGAAACAAATTCAACATAAAACTTCTAGCATTATTTTTACAAAATAAAATTCTAAGCAAATAAAACATAGGCATGCAAAATCAGCTATTGTTTACTTTACAGTGGACTTAAAATACTAAACTCACAGGGAATTGAGAAGACCTAAACCGTGAAAGGCTACATCAGGTATCACATCAATCAAGTTGTTGCGTAGTGACCTGGAATAGAAATGTTCTTTTAAACACGGTTTCGACGTGCAGCTGTACACATGACCCTTACTTCTAAAACATCAACCCAGGAAACAGCAAGAGCTGGTGATCTTTATTGAAGGAGGATTAACTTAACCTTGTAGCAAAAACAGAGATTAAGTTAACATAAAAAAAGATTAATAACATAAGATTGAGACTGTTACAATCTATAAAAAATAAGCCCGTGTTCACGTTTCCGGCAGTGGTGGTTTTGCTGTTTTATCAACGAGCAAGAAACCTTTCTATCCTGGTTTTAACCACCCATAAGCCAAACTGTACGAAAAATTTCGAAAACTGTCAATGGAAGTTTCAATAAAAAGCTTCCTTCTTTGATTACAGTTGTAAACTTCAAGAAACAACGTTTTGAATGCTAGAAACAGATGATTGCAAGAATAAGTCACTATTGAATAAACAAATGAATTATTTGTTGCTCTCGGTGCTGATTAATTCGAATAAAAAAGATTTAATTAAGTAAACATCAAACTTACAAGGTAATAAGGTTGCTGAAGTTCTGGAATGGTCTTTCGTTACTAAATTTAAATTTGTTGTACGCAAGGTCTCTGAAGAAGAAAAAAATTGAATCATGAGATTAGCTTAAGTTAGAGAAGGCATTTAATCAGCAAAGCGAATGAAAGTGAAATATATACAGAAATCATGAAAATCAAAACGATGCATGATACTCACAAAAACTCGATGCTAGCTGGAAACGAGCCGTCTTCGATTGCAATAATTCTATTTGAACGTAGAAACCTGAAAGAGCAGTGCGGCGTAATTGAAGGTATTCGAAGTAGAGACGGTTTGGTGGGCAACAACCATACCTCAGCCGCAGTGAGGCATCGATCTCAAAGGATGTGATTTAAAAAGCAATATAATCAATTGGATTCTGAAATTCTGCTACCTATCAGTGCCTTCATAAAAACAAGTATGCTAAAAGTGTAGCTATTGAATGCAAAATAAGCTTACTATGCAAAATGTTTCCCATAAGATGCCATGGTGGCTTAAGACTATACTTACAGAGTTCTCAACGTTGTCAGGTTGCTAAACGATCCTTTTAAGATGTATGTTATCTGGTTTGACCTCATGTCACTGTAAAGAACAAAGAACACGAAAATCCAAATCTAGATTCAATAATAATTGACGCTAAATTAAAACTTAATCTATACACTTATATGTTTCCTCAAAAAAATATCAATCATTTTCAATAGCTCTCATTGTGTATTTAAAACCGAAAATGCTGTCTGTTAACAAAAGCTTTAAATTAAAAAAATTCGATGATCAGTAATTTCAAAGTTGCATTTCGAAAAGCTCTCATCAAAGTTGTTTATTATCTTAGGATCGTTTGATCCAAATCTCCTAATTCTACCGTCATCAGAGACACAAGGAAGGAAACTTCAAGTGTCCTTACAGAGTCTGGATGGAGGGAAGTGCCGTGCCATTCTTTACAGCGTCAGGAACATATTGAATTCCATTCAATGGCCCCGAAAAGGCTTGGCTTCCAAGGTACCTTAACGAGAAACATATCGTTCATATATTTAGAAGAAGTGGAACTGAAGGTTCATTAAAATTGCGTTCTATTTTTGCAAAGGAGCAACGAAAATTTAGATTGGTAACCAGTCAATTTCGGTTAATATAGTACACAAAGTCAAGTGCACAGAGAAAATAAACAGGACAGTTTCGACTTTTTAGTACAAAAACACAAAGTTTTCTCTTTAAAATCTTTTATATAGCAAAGAAAGAAAAAGAGCGTAATGAACTGAGAAAGGATCTTAAATGTTTTGTGAGGATGTGAGTAATGAGAGACTGGAACGAGGGTTATTGTGGTTGTGAATAGTGAGCGAGAGAGATGAGACGGAAGTTGAAGCGGAGATATACGTTGGATAGGTAGCAGAAGACGTTATGAAATTAAGTAAGAGAATATTGAAGAAGAAGAGAAACTGAATTATCGTTTATATTTGTTTTCCTATTTGCATGCTTCGTCACAGTTTCAAAAAAGCTGTAGAGACAAAAAGACGTTTTAAGTTCTTCATCCACACAGGTTTCAATGAATTTGTTGATCTTTGATAAGCTATACACAAGCAAATGAAGGCGTAAATGTTGAAGAACTTACAATTCAGTTAATACAGTGTTATTTCGAAATGCATCGATGTGAATGGTGCTGTCCTTGAGTCTGTTGCTACTTATCTCCCTGAAAAACCACGATTATACTCAATGCAGCTGGTAATTTTGATTAAAATTGTTGCAATAGAAAGTCCAATCACAAATAAAGGAGCTAGGGTAAGAAACAAGTCAAGTGGCAACAAAAATCAGTCGAGCAACGCACGTGACTATGATTCATGCATTGATAACAGCAAAAAAATGTAGTGCCAAAAGGCAAAATTTACAGACTTAGAGACTTACAGAAGATTCAGGTTCGTTAGCAAAACGAGATCGTCAGCCGTGATTTCAGTAATGTAATTATTTTGCACATACCTAAAGACAGAAGACAACAAAAATTAAAGCGTTAGACAAAAAAATAGCACTATAGTTTGTCCTTTTTTTCTTCTTCCTGAATTTAAAATGTATTTGTAACTCTTCTTTGACAAAATAACTATCTTCTTTGTCATCAAACAGTTTATATACAGATACCTTGCCGCAAATTAGCAAATTGTGTTACTTTCAAAACTGAACAATAATTGAAAAACAATTCTATCTCATAGCATTTAAGTGATCATTGAATTAATCCCTTAACAGGGCCTTGGCCAAAACGGTTTGTCAGACTTACAAGCGTTGAACTGCAGGGGTAGTTGCAAATGGCTTAAATGTCGGTTGGCGAATTCTGGAAAGGAACAAAATGAGTTAATTTTCTTCAAGAAGGGAAATTTCTATAATACATACAGTGATGGTTTTCCGGCTTAACGTTATCAGCTTGACAGTAAGCCACTAGCAAAAAACCAGTGGGAATTCATTTCTTATTTACAATTTACAACCTCATTCTTTATCTCATTTTATGTGCAGCTGCGATTTCGTACGGGAAGATCTTATGTTTACATCAAAATTGAATGACTACTTTGTGGATTTTCAAGAAGAAGATAAAATATCGAACTAGCAGTGATAAATAAAGTGAAATGCAAGTGTTTATGAAAGCTAAAGCTGATACGAACGTGTAGTACTCTTGTGCAGTGGCAGGAAATTCCGTATTTGAGTATGTGTGAAGAGATGGAATCAAGTTGCTATCAAGGCGTCTATGGAGAAAAATAGTGAGCTGTACATGAAAGCATTTTCTAGCAAGCAAACTTAGGGTAACCTATATTGTTTAAGTACAGTTATTCACAATCATCTCATTAAGGACAATCGTCAAAGAATAAAGTGACTCAAGTTTTCTTTCAATCAACATCAGCCAATCAACAAGCCTTTGAGTGGTATCACGTGACCAATTGATATGAGACTAACGAAATCCTGTTGATCTTTCAATTGACATCCAAAAGAAGTACTTCAACAGTTGGATGTGTAAACTAGGGTTAGCATTTGTAAACAAAGACTTGGATTAACCAACCATAAAACGAAATTGAAGACAAAACTCCAGGAAATGACAAATTGAAAAATGACATACAGCTCTGTGAGCTTGGTCCAAGTCTGCTCATGAAGCATCGGAAAGGGGAAAAGCGTTAGCCTGTTGCTTCCCAACCACCTACAATAAGGAAAATTATCAGTAAAGTCACCCAAAGTCATCGTTGCCAACATCTGGAAGAAACTAATTAACTTAGCCCTTTAATCAAATAATATAGACTTCAAATTGGTCTCAAAATAAAAGCAATCAAATTTGGAACGTGAAAAGAGTCACCTTCTTGTGACACCATGATCCTTTTTTCGTTATTTTGTTTACCCGTGTTTACTTCTTGACAAAAACGAGCCAGTCAACAAGTAAACACGGGTAAACAAAATAAAGATAATAGAATCATGGTGTCACAAAAAGGTGACAGAAACAAGGCATATCAAAATGCTACTGATAGTCCAGTCCTCATCATCATAAAGATAGACCTCCAAGTTTTCTTTGCATTGGTTAGAAGAGACTGCTAGCACTCAAACAACAAGATAGAATGGATAAAATGTTCAGGCAAAGATCTCGTAGAAACCACATGTATATGAGGTAAATCAATTAGGCCTGGTTCAAACGTCGCACTTCTCATGTGCCGAACCTAACTCTGTTTGGAGCGACACTTGAGCATGTTTAGCGCGACTCCCGTTTCAAACGTCGAACTTAATTATGTCGCGCCAAATGGGTTTTAGGATTGTTACATGAAGTATCTTGGTTAAGGCACGAAATCTTAAATATTTGTTTGAAACGCATGCGCCCTCTAAGAAAGAAATGAGTTCTGGGAAGGAAAGTAAATTAAATATAATTATGCATTGAGTTCGGTACATGACAAGTTCGACGCTTGAAACCGTGCCGTGCTGGAGCCGTGCAGCTCGGCAAGCTCTGCCGATCCAAACTAGTCTGCCGCTCCTAACTAAATCTGCCGTACCAAATTGATTCAAACGTCGCGCCCCTCATGTACTTAATTCTCGAGTTAGGTTCGGCACATGAGAAGCGCGACGTTTGAACCAGGCCTTACACATGTGGTTTATCTAAAAACCATCAAAGAAGGAATGCGGACTTACAGTTGTTCCAAATTAGGCAAATTCCGTATTGAATTGTAAAATATTTTTGATAGTTCAAAGGAGGTCTTTTGACTGTGCAATATCCTGCAAAGAGATTTAAATTCTAGAAAGCTGCAGAAATTACAAAGCTGGCAACCTTGCAAGAAACATGCTTCAAAATTGTTTCTTAAAGCCCGCCTCTGATGTCTTAAATGAAAAACATAAAGTTTGAGTGGAACAATTGTTTAAATGAAAAGGCAATGAGGTCATGCAATTTCCGAAGTTAAGCAGTTAAACATTTTGATGCAATATGAGTTATAATTCATATCTTGGTGACTTTTAGTCCTATCACTTGTTTTCATCTGGTAGACATCCGGGTTTCAACCCATCATTAATCAATAAACAGTACCCTAAACAACAAATATGACGAAATGAATTGTTCGAGATCAAAGAAAGCCTTTTGTCTTCTCGAGGATTAAAATAAGCCCTGGCCAGTGAGCGAAAGTCGATATTCAGTCACGTTAGAAAAGTCATGCATATAAAAGCAACAGAAAACAAGAAATCTAAATGCAAAACTTTTGACTTACAGTACTTTGAGTTTCAGCAAATCTTTAAACGAATCGGCAGACAGCTCTTTCAATTTATTATTATTCATATCACTAGAAAAAAAGACAACTCAATTCAAACAAATGTCCTAGAAAAACTTCAACTAAAGTCGCTCTTCGAAGTGAAGGCACTGGGCGAAAGTTTCAAAAACAAAAGACAACTCACATATGAACAAGCTGAGGAATATCTTGAAAGACTCCAGGTAGAATCTGCTCGAATGAATTATTATGCAGCTCACTGAAAGCACAAAATGACAAATTTATAATAAAATATTAAATATAACATATAGAATAAAACAACTTGGTGCCAAAAGGTAAAAGAAACTCGATGAGAAGACTTTGCTTGGGGAAATTCAAAAAGTTTTCACATAACATAATCCATCTTTAAAGTGCTTTATCTGATAAAAAGCTACTAGCAAAGAGAATTGAAAAACAAGTTGGAGGCTCATTCGTTAATAAAATGTATAGGTTTAAATGTAAGATGTAATTACTTTTTGTGCTGAAATAAAATCAATAAATCTTCACGCATCATCATATCGCCGTGAAATAGAGCAACAAATAAAATAAGGGTTAAATGTTTTTGCAATGAAATAGGAACTGCTTTGCTAACATTTCTTGTGAAACATTCCAATGTAATATGTGGATAAAATGTTTTCGGAAGAAAAACCAGAGCGCTATGAAGAGGTAGGGCGCTTTTTTGCAGAAAATGATGAAAAAAGGGTGGGCTCCAAACCTTGTTTGACCATATGTTCACTTAAGGCGATCAAGTTTGAATCAATAACTCAGATATTCTAAAAATACAGGCTTACCAAAGATTGACTTAACTTGTCTCACAAGCCTTATTGATTTCATAAACTGATTACTTCTATTAAATTGGAACATCACTGTCTCCCAGTGGATTGAATTGATTTTGGTCACTTTCTGCATAGTCACCTAGGCCTATGACAGATTTTTATTTGGTAAGGGTTCTAATGAAAGCAGGTCTGGATTTAACGCATTGGTTACTCACATGATTCGCAAATGGATGAGTTGAGAAAATGCTGTCGGCTCAATGTAATTGATTTCGTTGTTACTTAGATTCCTAGAAAAGGAAACGGTTCTCAGAATGCAAGCCAGCAGGAAATAGAACAAGCACAATAATCGTAGAAGCATAATAGAAAATGGTCATGATCACAAACACAGTCAAGTTATCTCGCAATGTAAACGAAGACCTCTTAAAAACCGAACAGACATAAAAAGATAACATGGTGGTGTTTGCAGTAACAAGGAAATACTCACAAGTGAAGTAAGTACGAGCTATTGACAGATAATGGAGACAAATCGCTTTTAGAGATTGCTTTGATGTGATTCGCATCGACAGATCTGAAAAACAGAAGAAAAAACAAATCAATGCTAGCCTAAGCAACGCACATGATGTAATAGATAAAAACCATTTTCGCCTCATTTGGGAACAAAACTGGCAGCTACAAATTTGCGATAATACAAATGAAGAAATTAATTATAAAGTTTCCGTTGAAATTATGAGAATAATAGAAATGGCTCGGAGCATTGTAGATTTTCCGAAAGTCTATTTTTTGTTAACTCCGTAAGACATTCGTAATTCGCGATCGTCTCCTCCTCAGTTTAGATATGCCCTCGCAGTAGTACGAATGCCTTACGGATTTAACAAAAAATAGACTTTATGAAAGTCTAGGAGCATTGGCAAGCTGACTATAAATCTGAACATTGTACAAATCAATCAACAAAGCTTCTGTCTTCCCATTTTGCTACAAAATTTGGTGAAAAGATATTTACGGAAATTCTCTACAATCAGGATTCTCTACAAAACTTAACAGAGTATGCCATGCAAAATACAAAAAGAATTTATAGAGAAAATTTACTAGGAGATAAGCAACAAGCAAAGAAGGGTTGTGTTGGTTGGTTAGTTTCGCATAGGCTAATTAGTAGAATGGCTTGATTGGCCTCGATAAATAAACGATAATTAGAAAATACTCACACATATCGCAGTTTCGTATTATTGTGAAAGGCAAGCTTAGGAAATGACGTCATTTGGTTGTGGCTGAGGGCTCTGAAAAGAATTATAGCACGTTTTTTATGAAACTCCAGGGATGAGATGATTTTGCAACAGACAGTAAGTGATCAAGCAACCAGACAATGTCAACGCATAGATGGCTTAAAAAAGGAAGCAAGTCATATGAACAAACATAATACACTATTGCGTGATTGAATGAATTTAAAAAACACACAAGTTCTTGCGAGCAACTTTCAATGTTTTTTGTGTTTTAAGAATAAAAATGTGTCAATGAAATCATATATTTCTGCTAAGGGTAGACTGTCACCAGTTTAATCCCCCTTAAAGCTCGTACAGAAATAATCAAAAACCGCATCGGTCTATCAAGGAAACTTGATGTCCCATTTACTTATTTGCGTTATAAATTTTCTTTTAACAAAGACTTTATGTCTAATATATCCCTCTATGTCGTCAGCATTTTTCGGTCACGCCACATACTAAACATTGATATTTTATTACTCACGCTGAAATTATCCACAAAATCAAAAAATAATCATGGAACCAAGCAGATATTAGCAGTGAACCAAAAAAAGCCTCTTTCTGAAAATCTCCAACTTCATGCAGTGCAGTTTCAAATTTCAGAAATACTTACAACTGCTCTAAATTTGGAAGATCAAAAAACTTTTCTGGGACCTTGTAAATCTTGTTCTTGATAAGATTTCTGAAAGGATTAAGAAATGTGCTCGAAACAAAACACACGTATCAAAAGTCAAATTTTGCATATCTTAGCAGACTAACAGCGTTAATGATGAAAACCAGAAGCGGCTTTTAAGGGAAACATCTAAAAAGCGATGGAGTAGAAAAGCGATTTGGTTCATAACAAACTGAATGCAAAAATGGGAGAAAAGGCTTGTGTGATGCAGATCAACACAAACGACGTACTAATGCAGTTTTTATCCGATACTCATTTCAATAAGACACATTGTTCACGTGATAAAAAATAAGAGCTGGCTACGTTTAATAGAGAATTAATCGCTGATACCTCGCATACAGGCACGATAACGGCATACAACTACTACGCTCAGCTCTCCCCTTCCCCAATACCGCTAAAAAACATCGAGGAAAGATAGCTAGTGGAAAACTTTTGCTGAAAAAACAAAAGGTGTACTTACATCCTTTTTAATGACTTTGGGAGCTTTGTGAAGTTATGAGAAAAGATTTCGATCTCATTATCGTAAAGATACCTAGAAAACAAAAGAAAAGTATCTTAACATAGAAAATAATCCTTCTGGCTAAACAAGAATGGGCGGTTTAAACCTGATCTTTCAGTAAATTTTTTGGCAGTTAGATCTTCCGTGGATTAAGGAAACTACACAACTTTTTGACTTTGACGGACAAAAATGTTTTTCCAGCGCAAGAAAATGGGCACTGACCCCCTAAACACAAGAAAGAAAAGTGGCACTGTTTATTACGTCTTGGTACTGTGCCACCCAAGAAGGCCAAAATCTGATTATCTATAGGACATGACCTTAGAACCTTTGTATATGAGGAAACCAGTTAGTCATTTCATAAATAATTTTGCAAAGACAACACCTCAATTAAAGCTTTTTGTCTTGAGGTGACACTTTCAACACCTTTTGAAAGGTAATTTAACAATATTAACAAAAGTAAAACTTATTTATTATCATCCCTGGATGCAATTAAGAATTATTAAGTTATTAATTATTAACTATTAGCAAATAAAAATGAGTTAAATAATTAAAAGTTACCAAATTACAGGAGTTTTATTGGAAAGGAGCCAGAGCTTTATTGGAAAGAAAACAGAAAAATTCTAGAAAAAACAACATTATAAATGAAATTATCCATGAAAGAAAAAAGCTGAACTTACAGTTCCTCAAGACTTGTGCACGAACTCAAGTTTGGGATTTCCTTAAGTTTATTCTTGATCAACACCCTAAAATAACATTCAAAAAATGTCACACATGCCTGCCCAGGAGGCAGAAGGCTAACTGCCCCCTAGATCTTGGGTGCCCTGAAAACAATGTACAAATTTGCTTGACTATTTCCCTCTTAATACATTAAGATTAAAAGAAATAGAGTAATTTGAACTGTTCAGGGGCGAGCAAACTAGTCTCTACTCTCTATTGCTTTTTATCACCAAACACCTTTAAACACTTACAGACTTGTCAAGCTTGTAAGATTTGCAAATGCATTCTGATGAATTGTTTCCAAATTTGTTCCACGTATTTTCCTGAGAAAAAGAGCATAATTATTAAACAAAAATAAATCCTTAAGACAACATTTTGATCTGGCTGTTTCAATTAAAGCACGAACATGATTCATCCAGGGCTGAAGATATAGCCACGGTTGTCACGAGCCAGCTCTGGCAACAGGGGAAAACTTGAGATAGATGCTCTATATCTAATTTCCTTTACAGGTATGAAACTTTTGTGGGCCCTTGGATCTTCACTACACCCTACTACCTCTTGGCACTTCTAGCTTTAAGAGGAAATGTGATTTTCTTTACATTTAACACCTTGGTGTGCCAAACTAAAGGAGTGATTTGAGCAACAATATTATATGAAGTAATTTAAAATACTCACAAGGAAACCAGGGTCTTTGATAAACCATTCTCTTTTATTTCTTTTATCGGCAAGTTATATATATGGCTAAAATAAAAAAGAAATGCATATCTTGTCATTCGCTTGGGTATAGAAAATGGTTGTTTGGTGTTGGCCACAACTTCTGTAAAATAATATGCTTATCAATACAGACAATGCATTTCAGTCACATCATTCCTTTTCATTTATACAAAATTAAAAAGCTGCAATTTTGTCTGACGTTCACAGTGATTTTACATACTTTTTGTTCATAAACGTGACATTTTCTGGTATATTTCTCTCAGGAGGATAACAGTTTTGGGCTCAAAATGGATTTGCATGATGGAGTTTTGCTGCCTGGAATTTTCCAGGAACATCTTGTTTGTTTCATTTTTTCAGACACATATAGGCTCTTTATTAATCATTGTCCTTTCCAGTTCTCAAATATGGCCAATTTTGACATGATCTTGGGTTGCCAACAGCCCCCATCTGGGGTGTGCAAAAGTCAACCTAAAACACCAAACACAAGGACCGTGGTACCAGCGGTGCTTAAATTGCATAAGTAAAATACTTTTATTTTGTAAATATGGTTGTTGTTACACTTATTTATCAGGGCTGCCCCCCCCCCCCCAAAAAAAAGTTGTACCTCTGCCTTTGGGTGCAAAAGCACTATCAACTTTTTAAGTAGATAATTCAATATATCTAGTTTTTAGGTGCACCCTCAGTGATAACATGACTGCATAGTGAGTAGGCCATTTTCATGCTCTGAATACTTGGTCCTTAAGGTGATTCAAGCTTTTGTAATTATTTGGCTACTTTAAGGGTAGCAAAGACTCTGGCTTGGCTTCATCGAACAAAATTGGAGACTATTGAAACTTTGTGCATTCATAAAACACACTAAAGATGAATCCAAACAATCTTTATACAGTATTGCTAAAAAAGGGGGGCTCCCTACTCCACTAGGTTACCTACTGAGAGAGGTCCTCCTTAATAAATTCCTCTGCATACACTTAATTTTTCCATTTAGCTTTTTCTCAGGGCCTATGCCACTGGGGGGCCAGAGGAGCCATGCCCCCCCCACTTTTTTGTGAAGCAAGTAGTTTTAAAGGTGCAGTAAAAAGGGGAAAAGCCTTGGTCTCCTATTTTTGCTAGCCTTGCCCCCCCCCCCCCCCCCCCACTTTCAAAATCGTGGAAGAGGCCCTGTTTCTTATGTCTTGAATTTGATATTTAGTTTCCTTTCTGTAATTCTTGTTTGTTTATGTATATGTAGTTTTAAATGAAGTTATATGTAGTGGAATTTTAGAAATGAAACTAAACTGAACTGAAAAAGTTTGGAAATATTATTTAAGAGATTTATTTGCTCTTACACATTGCCTGAGGCTGCTGAACAATCCACAAGAGTGCTTGTACACTGACAGGGACCACACGACGTTCCAGATTGGGTGGATGGTTCATAGGCTCTTCGACCATTAAAGTAATCATTAAAATATATGCCAGTGTTTGGGTCAATGTAGGAAATCCCATCAATAGAATATCGACTAGTCCAATAGGATGCACCCAGCCAAGTGCATTGTACTGTTGCAATGAAACAGGTTATTACGAGAAAAGCCTTAATCTTTACGAAAACACAGTTTCTGTTTGCCATTATCAAATATAACTTCGCAATATCTTTTTATGTCAACAAGGGATGATAGCAGACGCGGGACAAAATTTCATCAACCTCAGAAAGGCAACAGTAAAAGCAAGATCAGTTTTTACTGTCGTTTTCTAAAGACTCGATAACCAACTAAATGCAATAACTTCATTATCTGAATGGCTAAGCTCCAGTTTTGAAGCCAAATGCAGTTCCTTTTCGAAATTTTTGTTGTCTTCAATCCTCGCGATCAGGAAACCAATACAGTGCTGCACACCCTGCCTTTTGTCTTTTCTTGCGATAAAAATATCAACAAAATGCCTGACCCAATTTGAATGTGGTATAATAAAGATTTTGAATCACAATTAATAGACTTTCTGTCTGATCCTGCGAGTCACACGAGCATAAAGACCGCCATTAATTGATCAACAGCATTTGAGTCTTCCGTTGCCAAGTTCCCGGGACGACTATAACAACATGAAACCGCAAAATTCAATGGAATGAATTACATCCCATTGTTCCGTTTGTTTAATAAACAAATGAAGTTACTTTAAAATGACCGATTGAATCAGGCTACAGAGTAATTGAAAGTTATTCAACAACAGAGTTCAAGACAAAGCATATAGACAACAGTGGCGTTACCGAGTTCTATCTGGATCGGAAAAATAAAACTTTTAGTAGAAGAAATAGCGAAACAATAATCTAAAATTTTTACAACAAACTGCTGTCCGAAGATTTATTCGAATTGATCGGTCCAGCATACCAATGTAGAAGACGAACTTGGATTTATTCAGCAACGCAGTTCAAGACTTAATTACAAATGTAGAAAGAAATACCAAATATCATCGCCAGTATCAATGTTATCTTTCAACTCAAATGTCAGTTTTGCAAATAATCATATAAATGAAATATTTCAATATTTATTTTACAAATTTTCGATAATTATTAATGATGACTGATCATTCTCAATATATGGTGCTAATATAATAATTTGATTATATATGGATAAAAATCGTGTATTTAAGTGTTAGATGATCAAACACAGCTGATATGACACACTTTAAAAATGAATAAACTCGTCAAACTTTTGAAACAAGGTGATTTTTCTTTGTAGTCAGTGACTTACATAAGATGGTAATTCACCTACTGAGCATTGATCTGGGAAATGGCATCTGGGATCATATCGCAAAAATATGGAAGAGGCAGGGGCGTCTCATGGGACGGAGTGTCTATGAATCTTGGCAAAGCAATAGAAAAATCAATATTTGATCGAATATTGGGGGCACGAGCCTCCAAGCAGACGCTGAATGGGCTCTAAAGACCCCCAGAGCACAACGTTTTACGGAAATTTTGGAAAATCTCCTATTTTGTTGGACTGTATGGAAAATCACCTTTCAGCTTCCAAAAAATTTACTTGCTATTGCTCCCCAACCCCAGCCGAGGAGTTGCTACACCCCTGCATGTGCATGGCCAGGGATTGGATGTGCTGTGGAATAGAGAACGGGAAATAACGGCGTAGATGTTAAAATCAGGAGTTTTACGCACAGAAACAAGCGATTGAAGATAAATTCATCCATAACATAACGGCGATTACAACTCAAAACGAAAACTTAGAAGAAGTATCATCTTACAGCTCACAGCATGACAGCGTGCAATAAAAGCGGAAGTAAACGTCATTGTTCGTAACTAAACAATAGCTCTATTTTTTGTATATTCTAACACTCCCACTCAAAAAATAGATTATAACAATTAAAAAAGGTTGTTCATGAGTCTCTGCTCAAACTCTGTTTGTTATGTTCATCATCATTCGAAATTTTTCAAACAGTGTTCTTGGTAGTGCCTTAGTGAGCATATCAGCAATCATATCGTTAGTAGGACAGTACTTTAAAATTAACTCACCGTTCTCCACTTTTTCTCTGATGAAATGGTGCTTGATGTCTATGTGTTTTGTTCTAGCATGAAACTTCGGATTTTTAGACATCGCGATTGCTCCTTGATTGTCTTCCTGAACAACTGTAGGCTCTTCTTGAGTAAAATTCAAGTCAGCAAGTAGTGAGCGAAGCCATACTGCCTCCTTGGTAGCTAGACAGGCTGCAACGTATTCTGCTTCGGTTGAGGAGAGAGCTACGCTTGTTTGCTTCTTGCTTGCCCAACTGACAACTCCACCACAGATTGTAAACATGTAGCCAGACTGAGATTTACGCCCATTTACGTTACCTCCCCAGTCTGCATCAACAAATCCACTAAGTTGTACTCCTTCTTCTTTTGAACCATCAAATTGAATTCCCCAGTCTAGTGTACCTTTAATGTAACGTAAGATACGTTTGACACTTTGCCAATGTTCTCCACTTGGGTTAGAACTAAATTGATTGACAGATCCAAGAGCTTGTGCAATGTCTGGTCTTGTTGCTGTAACTGCATAAGTAAGACTTCCAATAAGTGCTTGATATCTCTGCTTATCAACAGGATCGCCTTCATTTGCAAGTAGTGTTGAACCTGTCACTTGTGGTGTTGATACTTCTTTACAATTTTGCATTCCATATTTCCGTAGTAAATTTGAAAGATATGTGCTTTGATGCAGCAACATCCTTTTTTTAGCTCTGTTACGTTCAATCTGAATTCCAAGACAATAACGAGCTTCACCCAGATCTTTCATGCAAAACCGTTTTTGCAATGCTTCTTTCTCATTTTGCAATAGCTGCTTACTGCTACAAGCTAACAGCATATCATCAACATATAAAGCAATGATTATAAATTCTGCTCCCACACGCTTGACATACAAACAAGAATCAGCTTGACATTGCTCGTAGTCGTTATTCTTCATGTATGCATCCATTGTTTTGAACCAACATCTTGATGCTTGCTTCAGTCCATAAATACTTTTATTCAACTTGCAAACAAAGTTTTCTTTGCCTTTTTCTTTGTAGCCTTCTGGTTGTAACATGTAAATCTCTTCTTCTAGTTCTCCATTAAGAAACGCTGTTTGGACATCCATTTGATGCAGTTCTAAATCCAACTGATTTGCAATAGCAAGTACTGAGCGAATTGATGTGTATCTTGCTACAGGAGAGAATGTCTCTTCATAATCAATACCTTCTTCCTGAGAATAGCCTTTAGCAATGAGACGTGCTTTATATCTCTCAACTGCTCCATTAGCATCATGTTTAATCTTGAAGACCCAACGACATCCAACTGGTTTACGTCCCTTTGGGAGTTCAACAAGATTCCAAGCTCTGTTCTTGATAAGTGATGTGTATTCACTATCAAGGGCTTCTTTCCACTTTACTTTTGCAGATGAATTCAATGCTTCTTGAATTGTTGTAGGTTCTTCAGTATTCTCATTTAAAGTATCAGCATTTAAAGACTCTTCAAATTCCCACCAATCACCAGTAATGAAACCGTCTCTTTCTGGAGGCTTTCTTGTACGGTTTGAGCGTCTAGGCTCTTGCAAGTCTTCAGCATCTTGACTTTCCGCATTTCGATTGTTTTCATCTGTTTCAAGGTCTACAACTCTTTCATCATACTCAGTTTCTAGTTGTTCTTCATCAGATTTGAAAACTGGTTTAACAGTAGAATCTATCTTCTTTGTTTCCACTGTTTGATGTTGAATACGACCTTTTTTTCATTTTCAACAAAAACAACATCTCTAGATTCATAAAGTTTCTTTGTTCTTGGATCAAATAGACGATACGCCTTTCTGTAAAGGCTGTACCCAACAAAGATGCACTTTCTAGATCTTGAATCAAATTTCTTTGTGAGCTCTTTTGGAATGTGCATGTAAGCATCACATCCAAATACTTTCAAATGTGCAACATCAGGTTTTCTTCCATAAAAACTTTCATATGGAGTCATGTCCTTCACTGCTTTAGTGGGACTACGATTCCTCAAAATGACTGCTGTTGCAACTGCTTCTCCCCAAAAATCATTTGTTAATTTAGCAGCATGCAGCATTGACCTTGCAGTCTCTTGAATGGTTCTGTTCATTCTCTCTGCGAACCCATTCTGTTCTGGTGTTCTTGGGACACTTCTCTGCTTTGAAATACCTTTGAGTGTCAAGAAATCATTAAATTCCTTGGAACTATACTCCCCACCATTATCTGATCGTAGATTTTTGATTCTCTGTCCAGTGATATTTGTTGCCATGGCTTCAAACTCTTTGAACTTTTGAAGAACTTCATCTTTGTTTTTTACAAAGTATATTGCAGTAAATCTTGATTTATCATCGATGAAGGTAACAAAATATCGATGTCCACCCAGACTGGTTGTTTGCATTGGCCCACATACATCACTGTGCACAATCTCTAGAAGCTCAGTAGCATGTGTAGCTTGACCTTTAGGAAATGAGTTTCGTGTTTGTTTTCCCTCGACACAGGCCTCACAAAATTGCATATCTTTTGAATCATTGAACTTTAGTCCCTCAACTAGTTCCTCATCTTGCAACGTTTTCAAATTCTTCACTCCTAAATGGCCAAACCTCTGATGCCATAGCTGTAAGGAATCAGCTGCACTGTTAGCTTCATGTGCTAATTCATTCATTGGTAGACAGTCAAGAATAAACAACTTTCTGTCTTTTCTTCCTAAACCCAAGGTTTCTCCATCGCTATTTAGGATTAGACATTTGTCCTCGTTGAAAACCACTGACAAATTCCTTTTGACAATTGCACTGATTGAGAGCAAATTCTTTGCCAAATCTGGAACAAATAGCACTTCAGCCAATTCAACAGGCTTCCATTTCCCTTCGACTTTGACCTTAACCCAAACTGACCCTGTACCTTGTGCCAATACAACTCTGTTGTCACCCAAGCGTACTTTCTCTGGTACAGCAAATTCACGAAAATTCACCATCCTTTCTTTGCACCATGACATGTGCTGAGATGCACCAGAGTCAATAATCCAGGTATTCGCTTCTTTCTTGTCTGTGCTGGCTGTTATCCAAAAGAGAGTATGCGTGGCTTCCATTTCTGTAACATTAGCTTGCTGTCTCGGCCTTTCGCTTGACTTCCTAGGTTTCTTACAGTCTCTTGCCCAATGTCCTTTTAAACCGCAGTTGTAGCATTTCCCTTTCTTGTTGGTGGATTTCACTTGGTGTCCAGCAACTCTAGACATCTCCTTCGTGGTAACAAGTGCCTTTTCCATCGCAATTCCGAGGTCAGATGAAACTTCAGATCGTTTTCTTTCTTCATGTAGCAATCTGGCAATAATGAATTCTAGGGTGAGTTGATCTGCCCGTGATTCAAGTGCAACAATAAGGTTATTATAGGAATCTGGCAAACTGCACAAAAGAGTCGCCACTTGATCCTCTTCAGAGACTTGCGCTCCCACTGAAGCCATTTGCTCTGCCAAACTTCTCATTTTGTTTATGTGTTCCATCATTGTATCATTTTCTGACATTGTCGCAGTAAAATACCTCTTTCGTAAAAACAACTTGTTAGCCAGTGATTTGACTTCATAGTGATTTTCTAATTTTGACCACGCTTCGCCAGCTGTATTCGCTGATCGAACCAAAGATAACTGACTGTCACTTATCGATAAACAAATGGTCGCCAGTGCTTTCCTCGCACGCTTTCGAAATTTCTGCACAGAAGCTTCCGTGGTTCCTTCCCCCGCAGGTTCCACTTCTTCGCCAGAAACTATACCCCAAAGATCCTTATCTTCGAGAACCATTTGCATTTTGAACTTCCATAAATGAAAATTCGTTCCATCGAACTTATCAATGTGCTGTGACATAAACTCCATCGGTTTCGCAGCCATAATTCGCACTGAATTTAAAATCGTCGAAAGTCAGCTTCGTGGCAAATTCTATTCGAATTTATCAAAACTCCTGGGCCCATAACCTGTTAAAATCAGGAGTTTTACGCACAGAAACAAGCGATTGAAGATAAATTCATCCATAACATAACGGCGATTACAACTCAAAACGAAAACTTAGAAGAAGTATCATCTTACAGCTCACAGCATGACAGCGTGCAATAAAAGCGGAAGTAAACGTCATTGTTCGTAACTAAACAATAGCTCTATTTTTTGTATATTCTAACATAGAGATGGGGCTCTAAAGCTGAAACAAGCGACTGAAATCAACAGCTGCTCAAATGAAAGCAAAAGTGGCCGATAACCCTAACCCTAACCCTTAGAAAAAGGAGAAGTGAAAACTCTAGCAAGAAGACACAAGTTGCTTTTAAAGAGTTGAACAAAATGAATTTGCAAACAATCTTTTGGTGGTACAAAAATTGAAAATGACAAACATTTAGTAAACTAAAGCTTTTCTTCTGACACTCTTCAGAGTTTAAAACGTCAGAGCATAGATCGAAAACTCTACGCTAGGAAATAAGCCAATCAGAAACACGAGCACATGACTGTTGAGGTTAACCAATCAGTGCCGCTTACCTATTGAGAATGTTACCAATGGAGTCCTAAGGTGAAAACGAACTCCTTTTGTCTACACAATAGCGGTTTTTTCGTGCTTATGTAGTTAGATTCCAAAACTGCTAGGTGGAACGACGATCGGGCTTTACCAATAATTCGAAACATGTCGCCATTATAGTTTTTTGCACAATCTGGGTTTTCCAGTAAATGCTGCCGGATAGCAGAATCGCAGGTTTTAGTTGTAATTTTAGATCTGCAAGACCGAGGTGGCTGTTCTCTATGGGGACGAGTTTTGTTTCTAACACTAGACGGAACATGTTGTTTTATTCTATCCTCCAATCTTTGGAGAGTGCGTCCTACGTAGCCAGAATCAAAATGAATTTGATACACATAAATTGGGTAGAAATTGACATCCATTGAAACTTATAAACGACGTTACTCGGAACGCCGGAACTTTGGACGTTTGCCTCGTTTCAGGGACTTATAATTGCATTCTAACAGCTTTATGCACGACTAACATCGTAAATAGATTCAATTAATCTGATAAATCTAGAAAACATGACATGATGGTCTAGGAATAATGACATAAGGATGTTTCTGCATAAACTCGCGAAAGGATGGACTCACGTGTGCGCGTAACGAAGTGCGCTGCAGTCGAGAACACCGGTGCCGAGATCACAACGGCAGCCTCCGCAATGCTGGTTGATCTGGTAATGCGGATGATAGCCAACTCTTGCCAAGTAAGGAACATAACTGTAATACCCTTCCCAGTCTCTGTAATTTATCCCATCCTTTCCATACCTTAAGGTCCAGTACCTATACCCAAGGTAATAGCATTGACAACAGCAGAAACAGTTGATCACCTGAATCAAAATTATATTGATTGAAATTTCCATGTTTCGCGTTAAAAAGGCAATAGAAATATGCTTAAAATTATCGGATCAACGACCAAAATTCGGAATTCGAATTCGCGAAACATCGAACTTGCCGGCGAATATTTTCGTACATTGAAAAGCTTCACAATACAGTCAACTGATGTAACATTAAGACGAAAATTAAGAAATACAGAAATACATTAAGACGAGCATGGCGATAGATCTTCGAAACAAAATTACTAGGTGAAAGGGGTCTTCGTTGCTAGTGACTTTGGCAGGAAAACAATGCGTCATTTCAATGGCTTTGGAATAGAAACAAATTTGAAGGGTTATTCAACTGTTTTGAGAACAAAAATACGGGGAAACGTTGAACCAACATTCAGAAAAATTCTGAAAAAAAATTATCGAAGCATTGCTAAACAATTAAGATAAAATGTTGCCAATTTGAAATCTGGATACGTTTATGTTTAAACTGACAATAAAATTACATGGAAGATTCTTTTTAGTGAGATGTTAGCCTGCAGATTATTGAAAATGAAACAAGACGAACACCGTTCAAAGGTGACGTTTAGCGATCAAAATAATTTATTGTCTAAAGACAAAAAAAGCTTGGATTTAAATTATTCTATTCACGGTTTACAAAAGCACAATGAAGATAAACCTTAATTTTACTTAATGTTTTTGAATTGCTACTTGTGTAGATGATGAACATATTAAAGATTCAAAAACCACAGTCTATTTAGTCAAATGAACAGCGACTCACCTGGTGTCAATAGTGAAATGTTCAAGCCCTAGATTTCTGCTAAAACAGTCTTATAAGTAATAATTTTGTCATCAGAGCTAAGCTTGAAGTTTCTTTACCAATATTTTTACTTGAGCGTTATATTCTTTTTCAAAAAAGCTTCATTACATTGTCACTATTTACAAATGCTTCAGAAATTTTGTAGAGAGCAAATTTGAAGCAGTGCTTCAATATTTTACTGAATTTCCTCCTTCAAACAGCAAACTAATCGTTCAATTTAGTTTTCGACTGAAACTCTGTAAGATGACGAATGCATTTTCGCGCCATTAACTATCGTCCCCAAGCCCCTTCACCTAGTAATTATGTTTCGGAAATTTATCGCCTTAGGCCCTTGGCCACTGCGAGCCGCCCCGTTTTCTTCCCTGACTTCCGATATCAGAAGATAATTCCGTGTATTTTTAATATAAAAATAAGATTTTTATACCAAGTCTGCTTGAGTCTACGGGACCAGTTTCGTCCGTTCTATGCGAAAAAATCTAAACATGTCTAAAAAGAACTATTGAATCTAAATCTTAGCAGTGGCAGATTTAGATTGAATATTGGAGAGACAAAAATGAAGAAGGACAAAGGGAAAATTCTGGAGTCCACACTCTTGTAAATGCTCTTGGGGGTCGCATTAGAAAAGCATCCATAAAAGTCCTAAAATCTCTAAAAGCGTGATTTTTCGAGCAAGAAAATTGGCGAAAAACTTTTTCAAGCAAATATGTGCCTTTCATTTTTCATGTTCAAAGCAACTTGCAAAAACTCGCTTCCTATAAAATTTGCTAAAGAAAAGATGATTTAAAAAAAGAAGAAGGGAAATATTGCCAGTTTCTGTACTAAAGAATTTCAAAATGAAAACGTAAGAGATCTCATTTTCACCTCCCTCAGCTAGAGGAGACAGCACATCGCAGCAGAACTTTTTTACAAGAAATATCTTTGTTTTTAGAAAAGTATTCAAGGACTTTGGAAATAGAGTCCAGCGCCCTAAACCCATAATACAACCTCCTTTACATGCGCCCATAATACAGTACATTCACCCGCTAAAGTGTTCTCAATTTAACTGCCCCTTTCCAATTCGACAAATCTATTTTGCATCCAAAGATGGAAACACTACCCAGCAAAGCTTTACAACTATGGAAATGAAGAATTTTTCCTTCGCAGCTTGCATTCGTGATCGTCGTACGAATATTTGACTTGCGGATTTAACCAAAACAGTCTTTGGGAAAATCTACTATAACGCTGGCACAAATGCATTATCTCTTGTGTCCAATCGCAACTGCAAAGCGCTGCCATCATTCTGTGAGTCATCGCTCCTGCCTACGTGTAACATTTGAAATATTGATAATTATCAAATATTTCCTAAACCAGATCACAAAGCCAGACAAAGTGTTGGCTGTATCAACTCATACACAATTGATACTGGTTGTAAGGGCATCTCAGAATAACTATCCTAGTGTTGAAAACAAGGTGATATTAGCATAACAAATGAATTCTGGAAAACATCTGTTGCTCACAGGCCGCAAATGTGTAGAAGTCTTTCTTCGATTTCCATGCTAATTTATGCGAAGAAAATGTGTACAACAGCACACCCGATAGCAGGTGGTTTGACGATGAATGCTTCGCTCAAGAATTCTAAAATCTTGGGTAGATAATTTGTTAAATTTTATGTCTAACTTTGGGAGTTGCAACTTGACATACCGTCAATACACATATTCAATCATTGGAAATTCCATCTAGGTTGCCTGGAGTGTTTGTAAATGCAGTAAGGTGGAATTCAAGCAAAGAGTTATCATTTATTCCGGTCTTTGCTGAAGAATTCCTTGAAGCAGAATGCTGTGAAGTATGCAGTCGACACCGATGAACCTGAAATATGAAGCATAAATATGAGAAGATGCCTCACCCAGAACATGACAGGTAAAAGTTTATATCATCACTGGGGTGAAAGGTTTTCCCCCATCGAGATTCTATCACAATAACATGACTTCCTCGACAAAGACAGCAGATTTTATTCTTGATTATCGTGTAGGTCTTTGGGATTTTAAGAGTAAATAAAACAATAACGATCGTCCAATACATGTTTCTGCGGCCTGGTCATGATAAAATGTGCTCTGTTGATGCAACCTTGCCCAGCACGATAAGCCGTCTTGTTGTTTTCTCAAACATATATTTCGTTCTTATAATAAGATGTGTGATTAAATGCATGGTTTGACAAAATTATGGCAGTCCAGTACGGCATAAACCCAGGGATAAGCCCTTTCCATACAGACATTGCACTGCCATCTATCTTAACAATCTTCTCGTGAACAAATATTAAATGCATAAAAAATATCGATCTAACGAAGAGAAATGAAACCATTCGGTATGAGAAAGATTAATATCGAGCAACCTAAGAAGGACGAAACCCTGGCTGCAATGCTGAGCATGCATTTTGAAAACTTAAAAAATAAATGAAATACTGGCTCATTCACGATTTTCTCAATTCCACTATGCATTTTTGCGTGTAATCGACATGCCTACATGCACATAGATGCGGCTACTTGTTACTTAGGAGCCCAATGTTGAAAAGTATTTTGCATCCGTTTCTTCACAAAGTCTGTGTCAAAATCTTTTTTCAAGCTTCATATTACATTATTCGAAAAAATAGCAGTTTTAAATGAGCAATGAAAACTATACATAAAAATGTTTCTAACAAAGGAGAGAAGTTAAAAGATTATGAATCTAGATAGAAAATACCACTTCACACAAGCCGTTACAGAAAGAGGTCGAAAAACTTCACGATCCTGACACATGTGAAAGGTTATCGACTTTTAGATGCTTTAGGCCGATTTTGGGTAGATTTCTATAATGCAGACATGATTTAAGCACTTATTAAGGCTGGATCAAGAAACTTAATATAGAAAAACTAAACCTTTTGAAGAGAGCCTTGAAGATACGACACCCCTGTGTTACATGCCCGGCGAGCTTCATTTCTCACGGGCGATAGATAAATATGGCAGAGGACAGCAAAATTTTTCTTGGACTGGCTGCAAGGAAATGGGAAAGCCTTGTAATCGAGTTGGCAGTGCTTCATGTCGAATATAAATTTGGTAATAAATAAGTAAATTTTATTAGATGGTAACTGGGTAAACCGCCTCTATTAAGTCAAGGGGATTGGTAACTAGAGTGATCTCATGCCTTAAGTTTGGCCTAGCCGCAAGTGCGAGGTGGAAGGGAAGGTGTTGGCCTCATTTTAAGAAATAAAGAAACAAATAGGATGCATCAACCCATGATATGTTATTATAACTTGACATAATTGAGGAATTCATTGTGACTGTACTGCATGGCTTTCAAGCATAAGCATGGCCATCATAAAGAGTGAGTTTTGTTTTTCCAAGTCTAAACAATCGATTCTTCGACCTGCAACCAGCCGTACCGTATCACGTTAGTAGTAGAGCTAGAAGTAAATATGAAAAAGTTCTGCAAAACATATATTGTTATTTCATATAATTTAAAGTAATTTAAGTTTTGCGATTAGTTTAATTTCACGTTAAAAGTTTCCTAAAGCAAACCTACACAAATCGGCAACATAAAGAATAAATAACGCTTAACTTATTTCAGGAAAGAAGGCGAGTCACTTTATGACCTTCTTGGAGTGGACAAAGATGCTACCCCAGAACAAATTAAAAAGGCCTATAGAAAGGTAAGGATATGGAAATTTTTTGAAATGCAGTTTTGCTTTGTTACTGCAAAATAGCATTTTATGTTGTTGGCTATGTTTATGATATTACACTTTCTTTCATTTTCTAGGCTATAAAGTTAGCTGCTAATTCTGTAGCTTTAACTTATTAATTATTGTTCAACCTGAATTAATCATATTATTCATTACTTTGTGAATGAATATGCAATATAGAAAGCAAATCAAGTCATTTTAATGAATCAAGAATTTGAATTGAATACTATATATCAGTTGCACGTTATTTCCTATATGATATAATGAACATCTTTTTATTTTCTAGATGGCATTGAAACACCATCCAGATAAAAACCCAGATGACCCGGAAGCAACAGAAAGGGTAAATTTGTGTCTTTGAAAGAGTGCTTTGCTAAATTCAAATTATTGTCTTATTTGGTGAGCAAATGTGTAATGTTGTGCAATGTTACTTAAAACACATTTTATTCTTTTTCATAGTTCAAGCAAATTAATCATGCCAATGCAATTCTGTCTGACCCAAACAAAAGAGAAATTTATGACAATTATGGCACAATGGGTTTGTACATTGCTGAACAGTTTGGAGAGGAGGTAAGGAAATTGCTGACAGCAGCTGATCATTTTTGCTTTCCTTCATATCAATAGATTTTCAAGACCTGCCAAGTATTGGGTAATTGCATGATAAGAATAAATTTTTTAGATGATTACAACATTTGATGGATCTATTTTACATCATTTTGCCCTCCAATTTTATCAGTACTATGATAAAAACATTTGTATTCATTAGCTTAAACACCTCCTTTTATATATTTATATTTATCTTATATTATTTTTGTTTATTCAAGTCTTTATGACCAGGTTGTTATAAAAAAATAATACATTTTAATAGCAATTTTTTCTTAGCAAGCAACAAAAACTCATGTTAGAAAAATATAGACTTCAATTAGCACATGATGTTCCTTTGAACAGCTTTTTTTTGTACAATATGAACCACAAATTTATGGTTGATATTTTATATTTTTAATGATCATATGAAAATATATTTGTTTCAGAATGTAAAAACCTATTTCATTCTGAGCAGTGGGTGGTGTAAAGGTTTAATGATATTTTGTGGCATCATCACTGGTTGTTACTTCTGTTGCTGCTGCTTCTGTTTCTGTTGCAATTTCTGTTGTGGCAAGTTTAAACACATGATGGAAGAGGAGGAGGAAGGTCAGTATGATGACATAACAAAATACGAAGAGGCATCAAGTGAAGATGAGCAAAGTGGTGTTGTTACAGAAGAACCAAAGTCAGAGAAAGAGGAATGTGCATATGTTCCTGGAAAACCTAATGAAGAAAAAACAACATTTGCAAAAGATTCACCCAATGGTTATAGTTCAATGAACAAAACAGATCCAGAAATTAAAACAACAACTGATATTTATGTTGATGAAAATAATGAAAAGCCACCAGAACCTGAATCACAATCAACCACGCCAGCTGATGCAAAATAATAGTTTTTATTGATGGTAGCAAAGTCTTATTTAATTCAAACCAAAGGATAAAAGCATGTTAATTGAATCTCATTAAAACTGATAGTTGGTTACTAATTAAGGCATTTTGATTAAAATTCAAGAAAAGGGAAGTTTATTTTTGTTAAACACAATGTTTTTCCATGTTTGCTATTTATTTATGGATATATCTTAGAAAAATGTTGTTAGGTTGACAATGATTTTGATATTAAAATATATATGATGGATAATGTCACACCAAAGGTAGCATTGCAATAAAAATTCCTCGCAGGAGAATAGCTCAGAAAATTGTCTTGGGAATGTTAAATATAAAACAAATATCAATAGAAAGGGGCTTTGCAATCTGATGACAAAAGTTTTCTAATAAAAAGGTTTCTACGAAAGGAGAAATGGAATATACTTGCAAGAATATCACTTGTTATAAAAAATTCTTGAAAGAGGCTTTGTTAAAATGAACATTTATGACATGCTACTTATGGTGTCTTTACAGTATTATGCACCTCATCAACTTTCCCATACTTGCACTATTTTGTCCTTGCTCACATATTTATGCCTATTATCTCCCTATACTGCAATGCACCCTGGGCCTTAAGCATTATTCAAAATTATCAGCCATATCATTCCAACTGATCCATGGTAGTCTACCTGTAACAGGTTTCATTTTGATCATTAATTTTTTTTAATTCTACTAGACTACTAGAATTTTGTATTAGTTTGAATTGTTTAAGTATGAGTTTCAGTCACATTTGCTATTTGTGTCAAATATTTGTCAAAACGAAGGGAATGGAAAATGGGGTGTGCTTGAATGTGGCATGCATTTGTCATAATTTAGAAGATAGGGCTGTGTCTAAAACTTTGTTGCAATTCTTTTTACTTCTTTTTTGAATTAGCAATGGGTTTATCTCACTTAAAATGCAGCTAAGCAAATTTTAAAACTAGGAGTTAATTTTGTGTTATCTCCATTTTTTGTAAGATTCCTTTGTTAAAATCAGGAGATGACATCCAGTTTGTTTTATTCATATAGAATGGTTGTGAACCAATTATGTGTACATTTTGTCATGTAATCAAATAAATATGAAAAGTGATTACAAGAATTAATATTTTCTTTTGACAAAAGAATGGGTTGTGCTTCTTATTTTGAAACCATACTTTCCACGCTTTCCTCACAAGATTCATTTGAAATATAACATACATTTGAACCGAGAACTTTCAGACGGGAAAGTTTAGAGAAAAAGAACTTTGGAAAATTTCTTTCGGACGCATAATCGAGATGTTCGGACAACAAAAACCTTTGAAAAAACAGTTTTTGGATGGTACCATAATATATATATATTAATATCAAACCCTAATCTAATATGATTCAATATCTATATATTAAATCCAACTGCACTGTTAAGGGATCATCAATTAAGGGATCAGATGTTTATCAAATGAAATGAAAATGCCAGCTCAAACCACTTTGCGAGGTTGACAGTAATACAGATTAGCCCGAAAATTCAGATCATCATTTTTATTTTTTTTTAAAAACGTTCAGAGGGCATTAACCCCCTCCTTCCCAGCGTACGGTTTGTAGACTCGTGAAAATGGTGATGTAAATGGATGATCTCTAAGCTAATTTATACGGGGCAACTTTAACTAGCTCTAAAGGTGTAACGGGCAAAGACAATAAGAGAAAATAGAGAACAGCAAGAAAGAACTATTAAGGAAAGGTTAAAGAAATCCAGAGGATCACGATGTTTGAGGCGGATTTTTCAATATTTGTAAGAAGTAAAATGAACTCTGCATTGCATAGCAAAGAATCAAGCTAAAAAATCATAGTAGGTAATAAACAAGTCATAAACTATTCCGAAAAGCCTTTGCATTTGATCATAGTCATGATATGATGCATAGACGCTTCCTACTCTTATGACCTCCTCTTTGAAGTTAATCATTCCCAGAACCTGGGAATCGCCAGTGGCTGAATTGAAGCATTAACTGTTTCACTTTTAACATTCATATCTTGTTTAGCCGAGCTGGAAACGAACGTTAAAGTAAATGAATGTTCAGACAATCAGAAATGTTTTTTTTTCGTCCATCATTTACAACGATTTTCTTCATATATTTACTTTCTTTGTCGATTATCATCCAGTTTAAGCCAACTGCCTCTAAAGATTTTGACTATGATGTCGATCTCATAATTATGGGTGCCGGTATTTCTGGATTTGCATGTGCAAAAGAGTTGAGAAAAAATGGAGTGACCAATTTTTTTATTTTAGAAGGTAGGAACACCTCAGGGGGAAGATTTCAAAGTACCAGAATTGGCAATGTTACTGTTGAGCTTGGCCCGAATTGGATTCATGGAACGGAAAACAACCCTGTTTATGATCTGATTCGCCGCTTTGGGATTCGGGGCCAACATGAAGACACCAGCTCAATCATGTCGAAAAACATTGATGGTAAAGACATAACAACTGCTTTCAGAAAAAGGCAGCAAATACTTAAAAAAACAATGGCTAGTTTGGATAGTTCGAGATACTCAAACTTGTCATTAAGAGAGGCATTGACACTCAACGGTTGGACAAACAGAACTGCTATTGATAATTTGGTCGAATATGTAGTTATTGATGACATGGAAGGAGTTCCACCAGAATTATTGTCAGTCTCACATTTTGTTAAACAGTCTGGTATAAACACAAAACTCGGCAGACAGTTTTTCATTACAGAGCAAAATGGATACAAAAAGCTCATCGATGGTTTAGAAGAACTAGCATTACAAGGTGATTCCACCAAACTAAAGCTGGATCATGAAGTAAAAAAGATTCATTGGAACAAGTATGGGGTGAGAGTTGAAACTTCCAATGGAAAAGTTTTTACAGCTAAAGTTTTGATTAGCACAGCTAGTAATGGTGTTTACCATAATTCCCCACATTTGTTTTATCCAAAGCTCCCTAAATGGAAACAAGATGCACTGTGGAAATTCAAAATGGCAACATACACAAAGATCTTTCTTAAATTTCCCTATAGATTCTGGGATAATGTTGAGTATATATTTTATGCAGCTGAAAAGCGAGGTACTTTCCCTGTGTGGCAGAGTTTGGATGCAGGAAATAGATACAATAAAAATACAAACATGCTTTTGTTGCCAGTTACAGGACAAGAATCATATAGAGTTGAGCAAATGAAAGAAAATGACTTAATCAAAGAAATAATGAGTCAGGTAATGTCAGTTTATGGCCCAAATGTTCCCTGGCCAACTGATATTGTGGTTCCTAAATGGAGTTCTAAGGAGCATTTTTATGGATCATTTACATATTTACCTGCTTTTACAAGTCATGCTGATTTTGTTGCATTGAGAGCAAATGTTGGGCCAATCTTTTTTGCTGGTGAAGCTACTCATGAAGTACACCAAAGTTACATTCATGGTGCATATTTTGAAGGTATAAACAGGGCATGTGATGCAATACAAGCTCTAAGAGGCTTCCTAGATGTTTCTAGTGGTCAGTTTGACTACAATTATTACGATAGTTGTCTCAGAGACTCATGTAACTGTTGTTCCAAATAAGAAAAGTGACTGCCAGACTTTAAGACTATGCAGTCACAAAGCATGGCCTACAAATGGTAGAAGTAGTGTTAAATCAATAGTGCATTTTGATGCACAGTTTTGAATTATTTATCCCTAGATCACCTCAGGTCTTCCAGGGTGCCCCTCCTTAGCATGAAATGCTCATAGATTTTCACACCAGTTATTTTAGTTGGTTTGCGTTGTATTTGATTTTTGATTGTTCTAAAGTATTTTGAAAGTTTTAAACTCTGAAAGTATTTCATAATTAGTAGATTTTTGTGTAAATTCCCAAAAAGAATTTATTTTCAATATTATGGATTCTGTTTTTGCAGTCATTGCTCTTGGTATCATAGGGAATGTGTAGCAATTGCCAAGCACTTTAGCACACTCAGGCAATGGTTCAAAACTGTTTTTGATAAGGTGTCCTTGTCATTTGTTCATAGCTTTACAAAACAAGCTTCTTCTGAATCAATTGAGATATATTTCAATGCATTTCTGTAGAAGTTTGGAATTTCCAATAAAGGAAGATGGTTCCCCTTGAAGCACAATGGTAAATCATGCGCTTCTCAAAATCCTCATGGAATAATCAAATATGAGTTTTTACAATTGTTGGCAACATTTACATCACAGTGTCAATCACAACAATTGGGGCTAAAATGGGCAAGAGGAAACTTTCTTGACATTACTGGCCCCTACAATTTAGGATAAATGGCACCAGCTCTTCATCATAAGCAGAATAGGATAGAGAATTGAGCCTTGTAGCACTCTGGTTCAGGTTGTGGAAATTACGAAAATTTATCATCATGGAAAGGAAATTTTTCTAGCAAAATATTGCCTAGTTAAACATAGCAATGTCCCTCAATTTTGATGATCTCAACAGATATAGAATCCCAACGGTTTGGTGAGGAAATGAAGGACACTTAGTCCATTCCTTATAAATGATACATAGCCATGAAATGAGGCAAAAATAGCATGGTGTTAAGAGTTTCTCATTGACAGTGCCCATCAAACCTCCCACACTGCAAAAAGACCCAACGGCCATGGGCCCCCAGGGCCAATTCCAATGGGGGCTGGGGTGGCCATGGCCTCGCCAATTTTTTCTAAAGCAAATGATTGCAAAGCTGCAATAAAAGATGAAAGAAGTCTTGACCCCCCACTTTTGTTAGCCTTGCCCCCAGTTAAACTTTGTGGCGTGGGCCCTGCCCCCTAGTAGTTTGCAACTTCGACGCACATCTCTGGAGCGTTTTTGAAACCATCTAAACAGAGATTTAGTGGTGGGGGGCTCAGGGGGGTGCAGCCCCCCTTGTTAAAATTTTCGAAAAAAGTGGGGGGAAATTGGATGGATGTAACCGAGAATCATGTAACGCAAAGAGAGATGTGAAGAACTGTTGCTTCATCACAGGTCAGCTATTGACGATTAAACAGGCAAAGGAAACAAGAACAATTGACAAATTTAAACGCATCACAAACTTTATATGCATGAAATATGTGCAAAGTTTGACATATAGAGATGGAAAATATCTGTTTTGTTAACACAACAGAAAATGTGTCAATTCAAAATCCAACCAATTGGTTATTAATTTTTAAAAAAGTTCTTCTTATCCATGCTATAAATATTTTATATGCATTTTCTTGCCATTTTTAGAATGTCATGTCTCAAAACTTTTCTTCGAAGTCTCCCCCTACCCTTCCTACGGTATCAATGTTCTGATCTCAGCTACCGCTAAAACAATGTACCCCGCTGCTCAACCACGATGGGAAAAAACTTCAACCCTTGTCATATTCAAATTGCAATTATTACATGACAAAGAACAACTTGGAAATTTCATATAGCCCCCCTTGTTAAAATTTTACGACTACATCCCTGGATCTAAAGTGACACTCCTGTAGGTCTTCTTTGCATATTTTGTCTACCAGCCCCCCCCCCCCCCCCCCCCCAACAAAGTGCATCTGCATTGGTTGACGAAGTGAAGGGGCGCTTATTGGTGTTTTTAGCTGAATGAGGAGGCGTATCTTAGAATAATGTGTTTAGAGGTACTCGGCGTTTATTGGCGGAAAAACGGCTAATTGTTATTGCCACTGATTGTTGGGAACAACTTCGTTTCTACGCTTCTACCTGTCCAGAAATCCAAAGCCCGGTCTCCAAGCTGGTTACTTTTTGGTAATATCATGGTTCGCATATGTTTCATGTAGGTTCCAGTGGAAGGGGCACAAAATGGAGATCTTTGTTCCATGAGAGAGGGTTGCCATCGCTTCCGGTATCGGGACGCGCACCGCGGTCTATCCAGCTGTGCTGAAGGTTAGACTGGTCATGTTACGCCTTGCTTATCAGTAAACATCCTGATCGCTGCATTCTACAGGTGGAGAACATTCGGTGAGTTTATTTACATGTTTAGCAACAACTGACAAAAAGAGAATAACCTAGTTTATTAGAAGATAAGAGAAAGGGGTTATGAGAGAAAATTAGATTAAAATGTAAAGCAACTAAAATGTACACACGTCAATCACTTTCCTTTTGACAACCGTTTAGCGAAAACCTAACGGTAAGTGACAAAAATCTAAAATGATATGAATCAATAATTCATGATGAAGGAATATCCTCCGCCCTTGACCTAGGGAAAGATCTCTCACTTATCAGAGGTACAACTATTCCTTTCTATCAATATAAGCAGAATGCCATTTTTGTAAAGCTCGAAATTACTACTCGCATTCTCAACTTTTTGATGATTGAATGCTTAATCACAAGGTAACATAAAAAAGAACACCTACACTCTTGTTTTATAAAAACCTGTATATTTAAGTCCGGGGTGACTGTTCTAAATACTTACGAAAATCTGAGGCTGGATTGTTCTTAATTTGTTCTTAAATTAATAATGTGTAGCCAATGCGAGTGCTAGCTTTTTCGCTCTAGGGAGGTGTTCAGGCCTTTTGCCAACAAAGTGAGTGAGATTCAGGCCTCATTTGCCAACAAAATGAGTGAGACAACCTTCATTTGCTGACAAGTTTGAATATTCACAAAAAGCCCCCAAACATGGCTAAAAATCCATTGTTTATAAGATAAAACGTCGTTCAATATTTGTACTTAACTTTTGACCAATTTTGATGCTCGTGTTCTTATAAAATTATTCTTATAAAAACAAAAGACTGTAATTTGTCAAAAGAAATTATTTCTATCATCTATGTCAATTAATAAACAGAATACATAAAATAGGTGCCTTAGCGTCGAAAAGAATCATTTGAAGCACATGCTTTTTTATAGGAACAATGTTTCCTAATTTCTGACCGTCTCAGAGCTCGGTTTCTCGGTTTCAGTTTCTTCTTAAATAAATAACATATCACCTTTACTTAAGTCAGATTCCACTGGGCGCGTAAACAGTATGTTAAAAGAATTTCATAATAAATACAGTAAACTAAACCTGAATAGATTAATTAATGGAGCGAACCAGGGCCGTCGCGAGGCAAGCCTTGTTGGGGGGGGGGGGGGGGGGGATGCGGACTACAAATTCACCTGATTAAAAAATTTTGCCTGAAATTCTTTAGTTGCTGTCACAAACATCTGCAATACACTTTTTCAATCTAACTCTGTATATAATTCACAACTTTCATCTTTATATGATGATTTCTGGATTTTTGGATTTAGTGCCAAAAAGAAATATTCAAGTCTTCAAATAATTAGTTTGTCTACCTTCATTCATATCATAGAATATCATATTTAACCAAGGAGCAACTACCTTTGCTTGATCCTTTATTGATTTTATGACATGAAGGTCTCTGAAATACCTAAAGCGCTTCTTCCACCGAGTTGATTTTACCTGAAGTTGAGATACTATTGAGATATGTTCAGTTATTGTGACACCCCCCACACACCCCCAGTCGCGACACCCTTGGAGCGAACACATTTCAGCAGTATCTCGAGATAAATATTGAGTCACAGAATATGTACATGTGACGTGACGGAGTACAACACAGCACAAACATGCTGCTTTTCAAAATAAATATGGCTTGCATTGATCCTGTAGTTGATATAGGATTTCCACTTCCTACAGGGCAACTGTCAGCAATTTGTCTAGGGGTGTGGCGAGCCAAGGAGAAATAACGCTGAGAGAAATCGACAAAGTTCGCTCTTGGCCAAATTTTGGCTCCAACTAACCATTATATGCGACTATTCATTATCTTGTAATAGAAATAATGAATCTAAAGTTTTCAATCTAAAGGCTGATTTCCATTGGACATTTTTTGTGCGCGCGGGCGTAGCGCCCAAATCTGAGCATGTCAAGTGGTCTTGATTTTAAATACGCATGCTCAAATTTGGGGGCTACGCCCGCGCGCATAATGAGCAACCAGAGGGGAGGACGGAGCAAGAGAGCCCTGTTCTTCAACAGCGGTTCAAGGAGGGATATTTTACTGTATTCCTTTCTAACGCCTACCGCATGTGCTGGATTTCTGGGATATTTGATGCGGCGTTTAATTGACGGGGGGTATTAATTGTAAAACTGAAATCGACTGAAATTTGAAATCTGTAAAACTGAAATCGGTATTAATTGTAAAGTGCACTTGCGATTTCGCTGAGAACAGACCCGTCGGAACCGGGGGGCTGGGGGGCTGGAGCTCCCCCAATAATTGTCAAACTGTAGCATGTTTCCTTTATAACAGTGTAGTGAATGAGAAGGAAAACATCCCCCCCCCCCCAATATGAATTTCGTTCCGATGGCACTGCAGAATAAATCGTTTAGATTACGAAATGTTTAACTATGAAACTATTCTAATTAGAATGACATTTGCATTTCATCATATCATTGGGTAAAGAGGATATTTGTAGCCTATAGCTAGAAACACAGCTTCTCAATGGCGGAAAAAAGTAATATTCAAATCAGAAGTCTCTGTTCTATAGTTGACATAATCCAAAATCGCAATATCATATTCATCAGAACTCAGTTACTGTGAACCTTTATTTATCATTATTTTTCAAACGCTGCAGGGAAACTGAAGCAGGCAAGCACGGGGTTATTGGAATGACGATCATGGACGCAATTGTCAGGTTGAGTGGTCGCTTGAAAGCAAATCAAAGCATGAGAGAATTCCTCGCAGAGATGATGGGAACATTTATACTTATGGTAGTATCATTGTTATAAAAGCAAATTTAGAGGCATATAAAATTGAAACACCCTGTGAACACGTTGACTTGTTGGGAAGACGAGCCTATAATGCAAAATTGTAAAGCCAACGGATTTCGAACAAATGCTGGTTCGTCTCCCAACAAAGTCTCGATTCATTGTGTTGTATCAACCATATCATTACTCGTTACTGCGATCCAGCTGTTTGTCTTAAGTAACAGTTGACAGAGGCCTTTGGACATCTACTTGATATTATTTCCCAACACCAGTTGGGTGTTTCGATCAATAGAAAAAAAAACTGTAACACAATCCCAGGTTGTGGGCTAGTCTGGCTGAAGATAGTTATTTAGGGAATCCGCATTTAAGTGATTAATTTGCTTCAATGAAATCAATGAAACATCGCCTGCGAGGGCACCGGGTGTTTAGATGAACATCTAGCATAGGCACATTCCATATTCTAAAATTTAGAGTATGGGTACTGCCATTTAGAACATGATAAGCTGGTGGCTGGCGAGGGAGGCTAGTCACTTCTAATAACTGTTCAGTAATATCACCAGTCTAGTTTGGCAATAGAAATGAAAGTCAAAGCGAAATGATACCGAAGAGTTAACTAGAATCGTTATCTAGAAGCCTTTACTTATACAGACTAAATTAAGTTGTGAAGAAAATAGCTTAGCCATTTCTGTTTTAAATCCAAGGTTTTTTTCTCTAGATGCAGGATTGTCGTTCTAGGTATTTGGTATTGGATCAGTTGCACAACTTAAACTGGGTAAAGAAGTATTAGGTGGTTTTCTCTCCGTAAATATCAGTTGGGGACTTGGCGTCACGTTCGGCGTGTTCTGGTCACTTGGTATCTCTGGTGAGTTAGCACGCTTTGCTTTATGCAAATCGATATTGCTTTTAGCTTTCTAAGTGGTGTTACAACATTTGCCCTAGAACGGAGCAATAAGTCAACTTTTGTTGAGAATCAAGAACCTAGATGGTGGTGTTACACAGGTAACCTTAAGCCCTGGCAAAACGACTAAACATTCCACTGCACATTTCACCCAATATTTGTTTAGTGAAGTTGAGCGAAGTTTAGCGAGGGTGGCAAAACGTGACTAAACTTTTCACTAAACTTCTCTCAACTTTTTGAACTGCGAGCTGTCTATGACGCTGTTAGGTTATAGGGCATCTTGCATAGAAATTTGCTTTTGGTTTATTTTGTTGCATGTACAAGCGGTGGATAAAAATATAAATTGGATGAAGCGACGGGGAAAGAAAACACTTTTTAGCACATTTACAACAAAGTTGACTGTTGAAGAAGACACAGTAGCGTACAACGAGATATGCAGATGTCTCATAAAGGCTTTTTGGATCATGTAGAGACAGGAAAACCAACGAAAACAGACGAAAACCGTTGGATTTCCACAGCTAGAGCGCCTGCGCGATCACAACAAATGTTTAATTGGTTTTTTGACATTTTTGACCAGGATCAAACTTTGCTCAACAACACTCAACACGACTAAACAACACTAAACAGGGTGGCAAAACGACTAAACTTTTTACTAAACTTTTGACTAAACAAAAGTTGAGTGAAATGTTTAGTGAAATGTTTAGTCGTTTTGCCAGGGCTTTACAAGAGAGCCAGCAATTCCTTTATATCTTCATCTAGTTTAAATCATGATAATTTCTCAAAACATTGAGCAGTTGAATATGTGTCGTAAAAATCTTTTCTGCTTTGACAGAATAACTCTAAAGCAAGTAGGCTGAAGAGTTACTTCTTGTACATCGAACAAGTAACGATTTGTTAGTGCTGGCCTCGAATTGAATTAGATGAAAAACATAGATATTGGCGTCTACAACTTTTTTCAGCGTAGAGCTAATTTTGTCACAGTACACAAATGTGATCTCAGTGGTCAATATGTGATCATTCGCTGCATATCTAACCATGGGTAACGTCGTTTCAGGAGGACACATAAACCCAGCTGTAACTCTTGCTATGGCCTGTTTTGGAAGGCTGAAATGGCGAAAACTACCTGTGTACTGGGCAGGACAGACGCTGGGCTCCTTTCTCGCCTCAGCCTGCATGTACGGCATTTACAAGGGTAAAGTATGCTAATATTTCTAGTTCAAAGTGGAGGACTGGGAACGACTAATTACAACCTATACAATTTAATGGTTTTCCCCATCTAAAATGTAGATATGCAACTAATGCAACTAGCAAGCCAAATCATCAGAGCGAGGCACCATACCGAGCGAACGTCTCAGCGCCTTTGGAACTTTCTTGTAATCAATCGGGTTTTGCCGTTTCAGAACATTCAAGCCATGATTTGTTATTGACATGTGGGTAGAGATAGTGTCAAGTAGAGGCGAGGGCTGACATGAACACTAAGCCTCTAGGTTCCTGAGGGTATGGTTTGAAAAAAACCTTTACAGAGCACTGTAGCCCTTTACCATATAACTGGGCCACATAATTTATTTCTTTCAGATATGCCATATAGTTGAAGGAACGTATCAAAAGATGTTGAATACAACGTCGATCACCAAACAAATTATTAATTGCAGCCAGTTTATTCCAATGGTTTTAAAACTTCCACCCTAAGCGGTTCGTTCGCTAACCACTTCTCGACAAGTAGGGTAAGAACTGCCAACCAAGAGAGATTTTGGTTTCATGAATATTTCCGTAGGAGTAATTATCAGCGATAAAAATAAAGAACAAATGGAATGTCTCGTTAAACCAATACAAACACAAAATGTTGAAACAAACTGTATTTCTGGTGTTCAGTTATCACATAGAAAGTAATTGCAGGAGAAAAAGCCCCACCTTTCCCTTTATCCTTAGTTTAAAATCCATATAATTTTGATAATGATTGAACTTTGAAACTTTGAACTGACGCTGATTAGCGAGTGATACAAACATATAAGAATCATGATATTCTGGGACATTAAAAATGCTTCTTCATCGTTCTATTTTCTTCAAGATGCACTGAATATATATGATGGTGGAACTCGCCACACCGAAGGAGCTTTAGCCACCGCAGGCATCTGGTCTACATATCCATTTAGCGATGGAAAAAAGAGCATATCCAATTGGTCGGGCTTTTCTGATCAGGTAATTACTTCTTTTGCGGTGCTTGCCGGCTAAAAGTGCTCAAACTAGACAAACGTTCCATTCTCCATTCTATATTGATATTCGCTGCCAATCAAGTTATCGCTCCTGCCACAGAAATACATCCCAATGTATATGTGTTCCACCATAGGCAAAAAATCGTGGTGGGCAGGGGCTTGGAAAGGTTGGAGCAACCTTCAGGAAAAAACAAATATGATTCTCTTCTGAACACAGAGAAAAGATTTAAGTGAAGATTTCATGTGACATGGGCAGGAAGCAAGACATAGCCCTTTTCTAATTTGGACCCTTTATAGGTCCTTCTTATGTCTTTGAGTCTTTTGCCTGGCTACTATAAGGCCAATGCCATACATATGACAAGTATTGTAGCATATCGTCTATTAACGTTTCATTTTCTCATATAAATAACGAAGTTGCTCTTCTCACATATTAAACAACCTTCGTTAAAATTACAGATATTTGGGACGATGATACTTGTGGGCACTATTTTTGCGCTGACGGACAACAAAAACAACGGCGCAGAACCCAAGCAACTTCCTTATATGGTGGGCTGCCTCGTTTGGGTTATTGGAATGACGCTGGGTTTGAATTGCGGTTATGGTATCAATCCTGCACGTGATCTAATGCCAAGAATCTTCACAGCCATGGCTGGTTGGGGAACGAAACCATTCACGTAAGTGGGGAAGCTCAAAATCGTACGCAATTTACACTGCAAACGTGCATATACAAGAATTTAGCTTTTGCCATAAAATGTAGTGAATAATAGAAAGAACTTATCTGACTTTTAAAGCTAAATAAGGGCACTTCCTGCCAATATGGCAACCATAAGACACTTTTACATCACTTTTTCCAAGGCACTATTTTTTCTAAAGGCCATGGTCCTAGACTGTTTCATAATAGCATGTGTTATTCGTCACAGCGTGCATGACCATTGGTTTTGGTATCCAGTATTTGGTCAACTGATTGGCGGAGTCCTTGGTGGTGTGCTGTACACAGTCACAATTTCAATGCATCATCATCATGAGTACGAGGTTTCAAACACTCCGAGGGCAGACGACGTCATCGTCAAATTTTCACGGAAAAGTGGGGATGACCCCGGATGCGTTCAAAATAAGGAATGTGAAGTCGAACAGTGAATACATTTGGTATGATGGAAAGTGAGAAAGAACGCTCTCTGTGATTGACATACAAACAGCTCAAATTCAGAATTTTATTTGTACCCTTTTCATTTTAAAAAAGAAAAAAATTCTTCTCAAAGTTCACTTTGGGGATGGCAGAAAGTGTTGTGTCGCTCACGCCATTATGTGAACGGAAATACATTTTTTTAAGTAAAACTTTGCCTCGATCAATTTTGGAAGGCCCACCATATTCTGTAGGAAGCTTTCTGTCATTGTCCGGTAGCAATCTAGTGTCTTGTAGTAATACACCGTGTATATCTACGGGGTTGTCAGAACGAACAATAAGTGTGGTTTTGTATCTGCTATATTTTTGTGGCTTTATTCGGCAAAAGGAATCAAAACCATCTCTTTTTAAGCCAAGGTACTTCATGTAAAAATGAGGTTTCTTTATCTTAAAAGGATTCTTTTAGGGAGCGAAACAAATATCTGATTTGAAGTTATCTTACTTCTGAATCACTGGACCATGACAGAACTCTTAAGTTGAAATTTTCCTCAGATTTGATACAAAGAGTATACTGATTTGTGCGACTAAGCAAACCATATAATACATAATGTACAAAGGAAATAACATAAAATCAATGATATGTGTACTTAGTAATTTCACTGAGATTTTAAATAAGTGTTATGTCTATTCGATACATAAATTTTATAAATCATTTTCTCCTCCGCATTTCTCTGACCTACCTGTCATTACCTGGCATCAGAAGGTACTTTTTGAAGCCTGAGAAAAGAGTAGACTTGTCTTTCGATGTGACACACCTTATGATTTCTGTTCCTTGACTCCCGTCAGTAAAAAACGGGCCAAAAGGTTTAATAGAAACGTTCACAGAAACGATTGGAATCGGAAAACTTATAATTTGATACAGTCCTAGCCAGTTGGCAGTCTTACAGCGGTCCTATAGAGGTTTTATGGTTCAAGGTGCACATTTGTAGGCGCCAATTTGCGGAAAATGAGAAAATGAGGGAAAGAAGAATAGAAAGAGAGAAAGGCAGAAATTAAAAAGAAACCAAGAAAAAATCAAAGTATTGACAGCAGCGCATCGTCTATTGCTGATGTGTCACAGGCACAAAAATTTTGAGGAAAAAAATATCCTTCCCAATCTTTCTAAGAAGGCAGAAATGTGGTTAATGTGACCCTGGCGGTTTGTATCCTGCCCATTGCCAGATCACAAAAATCAATCGGACCTTAATCTTTATTCGCATTTACTTGTGAACAGGGTACTACCAGGCATTATCTTTTTTTCATCCCCAAATAGCTTTGAAGGAATAGCGTGTTCCATATCTTGTTTGTCGAAAGGAAGAGCGATTTCAGGGTAGCATTGTCTAAGGCTCCTATTGCGCTGCTGGTAACGATCGCAGGTCCTGATCTATAAATGAGCATTGAAACCAAACGGTTGAGTAGACACACAACTGCCATCTCATACAAATGGCACGACCTAATTAAAAATCACTTTCCAAACATACTTAAAAATTCGACAACAATTTGTTTTTGGATGGGTAAGTGAAATACTCTGTTGTGTACTTTTTCTTATTTCTTTTAAAGGTTACAAAATACCCAAACTAAACCAACAGGCATGTTAAAAGATGATTGATGTTTTCAACAATTGCACTTTTTCGTACTCTGAGTACCTGTTAACTTAATGTTGTTATTTGTAGCATAGTTTAATGAGCAAAATAAAACATACGTGTTTATCTCTTTGGTCAAAAGGCGTGTAAATTCAAAAATCAAATCCGCTAATAGTTAAAAAGTTCACAATTTTAAGAAACCAAGGAAACAGCGAAAGTCCATAGAAGTAACTGTAAATCTTAAATATCCGTTTTCAAAACGGACGGATCTTGACGAGAAAGGGTAAAATGTAGTTGGAAATTAAACGTTTGTCATATCATATTATTTTTAACTAATTTGTCCAGCCATTTAAAATGCACAACAGACAACGTTCGTAAGAATGAAATCCCTGGATGTGCTGAGCCATAACTACAGAGCTGATGGAATTTTCAATGCAAAGAAAGGCAACAGGTTTTCTTCAGATTGCATTAAACAGTTCACTTTGCGATCTGCAGCATTGAAGTAGAAAGTAGGAAATTCTATTCTAACAAATGATATTTTGGGTTCTAGTGCTAAATTAGCTCGGTGCCGAATGATCGAAAAAAGAGATACAAAGATTCAGGTTTGCGTCGTTCTTCCACATAAGATTAGCATGCTTTCTGCAAAAGGCTGCAGTCTTTGTTTATGCAACTGAGCAGGTAATCAAAGGCATCTGTAGTGCAATAACACTTCTTTGAGTAAACAAGAATTGTTCTGAGTGCCGGTGCGTGTATAAAGAATGCTCACAACAAGCGGTAAGCGAGTGCTTCTGGTAAGGTCTCTTTTGGGACTCAACGGGACTACACGGGACTCAATTGGTCAACACTTCAATCTTGGCATCGTCTAATCACTTACTGATATACTAAACACGTATTTAGAGCCCATTCTTCTCACATTTAGGTATGTAAAGAAAGAAAAGTACGGAAGAAATTGAAGAAAGCGTTCAAAGATGATTGAGAAACTTCGGGGGCTCAAAACCCCTCTACTCGCTCGACAATGTTTGGCTGAAATGATGGGAACATTTATTCTTGTGGTATGCTCGTTTACATCTTTATTGAAAATACCAAAAGTCGAATAATGACACAGACATACAAAATAGCTCGGAAAATGCAACTTCAAAATTTGAACTCGTATGTGCTTCAATGACATCATATTAGTATAATCTAAATAAGATAGAAACGCGAAGTCGATATTTTGTTTGTAAGCACTGCAATAGCACCCAGCATTGCAGCCAACATGAGCCTAACTGTGTTGGTTTTTGCAACTTCTTTAAAAAAAGCAAAATACTCTTTGCAAATCACATTGTGAAATCATTCAATTATTGGTCAACACAATATCGGTTTTCTCTCGTCGATTAGCTGATCTAGTGAGATGGTCCCTCCTCAATATAGGGTTCTCCAAATGAAAGCTTCGTATATAAATTTGTAAGATTAGCTTTCAAATTCTTTGCCATACTCATAGGTTTGGAAAGTAAAAAGGAGAAACGGACTTAATATTTTACAATTTTGTGGTGAACTCTTTACCCGATCAAATGCATTTCTATATATAGATGTTTATTTGCGGTTGGAATCTCTACATTTCCATCTAAGTGATTCTGTACTTTCCTTCTCTTTCTTGCAATGTTTTCTCAAGGCAATTCTAATTCCAGGCCATTGGTTGTGGCTCAGTCGCTCAATTTGTCCTCGCGAAACAGCAGTTTGGAAACTACTTTTCTGTTGATTTTGGGTGGGGCATGGGTGTGGCATTTGGCATCTACTGGGCAGGAGGCATTTCAGGTATTAGCTTCTTGCGGCACTGTGTATTTTGTTGTTATTCATGCTGTATTTATTCATATTGTTTTTATTTGTATTCTTTATTTACATTGTGTTTAGATCACTTATTCATCAATATACTTAGGAGTGAGCTATTACCTACCAATTATCCACAAGTCTAACCAGACCATACTAAAAAAGATTACCACGAATGATTCCCAAACCCTTGTCGTTCTTGATTAACTTTTTGCAGAATATGCATTTCCCTTGGTAATTTAAATTGACGTTTCCCTCCTTGATTAAGGTGGACACATCAACCCAGCAGTGTCATTGGCTCTTGCAGTTTGCGATCGATTTCCTTGGTCAAAGCTCCCTTGGTATATGCTGTCTCAGTTCATTGGCGCCTTCATTGCCTGCGCAGGAGTTTTTGGCGTCTACCACGGTAATATACGAACTGATATAAACACGTAATGCAACTGAAACATCAGTGAATTCAGTGATTAAGAGCTTGTCGTTTAACTCTTATTGTACCCATGAATTGAGCGATACCTCCAGGTTCGATACTGCCCTTGCAATTAAATACAGATGTGTGGTTGATTGCGACCTTCAAAGGCAAAAAGGGACTGCCTCGCCCAAGATAATTGACCCCGTAACCTGAACTTGGTTAAATTCGTGTTTTAGTGGCATTTCACATTCACAGAACAAGTTCAGGAACCAACCGAAGTTAAGGGGTCATGTTACTATTCGTTTCCGACTAAAACCAATGACCAATTCTAAAGAAGTATGAATAATCGGATAAATTAATTTGACAGACTACTTGGTGGAATTCAGTGGTGCAGCTCGGTTGACATCCGGAGTCAACGGGACCGCAGGAATATTCTCAACGTACCCGCCTGATTTTGTCTCTAACTGGAGCGGATTCGGAGATCAGGTACGGCACCTAGCATCAGTTCGAAGCAAGGCCCACTCTTACTGAAAATGTCTTCTCTATTTTCGTCTCTGGGTTGCTGAGTAACCCATCATCTACTTTCTTCCTAAATTCCATATTCTTACACTTTTCTTTAGAGCAAAAACAGCTTCTTATGTCCGTAAACATCACGATCAAGCTAAGGCTATACATAATTAAAAGTGACGAAACAAAACCGTAATTTGTTGCTATATTTCCATTGGCTTTGGATTCATCATAAGACGGCATTGCACACTCTGTTACACTACTTACTTCTCCCATAGCCGTATTTCTCAACCCAAAGCACTGCTGGTTACTTGAAACTGATGCTACTCTGTGAATGGTTCTCTATAAATTGATAGAATTAGGATCAGGAGTGTACAGAGTTTACTGTCCCCTTCATAATAACCTTTTCTATTTAGTTTCCTGTACCCTCTTTCTTTTGAAAGTCCCCTTACAGTTTTGATACGCTGCCCTTCTGTTAACATTACTTTTTTAAACGAAAACCAGCATGATCAGAACTACGTATTTGCCCGCATGAATAGAATCTCGTATGCGGAATCAAAAACTAAATCGCAAAAACTTACGTTTACTTTTCGCAGATGCTGGCCACCGCCATATTCGTGGGCACAATCTTCGCACTTCTGGACAACAAGAACATTGGCCCAGGATCGAACATGGCCCCTCTCCTCATCGGCCTAATTGTCATGACACTTGGAACATCCTTTGGAATCAACGCAGGATTCGGAGTTAACCCAGCTCGTGATTTGATCCCCAGAGTCTTCACTGCCGTTGCTGGCTGGGGAAAGGAGCCATTTTCGTAAGTTTAGAATCCGTTATATTTGAAAATGATTTTTTCATTGTTTTTCGTGCAGCAGTAATGCACACCTGCATGCTGGTAATCGAAAAACTATTCATCTATTATCTATAAAACTTGGCTCCTATGTACTTCATTTTTGTAAGCAACTTTCTGAAAATTGTTCGGGCACATTCTACATGCTAACAAGATAATTGTTTTCTTATTAATTCACACGTTTAATAACGACAGATATTGACGATTTCTGATCCAGAGCTTACTGAATCTCCTTCTGTTTAAGAGTTTATTCGTTTTTGTCCTACTCTTCAATGCTACAAAAGTAGTGGAAGGTTAGGAGAAAATCAGAAATTTAAAAGAGCGGAGAGGGAACTTTTTTAAACGCACCGAGTATTTTAGACGTGAAATTAATAGTCAAAATGTATCTTATACTGAAGTTTAAATGTAGCAAAATCCGAGTGGGCTTTTGGATACTTAAAAACCTTTCATTCGAAAAACTTGAAAACCTTTATGGAAGAGATTCACAAAGACACTACAATATAGTATATTAAGCCGTTAATTTGAGGTGATTTCTTTTTTTCTAAAAAGCAGTTCTGATCGACTGACTTTGAAATATTAGAAAAATAATGAGGGTTTTTGCTTTTCTGTTTTTTTGAAATTCCTGTGCACATAGGTAACATTGATTGAACAATCGTCTTTCATTGAATCTAGCAACATGATAAAGACTTGACATTGAATTAATTATTAATGCTAGAGCCCACGGTGGATGGTTCTGGTACCCGATCCTTGGGCAATTCGTTGGCGGGATTGCTGGAGGTTTGCTCTATGAAATGACCGTTGGTATTCACCATCACACTGAGGAGGAGGATTACTACCCGGAAGAAAAGCGACCTTTGAAGGATGATCCTGAAAATAACGCTGGGGAAGCATCAGAATGAGGCTTGAGAAAGCAGCAGTTGTTCAGAAAACGAGTTGATTCACCTGATATGGAAGGAGAATGGTCCTAGTTTAAATAATGGTTCTATGTTAAACATTTCATTAGATTTGATACGAGACAGATGGCAATTACATAGCTGGTGTACAGCAACCTTTGTCGCAAATCTGAAAAATATTTCCATTCTGAAGAAAACTGAACTTTCACACACATCAACAGCAGACAATTTATTACCTATTATTTCCACTCTGTCTTTTATCACATCTGGCGATTGACTACATGAAACATGTGTAAATTTCTCTGGTTTGTTTTAAAATCTCTATACTTCTTATTTAAACAAAATATGTTGTAAGAATAAATCTATTTGAAAAAACATAACTATTTTCATGTTGAGAATAGTGGAGCAATTAGGTCGTTTATCTTAACATTCAGTTCTTGATATTAAATGTGTTTTAAACCTGCTTTGCGAGGCTTTGAACATAAGTTAAGAGTCAAAAGTCTTCTTTAAATATTTGGCTCCTAGAAAAAGGTGCTACAGAGCAATTTAAGTAAGCAAAATGGATACAGAGACCTAGCTTACGAATGGAGTGTGGGGAAGAGCGCGGGGCCATTCTGAAGAACAATTCCAACACACATACACATGCATATACAATTCTTTCTAGATTGAGATTTTGGATATCGCAGCTTAATAATGAAATTAATAACCAGTACAACGACAAAGAAAAAAGACATCATGTATTTGTCAACTTCTTGCTACATCATGGATAATTCCAATTAAGACAAATCCATTACAGATTTTGAAGCATAGAATGGATCCATGGTAGTAATTATTGTGCTTAGAAAGATACAATTTAGGATAAATTATCAAAGTAACAATAGCCAGCATTTGTACTTATGCCTTTCAAAATGAGAACTAAATTTTCCCTAATTGGTTTTTGTAGACACTGAGTTGGTCATGGGTTTTATGATATCACAAGATTTAAAAGTATAATAAGGTAAAGAGAGATGATCAATTTGCAGTGCCTTCATTCATATTTTATTCAATAATAGAAAGACAGATTGTTTCTATGATGAAAATGACAACACCCATTTTATGAACCAGAAACTAAAGAGATAGAAACAGCAGCACTACAAGCGAAAGGCCATCATCTTGGCTATTATGCCAACAAGGTCAAGTGTGAAATTTCTGCAGTTAAGGTATGGGGTAAAAATGTCACACTGTTAAACAAATACTGATGCAAATGATCTATATTGACACCTGGTGGCTTACGCATTGAGAGAAATGAATCATAACCTGTAGGTTATGTTTTTGTAATAACAAGTTGATTGAATTAATTGATTCCTTCAAAACATATCACCTCAGATCTTTATCTCTATTAATATTTTTTATATTTCAAATTGTGCCTAGCCTCTTTGCCTAAGACATCAGTTAGACAATTAAAAAGGTACAGGAAAATTTAGTGTAAGGGCGGCTCAATGGTTAGGATCAGACAAACTAAGGTTTGTAGTTGGAATTCCTGTAATGACCAAACTGACACATAGAATGAGGAGAGTTTTCAGCTCTCTGAGGAGTGTCTCCAGTGCCGGGTTGAAATCGTGAGATGTAGTCACATTGAAATAAAGGACCAGGACTAGCTCTGGAAGCTAGGTAGTAACAAATGCACAAGTACAGAGGACCAAAAATCAATAGTTGTATACACACAATATTTAATTTGAATTATTTAAGAACAAAATCCATTTTAACTTTTTTAACTTTCACTAATTTTGATAAGCACATTGGTAAACCATTTCTATTAGTTTCCCAGCTTCTTTGAGTTGTTCCATTTCAGAATAACCACCAACAAATTGGCCATTTACAAAAATCTGTGGAACCTTTGATTGAAAAAAGACAACAGTGACAAAAACGAGAATGCAGTGCCCCCATATACACAAATAAATCAGATACGTTTATCAAGTTACCAAGGCAGCTCATGCTAACTTTCAAAATTCAAAAATTTTGAAAAACTCCACTCAGTGAGTTCGGACACTGACAGTTAAGTCTGCAACTATTGAAAAAAATTCTGACTCGATATTATCATCAAAGCAATTTTTTCTAGCACCAAGACACCGAAATATTGAAACGAGAAATCTTACTACCTACATGTCTCAGCTAAATTATTATTATTCCTAAATGCGTGAAATATATTGTTGTATATATACCTGACATTATTGATTGAACATGAATTCTAAGTTACATACCGTTCTTACTCCAGTTTTCAGAGACAGTTCTTTTGAATAGATGAAACTGTTTTTACCAAGCAAATCTAACTCGATTACTTTATATCTAACTCCAAGATTGGCCAAAGATAGCTTCGCTTTTTCGCAGAACTTGCATGTCGTGGTTGAGAACATGACGACACAGTTGCTCAAAATGGCTCCCTCGACAGAATCATCATCGACTCTTTCATTATCTTTAATTCTACTGGAAAAAGTTCCTCCCATTTCGCTTTCAAAATAGATTCATTATACAGAATATTTCAATGTGCATGTGCCAAGAAAGGAAAAAATGCTACTATTAGTAAGCATGGGCCTAAACAGTCTCGTTTTGAGGTCAACCTCATTTACAACTTCTAACTGATGTATCTGATCTTTGATCTATAAAAAAGACTTTTTTATTTATTGATCAGTGTATGATCGATATCTCATTGATATGACACCACTTATCAGCGGATTACCGTATTTCCTCTATAGAACGCCACGGCGTTTATTAAAACCTTCAAATTTTGGATCGGCGTTTATCAGAGGGCAGCGTTCAATACAAAAAGAAAAGTTTGTCAAATGGAAAATGACAAGAAAAGTGCGATGAAAAAAGAATAAAACATACATTTTTCCCAAAAACACATAACCAAGATTGTGTGAACAATTTTTTAAAATTCATAAAAGATGTGTTCACGTTATGGCAATGTCAAGGAATATCAATATGACACAAACAATTTAATTGCTTTCGGCTAGTAAGCATATAAACTATTCGTTACCTCTTGTTTGTTGTGTTTTCTAATTAACGCCCCTTTTCAAGATGCGGCGTCCAATAGAGGGCAGCGTTTATCAGAAGTCGGTGTTTCTTCCAAATGGTTGGCTGAACGTTCAATAGACGGCGGCTTTTATCAGTGGGCGGCGCTCATTAGAGGAAATACGGTACACCAATGAAGAGAAAACGTTTAAATTTAGAATTAAATTAAAGATGAGTTACAACTGAACGGAATCATGATTAGATGTTCTCCAATATTATTTTCCTAAACTAAAAACCTTTGTACAGAAATGTGGGATCATTAAATATGAGAATATCAATATTTGAACGTCAATTTTTCTGTTACAACAGAAGCATGTCCTGCACGTAGATTACAATGTTATAAAGTAAGAACACAATGAAGCATTGGTAGTTTAAAATCATTTTAAAGCAAGTCGATAAAGCTTCAAAGCAAATAGAATCGCTTATGATTTCCTTTCAAATCGGTTATCATAACAAGACTGGGTGTATGTCTAAAATAACACTTGCAGTTCTATCTCCAAAAAATCAGCCAGCCCTAACAGTTGTTAATGTCAGAAACAAAGTTAAAGTTAATTGTTGTTAACAATTTATTCTATTTTCGTAGGATTTAACATAAATAATAGAACTGCACAGAGTTTTGCTCTGTAACATTTTTAAGTATTAAGTATTAGCAAGAAAAAACAAATTTTTCACATGTAAGAAAACAAGACAATTTTCAACAGCCAGTTTGTGCGTCTGACTACTTCAGTTGTGGACGGAGTAATGCGCAAAGAGAAAGGCAGAGGGCGTAAGAGGCTTGCAGAGAGGGGGGCAACCCCAGGACAAGGTCCCGTTTTTATTATTATTATTAAAATTAATGTTATTATTCTACATTATTTAAAGTTGGTAGTTAAAGACAAATACAACATCTATTTTAAACCAACTATCTACAAAACCAACTATCTTAAATATTTACATAAATAAAACTTCGGAGGGGGTTTCCACTGATGTTGTTCTACCGACAATTTTTACATTTACAGTTATCACCCTTCCATTCTTTCATCGATATTTTGAATTTATCAACAGACGGTGAGTCTTTTATAGTATCTGGCAGGCTGTTCCAGAGGATGCTGCCCCTGAAAGCTAATGAACTGGTGCCGTAGGTTGTGGTTTTGGCTTTTGGCAGTTGTAATAGTGAACCTGATCTTAGATTACAATTTAGTTCCTTACGCTCAAAAATATTCCACATGAAGGATGGATTTTCATATGACAGGCACTTGAATATTTCTATCACCAGATTTTGTAGGTTGTTTACATGGATCCTATCATTACCTTTTTTGTAGAAGTTCTTCAAAGCTCGATATGTAGTAATTAAAAAGTATTCTCAAAGCTCTTTTGTGAACTCTATCTATTTCTTTGTTTTGAGTTTTACCTCAAAACATCCAGATAAGTGGACAATAATTGAAATTTGACATTATAAATGTATGATACAGGATTTTTCTTTTCTTTTCATCCACGCAAGGGGCGACCCTTGAGAACGCACTGACTTTTTTGCAAACTTTTTGACACAGTGTTTTCAAGTGTTTCTCAAATTTCAATTCATCGTCAACAGTTATTCCAAGTAGTTTATTAGATCATGTCACTTTAACTATTATAATTCCAATTTCCAAGAGAAATTCTTGATTCTGCTTCAGGCTTAGAAATATTACTTGAAAATAGCCACCATTCTGTTATTTTTAAACCAGTCGAGAGCTCTAGAGACATTATCCTCCAGTCTCGTCGCCACTGATTCAACATCTTTGTCACAAGCTTATATTGTATTATCGTCCGCAAAGTTGCAGACATAGGTGGATTTCATGGCAAAAATGAAATCATTGAGAAAGATATCGAACAAAAGCGGACCGAGAACTGAGCCCTGTGGAACTCCAGACACTATCTTCTGCCATTCACTAAATTTTGAGTCTACTTTGACGCGTTGTTTCCTTTGTGATAGATAGTTAGAGGTCAATGTAAGACTATTTGACCCAAATTTATAGGCTGCAAGTTTGGCTATAAGTAAATCATGGGGAAAGGTTCTCTAACCGTAGATTTTTAGTAGGACTGGACATTAACTTACTAATTTCTAATTATTATGATTATGTTGCTCTTTCTGTTGGTACCTTTTGCAAGTCTGTTCAGAAGTACACGACCTCTCGTGGCTCTATCAATATTTATAAGGGAATGGGGAATTTACAAAATGAAAACTGATTTAAGTAGAATTTAAGTGGTGAAAACTGATCATTTCAAAATTTGTGAATTCTTTTTACCAACAAGTGAAGGTCATGGGTCCGAAGCCCCATCTTTTTACGTTTCTTATACATGAAGAAAAGCTCTTCAATCACACAAAACTGAGACACATCCCAGCATTATTGACTAAATAATACACATTGTTTATAAATATAATCACTATAAAATAATTTAATCATATATTTACAAATTATTGACTTGATACAAGTTCTGTTTCGCGGTTTGATTGATATCTGAGAAGGTAACCTGAATGGTGCATTTGTAGTCGAGTGATGTTTCCCAAAGCCTACTCCAAAAGTATTTTTGATCGAAAATCTTGTGAAGAACCAAAGGCTTTGTTCATGATTCGTCTTCTTTGCTTTTTGACGGTTCTATGCTGCATATTTCTAAAGCGTGTCGAACGTAAGGACGAATTTCTTCCTTGACAAAATTTCTGAAAAACAAATCCGAAGGTGCAATCGTTATGAACAAATGATTCTATAGCAAGAAAATTAAAGATGAAAATTTCTTTGGAGGTTTAGACCAAAGGAGTAAAACTTTAATATATTGTATTGCTCAAGATTAAATATCAGTGACAAAAACAAAAACAAATGATTTTATTTCGGGCCTTATTTCGGGTTATCTTAGGATGCCAATTTGATAGCTCTTATCAAGTATCGGCAAAAAGAAAATCTTTCTACCATTATATATAACTTTGTAAATGGATTTTGTCGTTGTCATAGAGTAAAGTATTCATTATGAAAAGATAATATTTCTTCGAGAGGGTACTTGGGGTAGAAATCTCTTTAATTATGGTGTACTATATTGTTTATTGTTGCTCTGGTGTGGTCGCTGCTAGTCCTAGGCAGCATGAAATGCTCCGGGATAAAACATCTATGATTTAAAACCTCACCCTTTGGCTGAATTCAAACTTAGAAGCCTGAATGACTGAAGCCTGGCCGCTGATATTTAATTATTATTCAATTACTTGTTGTGTAATCTCAGACCGACGACCAGAATGAAAGACAGATTCATCCTCTTAAACCTATCATGGCCATATTACTTTATTCAATATCAGACATCAGTGTCTTGAGTCAACAGAGATTATCCCTTTCTCGCCCTTAAATGAAGAGAGAATTGAGAAGAAAATGAATGTTCGGCATTGATAAAGTCATTTTTATTACAAATCTAATTGGAGGCCCCAAATTTGATAGAATTAGAGAGTAATTGTTGTGACATCAGTAGATTTTGGTAAGAAGGGTTAAAGACCCATTGAACTGGCCATCGGTGTTCTTATGCCGTAATGATTTGATTACCGTAATAATTCGATTATTAAGCCCCCTATTGAATAAGCCATCCCTCCAACCAAAATAAGTCTTCAATGTGCCACTCTGTAGCACAGATTATTAAGTTTGGTACCCAGGGGAGTCACTCAAACTTGTTAAATACGGGGAGGTTCATCCACAGTTATCAAAATTCACCCATAATATGTCAAAATAAAAAAAACCTTGTTGTTGAGCACATAGGAGACTACTAGTCATAGTAATTTAGACCGATATGTTCTTTAATTCTTGTTTTTGACATTACTGTTATGTGTTAGTCGAACCTATAAGGATAAAAAAAGATATATTTTTGAATTAAGTACCAGAAAGCATAAGATCACAGGGGTTGGGAAAGTGATGACGTCTTAAAAATATGTTTTTGGATTTTTAGAATAGAGGATAATAAAATACTACCAAAAGTGCAATATCAGTTATATATGTAGCGAATTTGTCAAGATATGGCCAGTTAAAGACCTGATTTTTGCTTATGGCTAATATATAACTGTTGTTTTGACTGGTTCATAAGTTTGAGAGCCAAGGCCAATTTACATTGGTCTGATGGGGAAGGACCCTAAGCTCATCAGTTCAGGCAGTCTTTGAAGATCACTCGAGTTTCTACATATTCTTATACACTTTTATACGTTACACTAAGTCGCATTTTTTGGTGTTCCACTAGGTTATGGGGACAAAACTCAAGACCACAATAAAAAAGAGGCCGAAAACCAAGTATGCACAACGGGAAAAATGACATGAACTTATTGTTTCACTTACTTTTTGTAGAGGACAGATATCAAGTCGTATAGCAGATTTCTTTGTTTCTCTCTAAAAAAGAAAACCCAATTATCCCCGTCAGGTTGCTATCGCTTAAGACTATAAATAGAACAAGTTCCAAAGAAAAGAAACCGAAAGAAGACCGCAATTTCGATAAAGGTTTAGTTGATTTGGCAACGAAGAAAGAAATTCGAACATGACAAATATTCGGTAAACAAGCCCATTGAATAACTAAAATTTAGCCAAAAAATAGAAATATATGTTTTTAGTGTTGTTCTTATTCCGTATGTTTTCTTTAAAATCTGGATGTGTATGTTAGCTACTTTTCCTGCACATGCGTTTACTAAAGGTGCAAAAGACATAGCTTTGTCTGTGACCATATTACAGGCAAATCAAATTACTGGCAAATCAAATTAATGGCTCTTTTTGCGGGTAGCTGCCGGGACCACCAAGTAACATATGATAATTCAATCTTATATAAATGAACTCACAGTCTATCTAACTCGATTCTCTCCGCACTTGTGCTGTTTTTTACCAATTGCTGGCCGTTTTCAGGCCATTTTTCAGACTGGCTAGTAACATTTTTCATTTCCAAAGGGTCCTCAACAATCAAAGCCCTGTGTCTGTTTATAAAAGACTTTTTCGTAAGATTTTCGTTTGGAACCTCGATTGAAACCGCAGAAAAGCGTCGCGTGCTTGCAAAAGAGTTTGAATATGACAGAGCTCCTCCGCAGCTACTGCATACTGATTCTCTCCGCGAAAGAAACGGCGGTGGCTTATTGTAATGCCAGAAGTCCCTCGAAGAAGGATCTTCAAAGGCATTTAACTCGTCGATCGTGGAGTGGCTTTCATCTTGGCCAACTGTATCACTTTCCTTTAATGGAACTTCTGACAGCCCTTCTTCAAATGGAGCATGATCCTTAATGTCGGGTTGTCTAGACGAATTGGGAAAGCTCCTTAGTCGATCTCTAAAAGGAAGATAACTCTGTACTTCCTTCTTTTCTCTTCTTTGGACTTTCTTTGCTACGAGCAATGGTGGTTTTGTTGAAAGTGCTGGGAACCCTGCAAATGTAAAAATGATGAAAAGTGGATAGTCAATTGCTATAAAAATGAGTTTTGTACTTTACATTGACGAAGGAAGGGGACAGATTTAACTTTTTGGTTTACGCAGAGATTCATCTCCAGCAGATATTGTTGCATAATTTTACAAAATTTGAGACTTAAGCGTTGAAAATAGGCTGATAACATCTAGCAAAAAGGCTCATAGAACTGATCCTCACAGAACACATAGAACTCAACGAACTGAATAGTTCCAATCTTAGTGATTATGCATTGTGACGAACACCCTTAACTGTCACATGCTGTTTCTTTCCAGGTAGAAAGGGGCACAGTTATGAAGAACTTGATCTTGACAACTTAAGCCATCAGCTCCTCAACCAGTGGCTCATTTAAAAGCGGTCGCAAGGTTCGAATAGATCCAAGCAATGCAACGACAGAGCATTAACATGCAATGCATGCACAATAACAACTATGAAACTAGCCTCACCTGTTGTCCTTCTTTCAGCTAAGAGGTCAGATTTTGGCGACACTGTAGGCTTGAAACTGGTTTTGGAAACTCGTCTGCCACCAAGAAAGGGCCTCTGTGGTGATACTACCTGTCCTCCATTGTCACCTCTGTTTGGATCTTTGGCAAATTCAGAGTCTTTGCGATCGTTGCCAATCTTTGGGAGAACAACAACACTGGGGAGAAGTGCATCCTCTTTTTTTGATCGTGTAAATAAAGGCTTTAAGGCGTCTCTTTGCATTTCTGTGAGACAGGACAGGGAGATTGCCAACTGAGAACTGGACAGATTTCTACAAAAAAGCAAGTACCTTTCCAGCTGAATGTCGTTCATACCAAGGCTCAATGTGACAATTTATTGATTGAAATTATTTCATTTATCGACACATTGTGAAGGAGGTGTACAAGAGATAACTCGGTAGTTCATTTAAACCATTAGAGCTGCAATGGATCATTTAATGAAAAATATGAAGAGTGCTGAAAATGAGATTGGACGGGTTATTCAGTTACTTTGTCGTTGAATCATAGAATATCAATCCAACATCGTTTACTGAGGTATTGTGACAGAAGAACAGTGTAAAAGATAACCTAAATAGGTAGACCGTAACAAACTGTCACCGTGAATCATTTATGTAGATGATAAAATAGCATTCGACTGCCAAGCCAGAGTCGTGCTTCCTATTTAACTTAACCTACTTGTATTGGTTTTAACAAAGCACGACGATTTACTAAGGCTTCTATCTTCTTTACTAAGAACAAAAAAATGAAAGTTTATAAGAAATCATGAAAAGCAGATTGGGTGGGCATGCGGATCACGCATTAAAATATGCAAACAATCTTTTGGTGGTACAAAACTTGAAAATGGCTTTGAAAAAAGCAAACATTTAGTAAACTAAAGCTTTTCGTCTGACACTCTTCAGAATTTGAAACTTCAGAACATAGACCGAAAACTCCACGCTAGGAAATATATATACCCAGTTGTGGATCGGAACAGGCCAATCAGAAACAGGAGCACATGACTGTTGAGGCTGACCAATCAGTGCCGCTTGCCTATTGAGAATGTTACCAATGGACATGGTATCAAGGACTCTTTTACGTTCGCTGAGTTCATGCAAAACTTGAACATCAAAAACGAAACATCTTTCATGTGTTCTTTTGACATTAGCTGCCTTTTCACAAATGTTCCTTTGAGTGAGACCATCAAAATATGTGCCGACGCTTTGTACCGGAGCGAGCTTAATAGCCCACCATTCCCAGAGGAAGTATTCATTGAACTGATGGAAACTGCAACACGTTCAGTTGAATTAAGCTTTAACAATGAAATGTACCAACAAAAGGATGTTGTCGCTATGGGTAGCCCTCTGGGACCGGCCTTGGCCAATATCTTTGTCGGCTTTCATGAAGAGCGTTTGTTTGACTGCGACAAAAACCAGGTGTTTATATTCGGTATGTGGATGACACATATACCATTTTCAAAACAGAGGCTGAGTGTGATACTTTCCTAAAATGCTCTAATGGCCTTCACACAGCCCTACAGTTTACATTTGAAAAGAAAGAAAAAACCCCTTGCCATTTCTAGATGTTTTGGTTGAAAAATCTGGCATTGGACTTCTCACTAGTGTAAACCGTAAACCCACATTTTTGGGGTTATCCACTCGATGGAGTTCGTTTTGCCCAAAACAAAGAAAAATCAGCCTCATCGAAACGCTTACACATAGGGCACTGATGATTTGTTCCAAGTCTGAACTCGACTCGGAAGTTGAAAAACTAACTAAGATCTTTCTGGAGAACGGCTATCCAGAGGATGTTATTTCAGTTTACATTAAGGAGAAGATAGGAAATTTATCGGCTGACGTAAAATTTGGTCCTCAAAAGTGTCCGGTCTATCTAAAACTACCCTGGATCGGTGACAGTTCCCTACGTTTTGAAAGTCAAATAAAACAGGCCATTAAGTCGATTTACACGAGACGAATTTTTTCGTGCGAAGTGAATTTTTCGCCGCGAATGCGCGAAAAATATGCGCAGAAGTAGAGATTAGAAAATTCGCTGCGAAAAAGTAGAAACCATTCCTACTTTTTCGCTGTGAAATTTTTCGACTTGTGAAAAAACCAATCAGAACAGTATTGGAAGACACCTGACTTCTGTTTTGGTTTCAGATGGCCTACGTTTTTCCGCATTCTTTTTCTCAAACACTCTCGCCTTTAAAACGTCAATAAAATAGGTCGGTAATTATCCATTTCCTGTTCCTTGTACACAATCCATGTAAGTTGATTTATAGCAGATTATTATTCAAACATTTGAATTTCAAATTTACGAAAACTGGCTTGAAAGTTTCATAGCTCTACCAATATGGCAGAAATAAAAAAAAGGCAAGAATTTCTTCAAATTGCCTTATTGCTGGCTGTTTATTGGCCTGCTCAAGAGCAACAGTTTTAAGCAAATGCACTAACAGGATCTCGCATGCTCTTGCAAGCTTCGATAGCGACCTTTGAAAGTATTTGAAGAAATTATACTGGTCTTATAAATGTAAACGTAAACCTCTCTCACCGGAAGATGAAATTCCCCCTTCTGAAGATGTCCTGAATAAATTTTTCTAATCCAGTATCGCTTTTTTGATAAATTTAAAATTTTAAACTTGCTGATAAGAGCACTTCGGACAGTCGCTATATTCTTTTGTAATGTTCGCAGCGAATTCGCAGAAAATTTCACCAGTGTAAATTGAACTTCGAATTCGAGAGAAAAATTCGCAGCTAAAAAATTCGTGGCGAAAAATTCGCTCTGCGCGAAAAATTCGTCTCGTGTAAATCAGGCTTTACAAATTGTTTCCTTGCAGTCAACCCACGTGTTGTTTATAGTACGAAAAAGGCCCTTCCGTCAATTTAAAAGGACTGCGTTCCTGCCACACAAAAAAGTTCCGTTGTATATGAATTTACGTGCCAGTGTGATTCTGGCTACGTAGGACGCACTACCCAAAGATTGAAAGATAGAATAAAACAACACGGCCCGTCTAGTGTTGGAAACAAAACTCATCCCCAAAGAGAACAGCCACCTCGGTCTTGCAGATCTAAAAGTACAACTAAAACCTGCGATTCTGCTATCGGGCAGCATTTACTGGAAAACCCAGATTGTGCAAAAAACTATAATGGCGACATGTTTCGGATTATTGGTAAAGCCCGATCGTCGTTCCACCTAGCAGTTTTGGAATCTATCTACATAAGCACGAAAAAACTGCTACTGTGTAGACAAAAGGAGTTCGTTATCACCTTAGGACTCCATTGGTAACATTCTCAATAGGCAAGCGGCACTGATTGGTCAACCTCAACAGCCATGTGCTCGCGTTTCTGATTGGCCTATTTCGATTCACAGCTGGGTATATATATTTCCTAGCGAAGAGTTTTCGATCTTTGTTCGGACGCTTTAAACTCTGAAGAGTGTCAGACGAAAAGATTTAGTGTACTCAAATGTCTGCTTTTTTCATAGGGAAATAAAAAAAAAAAAAACATATATATGCTTGAGTACTTTGTGACTGGGATTAGCACAAATAGTAATTTTCGATTACGTAAACACAATTCTACATCTGCGAGCACTACTTCAAAATTTCACATCAGCATTTTAAAAACAAATGTAAAATAACCAAACCCAGTCTTATTAAAAAACATCTTATTTAGGAATTGAATTTCAACAGAGGTGAAGTTAATGCTGTAAACTTTCAATGACGCAGAATGAGCCACGATAGTTTTCTCGAGCACCGTAGCATTCAAAGGGTAGACCAACCAAGGGCTAAGAATCAAAACAGAGGCACAGTGAACAGTGAGTCAAATTTTTGTAGAGTTAAAGAAACAATCCGACAAAGCAGCGAAACACTGAACTTCACCAAGAAATTTAGACTCTATAGCCCCCTGGCCTTAACCACTGCCCCCATGAAAGAGCTGTGATAACATTTCAATCAGAACAGCAACGTGAGAACTTTAAACAGGTTCTTCTGTAACTTATCGCAAGTTTTATTCAGTAGCAGAAGAGATCGCACATTCACACAAAGGTACCTGGCAAGGCTTTTCCATGGAGCTTAGATTGTTGAGAACGTTCTAACTCAATAAAGCGAAGAAATATTTTCTAAACTGCCTTGTTCGGTTTTAAACTTGATTTGAATCTATTTATCATCTGATTAGTGTGTTTGAAATATCGTATCTGCAAAGAAATTTGTTTTGAAATGTAAATATCAAGTAACGAAATCATCAATTCTAGTTTTTTCATAAATATTAATGGATGAGTTTTATTGAATTAATTCTAACTTGTTGCGTTGTGTTGGGCTTGTGAAAATTTTATTCTTTATTTGGCCAATAGTTTGAAGTGAAAACATTGTCTGGACATTTCCTGGGTATAAGCAGTGGTAGATAGTAAAAATGCTCAATTTTTCTACCGTATCACGACCTAGATAAAAACAATAGACCAATCAAGGTGCAGCAAGAAAATGGCAAGCTATAGTCACATAATGCATTTGCACATCATTGTGGTATAAGAAAGTTAGGACACCAGGCATCCTGAAGACAAAAATTGTTATATTCACATCACATTGATTGCAAATGTTAAATTATTGTGGATCTATATACTACATTGATGTGACTTGCAAGACAAAAATTCAAGACAGAATCCAAGACCAGACTGTCTGGAACTTGTTGGTCTCGCTGGTTTAGTTGCCTGCGATGGCTAAAGATATATGAAAATGATATGCATCAAAACAGTCGTCAAGGTTAGTTGTCTCCTCAGCAAAAAGACCGTTTGTTTATGTTCATTTCTTTGTGTTCAGAGTTCAGAGTCCAGTGTTCATCATTCTTGCTAACCATACTTTCATACTTTAAAAACCTTCCTCAAGAAATTGATTTAAACAAGGCGGGGTTCGGGTGTGGCTGTAGCTTTTTTCAGTGGCCCCCCCTTCTTCATGATGTTTGACCTCGTGAGTTTGTGTTTAAAACCAAAGGGGTCGTCTGTACTCAAATGCTCTTCTTGGTGAAGGCATGCCTTTATTGCAACACATCTTGAGACAACAAAGGTAAAGACAACGGGCAGGGACAAATGATGAAAAAGCAGGCTTGGTTCGCCTATGTTGTGTTTTTATCAATTGATGTGGTGTATCTCATAAATTTCAGTAAGGTGATCCAGGGCTTTGATACTGTGTTGCTTTGAAACAAATATAAGCGAATTGCCCTTGACAATTACCGTGGCGTTTTTATAAACATTGCTCTGAATGCCACTACGAAATTCTCGCGTTATTTTGGTCTCCACAATGACGAAGTTCAAAATATCAACACTGAGTTTAACATGGAGAATAAGATAATCTTTTTATCAAAATAAGATTGTGTTGCATTATGTGGTTCTCGATGATCAACAAACCCGTATTTCCGAAGAGATGAGCAGCAAATCTATATGAATAAAACCATAACATATTTTGTAAAGCTAGTTGAAGAATTCCATTTAATTTGAACTATTTGCAATTGTCATTACATTCATTTTGAATCAGAATGCTTTAAAATTTTTCAGATATTCTTAACTCAAAATTTTCATTTTGAGTCTGAATATATTCTTAAACTATTCTTATTTTTTTCTCTATTCTTATTCTTATACTATTCTTATTTAACTCTTCAATAAAGACAACGCTTTTTGAAAAACAAGATATGCCAGTTCTTTAGGCACAAGGCATTTTACACGAGGCTGAGCAATATTCTTATGTTCTCCTTAAAATATGATGATTCTGAGCCTGAATATTATGAATAACAAATTTCTTACAAAAGAAAAAAGTTTATAAATGTTTGTTTATTTTGATAAATTCTCTTGGGCTACGACGGAACAACGCTCTCCTCCAAGGGGGTCTATTTGGGATGGGGGAAAACATTTTGATGGATGGGGGAAAAGCAAAAGCAATTATGACGCCTTCGTTCAAATATTTGCTCTAGTTTTTTCGAAGGACAAAATACTTAGCAATTTGCTTGAATGTCAAAAGTTACTTTTAAAATACAAGATTGGAACAGCTGCTCAGAATTCTAAAACAACGTGGATGAATTTTGAATTTGGTCGCTTGATTCAAAGTATTCCTGAAGGAAAATCGAAAATGCAGTCAGGTCAACAGATGAGAAAAATTCTAGATAATGCTATTAAAAGTAAACGAACAAATATCAAAGAAATACTAATAAAGACAAATACTTACAAGGGGATGAGAAAATATATCTATTTGCAAAATTCAGACGTACCTTGAGCCAATTCAAACAGGTTGGCAGATTTTCTCGCTACCACAGAGATAACGACAGCCTTAAAATCACGACTTCTTAGTTGTGAAATGAAATTAATGATTCCATTTCCCATTAATAATGCATGCATTGTAAGCGATATCTGCTGCGTAGCAAGGTGCTGTTGGTCAGAGAGCCTGATCCAAATGAACAATGCAGCCAATTTCCTATCACGTGGTAGTTCATAAGAACAATTCCAGAAAATCGAATCTTCTTGAATTTTCCTTTGCAATTTAATTTGCTGTGAAAATATTTGTATATTCCTTTGGTTAATATGAATTTTATGTCTGCTTTTCTCATCGGTGCTATATCGAAGCCATTCTTTACGACACTGCCTCAGTTCAAAACCACTCGAGACACGGCAATATCATTGAGACACGGTGGACAAAATTCACGCCAAAGTTGTGAGGGTTTTGAAAACAGGGTTGCAAGTTAATGCTGAAAATAGTATCAATATCATTGTTTCCATGACATTAAGGTGTTACCTCTTTGCTTTTAGTCAGGGACGCCGGAGAAGGGAACCCTGTTGCCTTTTGATAGGAGGAGCAAGAGGGACCAGAGTGCCCTTTTCATTAATGTGCATTTGAAACTGTTTATTTCGCAATAATCAGAGAGATTCTTAGGAAATTCTGATTTTAGTGCTAAATTCATGACAACATTTCTCAAAACTTGTAAAAGAAACCCTTATTCCAAAAGTTAGCCAATTTTCAAGATACCTACCAAAGTTCGAAATAAAATGGCATTTAGTAGAAAGAATAAGTAGAAGCTGGGAGTTATCTTTCAAATTCCCTTTTACTAAAGCCTGCCCCCCCCTTGCCCCTTGGTTGTTCCGGCGTCCCTGTATTTAGTTATCTTAATAGTCATGACCTATATGACGACAAATTGTCGTCTTGTGAGGCTAGAATCCTCAGGTTCATAACCTTCGGCCGATAAGAATATATTGAGGAATGCTATTACAAATTTGCGTCGATTTACAAGACATCGGAGATACGATATTGACAGTTCTTTCAGTTTGTTGTTCGTAGCGTAAAGATCAAAATTCCACAGCATTTGCTCACGGTTTACCAGAAAAAGCCCTTTCGAAAGTAGTGACAATTTTATTACGCGTGACAAAACAATTAAGGATGAAAAAAGGAAACTTCACTGTATCAAATGATGAAGGCTAGATAAAATAATGTTGTAGGACGCGATAAGCTTCGAATGCACGTTTAGAGAGACCTGGTTGCACAGAGTGGGCAATTTGCCCAGCAAAAATGATATTTTCCTAGCAAAATAACTTTATTAGAACAGAACGGTGGCAAAATCTGGCAAAATATACCCTTACAATTTTCAAAGGTTTAGATTGTATCATAAGTGTATTAATTTGCCGTCTCCTGCAGTGATGTTTATCACAGAGTTGCACTTGTTTTATCACATTAGCAACCGAGTGTTCTTTTGGCCTACTAGTTACAATGAATGAATCCATCATGAAAAAAGATACGTGAACACAATGCAATACTTTCTTACCAAGTTGTCGTTTTAAACTTATTCTCGGTATGACGAACTATCAGCAGCCAACTCACTTCTCAGCTGTGACGTTTGGTGAAATTTTCGCGTACAGTCATTCATATTTGCATTATGGCAAACAGGGAGACCGCTAGCTATACGGTTGAGCTGACACTGTCAATGCCCTTTTCTCCTTGCCGCATAATATGACCATTTTCTGTTTATCTGTTCTTTTATCTTATAGTTCGTCCAACTGTTTAGTTCGACGCTCCCCCGCAGCTCTCACGTTCTCGGCCAGACAACTTGCCGTTGAGCGTTCTGCGGCTTTGCAAAGAAAATAAACAGAACAATTTAATCAGAGAAACAGAAAAATGTGATTGAAAATGCGAAACCTCTTATAGGCCATTTCCTTGTCTCGAAAATTGACGTAAAGCATGCACCTTCAACGTGCTGTGTTTACCAGCGTGATGCGAAGACCCCAAGGATCATATTCTAGTCCAATACTTTTGTATGCTAACGATTTCTAGAAATATAGCGGCACTTCGCTGAAGAGATTTAGGCTTTCTTCTCTCTGGAAAATGTTTAATGTTGGAATTTAGATTTAATTTTTGGATTTATATTGAAATTTTTTAGTGTATGGTTAAAGAAAACTCGTACTTCTTTTGCTAGAATAGAGATCAAATCGTTAAAAGTAACACTTGCTGTTTTTCTTGGATTAGATGTTTTATTCTTATAATTAAAGCTTTGAAAAAAGCAAACATTTAGAAAACTAAATCTTTTCGTCTGACACTCTTCAGAGTTTAAAGCGTCCGAACAAAGATCGAAAACTCTTCGCTAGGAAATATATATACCCAGCTGTGAATCGAAATAGGCCAATCAGAAACGCGAGCACATGGCTGTTGAGGTTGACCAATCAGTGCCGCTTGCCTATTGAGAATGTTACCAATTGAGTCCTAAGGTGAAAACGAACTCCTTCTGTCTACACAATAGCGGTTTTTTCGTGCTTATGTAGATAGATTCCAAAACTGTTAGATGGAACGACGATCGGGCTTTACCAATAACCCGAAACATGTCGCCATTATAGTTTTTTCCAGTAAATGCTGCCCGATAGCAGAATCGCAGGTTGAAATATGTTGAAATAGAAGTCTATGACACAGTACCCACAGTTTAAGTGTTTTGCTTCGACTTATCGCAAAAACTAACGAGTCACAACTTTCGTGTACAAAATCCCCTTTTGATGCCAAACAGTAGAACTGCAAGTTATGGAAACAGATCGCTCAGATTCCAAGGGTCGAAAATCTGGAACTCACTTCCAGATGAAATCAAAACAGCCCGAAATTCAAAAGAATTCGAAAAATTTGATTAAAACTTGTTCTCTTCACAGTAACTGAACTGTCTTTTGCAATCCTTCATGTTAGTCTGAATTAGCATTTTTCTATTTTTGTAACAACCAACATGGAATAAATCATATTTAACTATATTTAACTGACATGCTCCAATTTCAAAAGAACTATCGAGCCAAGCGGTCTTCCACCGCACACGTCATTAAAGTGCAATAACGAGCTGTAGTTATTGAAACTCGTACCCTTCGAATGATTCTATTAGAAATTTCCAGCAGGTTTTCTCTATAGATACATAAACGTTTAAAAAGGCTTCCACCAACAAAGGCCCTTCAACCATTGCATAGTGAGCACCTAAAGCCCGATGCCTTCCTGAAAATTTTTCCTCCAAAATTTTGTCAGTTTGCAGCTAAAAATTATTGATTTGGGACACTTTTTAACAGTTATAGATTTGAACAGGAAAAATGGGACCCCCAACGTCCACATTCACGTGTCCCTGCTGTTGAAATCGAAGAAGATACTTCGCCAACTCAAGCTCGTTAATCCTCTTAATTCTATTGAAGAAGAGCACAAAAGACTGAGTAGGTTCGCAGACAAAAAGCACGGGTTCAACAGAGCTTCGCTGAATTTTGGATGGAAAAACAGCATAGAACTGGGCAATAACTTCCACTTAGAACCGTATTTCCATTGCCATTTTAATAAAATATAAAAACAATCGACAGCCGAGCCTACGGACAAGAGATCCACTGGCATATTGACAAGCAGAAAAATATTCGAGAACAACTGGGCTGAAAAGGTTTAGGGAGCAATGCTTGCTGTTTGGTGGCACGATAAAATGAGCTTATTGCCTAAACAATTACTTCTGCTGTGGTTCAAATGTACCCAGTAAATATCTTCTACAATAAGACTTTTAGAAGAGGAATTGGTCAAGAGCATAAATAGAACAGGTTTCGCTTTGCACCGTTTTTTGACTCTATGAACAGTGACAAAAAACTGATAAAACTGAGCTGTAAAGATACAGAACAACGGAGGCATTTTGATGATCAAATTGAAACATGAAATTGCATTGATGAATATCCATCCTTTGCACATTGGAAAAAAACAAACTTTTATCTCTACATATGGAGAACATTGCAAGTTCTCATGATGCTGTGGAAAGAGTAGAAATTACCATTCTATCTATACATGAAAAAAGGCTACGCATATTTACACATTGTTTCAAATCCATTAAGGTTTGAAAAAATCCGTGAAAGAAAGGCACCAGTTGGTTCCAAGATGACATGACAAAAGCCAACCACTTAAGTAAAAAATTGCTTTGTCTATCTTTGCGAGTAAATGCAAACAGCCTAATGATAAGATGTCATCATTCAAACCACTCTTTCCTTCAATAACAATGCTTTGCCTAGATCCTCCTATTAAAGAGCAAGAAAAAAATTGGCTATAAATTCTGCTGATCGTTCTTGGCTGTCTACCAGGAGGTTTGTTCAACACATGATTCCTTATATGCTGTGCTTTTGGTCTCTTCAGTAGGAAAAATCCTTTTTAGTCTGCCTTTCGAGTGCTGTACCAAACATAAAGGCTGCAAATGTTTGCTAATATCCAAAATCGCATTATCATATTCATCAGAACTCAGTTACTGTGAACCTTTATTTATCATTATTTTTCAAACATTGCAGGGAAACTGAAGCAGGCAAGCACGAGCAAAACAATCATGGATGCAATTTTTAGGTTGAGTGGTCGCTTGAAAGCAAATCAAAGCATGAGAGAATTCCTCGCAGAGATGATGGGAACATTTATACTTATGGTAGTATCATTGTTATAAAAGCAAATTCAGAGGTTTTTAGTCACATCTCAAAACAATTTTGTTTTGCCTCTTATAACATGGCAGTAGGAAGATTTTGGAAAAGAAGGGACAGAACATAAATATTGGGAGAAAACAAGGAAAAATACAGCTGACATAATTTCCACATTTGATTGGATACATCAACAAATGGATTAAAATTTTTCAAAGCTTTTCTTTCCTTTGAGTACCTTGCTGACCTTCAGAACATTGAATCGGACAGTTTTACTCAATGGTCGACACTGGCCAACAGTCACAAGGTCACCCATCTGCACATCCCTAGAAAAACAATACAACAGACAATGCTAAGACATGTCCAAATGACCTTGAATCTATGATATGTAATAAAGACAGTGATGGGTGGAGCTCAGATCAAAACTTCATAATCAATGAATTCATACGAACGAGACTAAAATGTCATCATTGCTCCTCTTATGATATTCAATTGAGTTTTTACCCCATCATAAACAAGGTGCTAATGGCAATGCAAACTACGGGCAAAATTCTGAGTAATTGCCTAAATTGATTAAAAAGACCATTTTGGAAGAGATAAAACATAGAACATTTATATATGAATGAGTAAAACTGATAGCAAGTAAGCAACAAAAGTTACAAAGACACAGCCTGAAATGGTCAGCTAGCAGGGGTGGACAATTTGGTCTCCCATGCACCAGGAACAAGCGGTTTTATCTGTGAGAGAGTGCTTACCGTAGGGTAACTGTCAGGTGACCAAATTTTAACTGGAATTGTCCACCCCTGTAACTGGAATTGGCCATATGAGAGAGACCACTGAAAGAGCTGCTGGTCTCCCTCTGGGGGACCACCTTTTTATGTGAATTGTCCACCTCTTTTTGGGTCAAAAATTTGATGGCAAAAATGAAATTCTATGTATTAAGAACAGCTTGACACTAGAAATGAAGCTTGCAAAACGTTGCAATGCTTGGAGAAGGCCCACAATGTGCTGTCTTAGACTAGTGAGGAACCAGCACTGCAATCTAACATACCAACACCATTAAGTACTTCACAAATAAACATTTGTCATCATAACATGGAATCATTACTGTTTCCTTAATATATAGATGTTTTCAATGACAAATTTTTTTCAAAAATTTAAAGCTGCAGCTGTTAAAAGATTTGTTTAGTGTATAGAGAGCTAGCTTCCCCCTTGAAATCAGTGCAAATAGCACAAATGCACAATGCTATAACTTATACCAACACTCAAAAATTGATCACTACAGAGTGGTTAAAATATCTTGAAAGTGGTTTAGCAATGGTTTATAGAGATAAAACTTTGCACCAATGTATACCTGAAACAAGGTGAGACGTGAGCTGCCAAGTTCTTGTGTCTCTTCTCAAATCGATTGTACTTTTTGATGTAGTGCAAATAGTCCCTTCTCATGACAAGTGTTCTTTTCATTTTCATGCTTTGGACAATCCCAGTCAGAATACGTCCTCTTATACTGACATCACCAGTGAAAGGGCATTTTTTGTCAATGTAAGTCCCTTCAATTGCCTGTAAACATTAACAATTTTTCAATACTGGCTTGGAATGATGAAAAACTGCACTCAAGCACTCAAGAAAAGATAAAATTAAAAGACAAAAGTGAATGTGAAAATTCCACATTTTGCGACAATTTTCCTACATACCTATACAAAAGAAAACTTTGTTGGAATACTGCTGCCATGTAAACATTATATTTTTTCCTCTGTCAGTTGTTATGGTCAAGAGGAATCATTTCATGTACACAAGCTCAATCTTGTATAGGCAATGACAACATCATTCATATCATTAGCTTTTCTAACCTGTTTTCAGTTAGTATATAATAAAGTATATAGTGTATGTTTAGACTTGACCACTTGTCTTTTGCAGATGCTTCAAACAACTTATAAGACGGAAAGATTATCAGAAGAAATGAATTGAACTAAGCAGTAACCTCTCTTGGCGTTTTGAAACCTAGGCCAACATTTCTTAGAAATCTCTGTTCTTTGGCTTTAGTGACTTTTCCAACAACCCTCTTCTTATTCTGGAAGATGGGTCGTTGCTTCTGATAGGCTCTTTCTGTCTGCAAAAACAAAAAAGAAGTCAAAGAGATTTCTCAATTTTATTTACAGAAAGTTTTCTTGAAAAGTCCCAGCTATGATTCTATAACAGCTGCCTGCCTACCTGCAGCAATTCTACAGTTGGATACAAACTTTCTCCAGCAAGAATTTCTTTTATTTTTATCTACCAAACTTGCAGAGTGCAGAGGCTTCGAGCTCAAATACCATTGAAAGTTAAAGCTGACTGATTGATTTATAGGTGCAGTGTAAATTTGAAAAAGCAACATGCTTTCAAATTACTTTGTCAGCAATAACAAGCACAGGTTTGATAAAAAAGTACAGTTAATGAATTTGTCAGCAAAAGGCAGAAGCCTAAGCTTTAGCAGCATTAAATACTCAGGATATGATGTTGGACAGCCGATTTGCATCCTGGGGTTGTTTTGAGGCTGGTAGCCACTACAACCAAGCCTTTCAAGTTTATAGATCTTTTTATGAGGAAAGATCATTGGCACCGGCTTAACATCATTCTTGTTTACATCTTTGATTTGTCTCACAAAAAACCACAATTTTAATAATATTTCTACCATGGTATTGCCAACATTTTTCCTGAAAAAAGCTCTGGATTAGATCAGTGTGAGCAGAGATGCGGACTTTAATAAAATGGCCTAAATCTACCGTACCAATCTGGGAACGAGTTCAATTATAATACACGCATGTGAAACGGTTCGTGACGACTCTCAAATTAACTTATTTTGTAACAAACAAATGAATCTGAAACTATATGGATCACAAGTCAGTTACAGTACGATTTTTTGCCTAAATAAAAAAGAATTAAATTACCGTAAACCTCAATACAGCAGAAATCGAATATGTATGCAACAATAGTGCGACCCAGAATTAAGAAATTGGCCGTATCTTGACCATTTTGACAACATCATATGTTAGATCATCAAAAGACACAAAAAATTAAGTCCGTCGAAAGGTTATTCAAGGCGAAAAAAGCTCCAACCTGTTCAGACATTCTCAGTAAGTCCTCGTAGCAAAGGAAGGGCAAAAGAAATATCACGTTGTCGAGAGCCTCTTTATCGCTCAGTCCCAGACTCTTTTCGTTACCAGATCTCTTAAATGTGGCGCGTTCTTTCGAAATTCTACAATGGCTGCCATGATCAAAGTTGAAAACCTTATCCGATGATACATAAATTGCTGACCTTTTTGTCTTCTATTGGTATGCTGGTTAGCTACTGAAACAAGCAAGCATTTGCTGCTCTTAATTTGTGGTGGCATGATGGAATCAATTAAAATGTAGGATACAGTTATGTTTTTTCGATTTTTTAAAAAAAGATTGAGAATCTGAAGAAAGAAAATCTTAATATTTTCAGCAATAATAAAAAATATATTATTAAACAAAGCAGGTCATTTCAACATGAGTAGACCCTTCTTGATTTGGAATCATGCTAGAACTTGGACTCATGGACACAAAGACCAGCTTTTTTCCCCAGGAAAGATTCATTGATTTACAATTTTACAATCTTCGAAATTTCGGTATTATTTGCTTTGATATCTGTGAAGTGCTGCAATATCTTTGTATATAGGGGGGCTTCTCTCGTTGGTTAGCTTTACTATTGAGAGAGTACCTCCTTTAAATGATTCCCCATACATACATCATATCCCACTGATAATTTGTGTTCTATATATTATTGTGGCAATAATTGTTTGTTATTTTAATTTACTGTATTTTTATTAAGTATTTAGTGGAAAGGTATGTTGTGGAATTTAAAGTATAATGAACCTGAACCTGAACCAATTTGCATCAATTTTTTTTGTTTTATCTAGACTTGTTTGTGGTGATGTGAAAGGGCAATTTGCAAAAATCTTTAAGAAAGTTGGAAATCTAAACAAAAAGAATGGTCCATTTGAGGTAAATAAAATTAAGTTTGTTTTTGTTTTCTTACATTTATTTGAGACTGGAACCTACAATTCTTGGGAGGGGTAGGATGGATGAAGGACTTTATAGATGCATGCTACCCTACACATATTTAGAGGCTTTGTCAAAGTAGTGGATCACAAGAATTTTTGAAGGTTGTCTGTAAATCACCCTTCTTGTTTGTGTAAGATATTTCTACTAAACATAACATTAAATTGTTAAAATGCATTTAAAGCATTTGGTAAGAACCAACAAGTGAAAAAACATTCAAGACTAAAGTTTTTTTAATTAAAACAGGAATTTTACATATCTTTGATAGCTAATAACTGGATAAGAATCTCCTACTCTTTTTAATCAGAAGCTCATTATAGCATCACAAACTTGTCTTATTTCCATGTTGATGTAAAAGTCATTATTTTTATTGCTCCTTTTTTTATTTATATTTTTTGCTTTGAATTGCATTCTGCTGTTTCATCTGTAATTTTATTATGTTTAATTTGTTTCATCATATTCTTATAAAATGACCCTTAAAAAAGACTGATGCATTCACTGGCTTTTTCAAAAGCAAGAGTGCCTTGTCTCTTTTCTCAAAGAAAGGCAATTTGGCAATTTTTTTCCAGTTTAGTTCATCATCACCTTGCAGTAAATCTGATAAAACAACACAATTTTCTATGTATCAAATAGGAATACCACAATGCACTGAAAACAAACAAAAATAAACTCACAACAATTTTCTATACCTATGCTTGAACTTATGCATTATCTTGCAAAGATTTTTTGCGTTCACTCAAATTCTGTTTTTAGGTTGTTCTCTGCCCAGGCCAATTTTTTGCAGCTTCTGATCAATGTGAAAAAGAATGGAAAGAATGTATTACAGGAAGCATCAAAGGTATGTGGTGTCTTTTGAGACATAATTTATCTATTTTTAGTGGAATGTTCAATTTGACATCTATCATATGAATTATAATAAAAGCAGCTATAAAAGTTGAGGAAATATCTAGTGATTGATCATAGACGTAAAATGTTGATAAGATTTTTCCTTCATTTGTTCATTTTCTTTCAATTGCAGCACCACTTCCATTTTATATACTTGGACCAACAATACCAGAATTTGAAAGTTTCTATACACAGGTGTCACTTGAAGATGGGGGAGAACTATGTCATAACATCACATATTTAGGTAAAAAAAATTACTTTTTGTTTTAGGTAGAGTTTTTCTCTTCCCTGCAATTGACTGCAACCAACTAGTTTTTGACGTCCTCAAGATTATTCTTGGTATATTTAGCAAAGTATATTGGTATAATACAGGCCTTTCCCGGAGACGCAGGCTATAGCCCTTGCCCACGCACACCTCACGCAAAAAAATTTGCAGGGCCTTTTTTCCGCATGTGCAGTTGTTTATAACAACATTCTCATTCAGTCGGCTTCATCTCACTCTCCAATGTTTTAACTACTTACTGCTATATACCAGGGTATTTATGAATAACTATGTGTCAAAGGGATAGATGGTTTTTATAAATATTGTTATAAAAAGGAAATTTTAGTTTTGTTTGACAACAAATGTTAACAAACTATGGTATTACCTGCTAAAACTAGCAATGGGATAGAAAACAATTAAAAAACTTCATTTCTTGAAGCAAAAACAGAAAGAGTTCCTTTTCGCTCTTGGACTCTTCAACTAGGCCAAAGATAAGGGACTGAGACTGGTCAAAAACATAGAACCAATCATTCACATTTTCCTATCACTCGCATTAATTTCGATCCACTTAGAAATTTCTGCTTACTTTTTGAAATTATCTGACGTTTATACTTTGAGGGGTGATAGACAAAAGAGCTTTAGTACGATATGTTTCCATTTTCTGTGCTATTTCCAGATTAAGAAATACTTAAGAAGGAATAGGTATTTAATTTTCCTGTACCATTAAGAAACTGGAGTACTTGACATCAACCTTCATTTCTTATAGAAAAGAAGTGTATTTCAATGTTATCTCACCCTTAAAATGATATTTTGCTGCTCTTTTTTAATTTCCCTTTTTTTGGGAATAAAGATGAGTTTTGTTTGATCCTACTCGATAAATCTGTGTTCCTTCAGAAAACTTTGCCATTTTGCAAAAAAAACTAGATATCCCTTTTTGTCATTGTAAGGAGAGGTTATGCCCACAAAACTGTCTTCTAAGGAAAAAGAATGTTTACAAGTAGACAGAAGGCAATATGTTTATTCTCTTGTTTATACCCAAATAGAAGTAGAAAAGCAACAAATTCTGCAAGGGCTAAATAGCCCATGCAGCCAAACCACCAGGGGTCTTTTTTAGCCGGCCTGCTTTCTTTTCCCGGAGAGGCCTGGGTATATTGAGTATTTTGATGCAATTGCTTGATTCTAAAGTGGTTCTTGATCCTTCCTGAAATGCACAGACCTTTTTTGTCAATGTGTTGATTGCTGTATGAATAAAATCAGTCAACTTCATAACATTCATAAATGACTTTTGTTTATTGAAAGGCAAAAAAGGAGTTTACACTACTGTGTCAGGATTGCAAATTGCATATGTTGGAGGTAAACCAGGAGGTGTTGGAAGCAAGGTAAATTATTTTGGGTGTTAAAAACGTTATTGTAAAAAGCTTAAGAAACCTGGGTCTTGTTGTCAATTGTATGAGGCTCAACAGAAAAACAATTTTTGCTGAAAAATTTTTATCTTCATCCTCTTCAGTAGAACTGTCTAGTGTTTAACAATAACATCTTAATATTTTCTTTTAAAGTGTTTTTTGTAGCTTAATTAAATACAAGTTCCAGAACAATTTTCTGTCATAATCTTTGATTGAAAACAGTTACAAATAATTTCTGACTCCTGGCAAAAGAAAACAGTTTATATTGTTAAGTCGATTTGTCCTGTTTACTTTCTGTACCATAAGAAAGCCATCATTTTGGTGCTCAATGGTTGAAGTGAACATTTGATTGTTAAAATTGTTTGATCTTGTTTTTGTAGTCTGTGACCAAAATTCAGAATTCAGATATAGATGCGCTGTTAAAGAAACCTAAAGAGGATGACAAGTTTACTGGCATTGATATTTTGATGACCAGTGCGTGGCCTAAAGATGTTCAAAAATATACAAACTTTGATGTAAACAAATGCTATTTTTTCCCCTACAATGCACCATCAACAATTTTTGCAAGCCTAAGTTTTTTTGAAAAAAACTTATAAGTAATCAGTAATTATTTTTTGAAATAAATCTCCTCCTTTTTTCAGTACTTTGTTTTTGAGAGTAGCCTAAAAGTGGTGATAGCTACTCTTCTGGTCAAATGAAATCAAGTTTATCTTCTAATTGAAAGGGAAGATAATTTAAAAGTTGCCCTTTCAGTATATCTAGATTCTAATTTTGCAGATACATTAGTTAATTGATCCTAGCATTCATTCATTATTGAGACACTCATTAGGAGTGATATCCTTTTTTCAGGTTGACGTATCAGATTCTTCAAAACTGGTTTCGATTGCAGCTTCCGTTTTGAAACCTCGATATCATTTTACTTGCCATGAGGACTACCACATGGAAAGGACACCATACAGGTAAGTCACAGCCAGGCTTCTATGATCATCTTTTATGTACCAAATTTGCATTTTACCTCGGCTAAAACATCAAACGTCCTTTTGGTCTATTGTTTTTTAATGACTTGTGTTGAAGATAATGACATTTTCTCTTTTGAAGGAACCATCAAGTTTTGCAGGGCAAGCAAGAACATGTAACCAGGTTTATCTGTCTTGCGCCATTTTTAAACAAGGATAATAAAAAGGTGACTTGATCCTTCAAATAGTTTTTCCATTATGATAATATTTTTTGAAAAAAGATAACTACAGAGTTGTGTTGAACAGATTGATAAAGAATAATATGCGCAAATCTCAAAATAAACCTTGGGTATTACCATCTTCTACAAGATTTGAAGATATCATAGAAAAGTGGCAGCAGCATAGTCCAGTACATTTGTATTATAAAAGCCGGATAATGACAAAGGTATGTTTCAGCTTTTCCGTGCTGTCTTCAAATGTTTATAAATCAACAGCCAATATCAGCCACAACCAAATTCTCCCACAGTTTATCTGTTCTTAATTGATTGTTGCTGATGTTTCTATTGTAGTTTCTTTATGCCTTCAACATTTGTCCCATGTCAAAAATGTCGCGGGAAGAACTCGTCAAGCAACCAGCCGATTCAACTGAATTTCCTTTCAAAAAGATTCTGCATGAAATGGAACAAACAGACAGCGAGGTTTCTTGAATCTTTAGCTCCTTATCGCATTGTTTTTCATCTTTTTATTAAATAGATAAATTAGGTCGTTTGATATTTTAAAATCTAAGACCTTTTTTTGTTGATAAAAGGCATTTGACTTTTACTGAAGTAGTTTTAGCAACCCAAAACATGCAAGACATGGATTTATTTCGATTACAATAAAATGAATTGTTTACCTTCACTTTTTTGTTTTTGCTGATGTTTTCTCTCATTTCTAGTCAAAACCATCGCAGCAACAGTTTTTCTATGACCAGAAAAAACTAGACGAGTCAAAAAAGCGGAAAAATGGTAGGTGATTGACTTTGAATGTTATTTAACTAATTCTTTTCAGCTGTTGCTTTGTTGTTTGTATTTCTATGAGTGCAATCTTTCAGTCTAGCTTTTGGAATGTTTAACGGTCTTTGATGTTATTTGTTTCAGAATTTATACATTAGAGAAACTTATATTTGATTTTGAGATGCAAGGAAGATTTTAAATTCTAGGACGATCAAGGTGCTTAATTTCAAAATTCAAAACATATTTCTTGCTTTAGATTTCCAAGACACCAGTCAACAAAAGAAGCAAGCTAAAGGACCACGTGAGTGCACGGATTGTGATTGAATATCAAAGTTTTAAAATCATTTTCATCCAAATTTTCATCGTATTGTTCACTAGACTTTACTCTTTAATATCTGGCTGATCCGCTTTGTTTCCTGTCTTAAATATAATGTTTATCAAAGTATATGTACTGTGCTAAGGAGGATACTAAACACTTTACTTAGGTCGAGTGTGATCGAATTTTCCATTTTTGGCTTAAACAGGTAACATGTTAATATTAAATTGTTTTGTTCAAATTCCGACTAAATTAGAATTATCAAGAAGGCCTTGATGTGAAATTTGCCTGTTTTGTGGAATACAATTCTAGAAGAAATCGTCGATACGTTTTATTTTATTGCTTAGCGGCACTTACTGGTCCTTGCTGGTTTTGTCTCGGAAGCCCACAGGTGGAGAAGCATCTTGTCATCAGTGTTGGACTGCAGGTAAAGTTGCTTACTTCGATGTTTGTATATTTTGTCTTATTTTTTATATGGCCTTTGGGTAGTTTGATTCAAGTTTACTGTGGACAGAATAAATTTTTATATTGTAATGAATGTTTGACACTTTAATGACAAAATTTACTCTCTTTCTTTTACTTCTTAAAGTAAGATTGTTACGAAGTTTAGAATAATTGTTTAAGATAGATCTCTTATTAATTCAAGTTGCCCCTGTAATTATTGAAAGTGACGATGATTGCTGATTTTGTATCTTCGTAACCAAACAAAATCTCTATCATTGCCTCTTTTTATTTTCAACAGACTTATTTGGCGCTGGCTAAAGGCGGTCTAACAGAAAACCATGTTCTGATTTGTCCAATACACCATTACAACTCCACTGTTGTTTTACCTGAGGTACCATACAGATTAATTTTCATTTCATCCGTTATGTCCTTGTTTGTGGCATTGCAGTGCCACAGTGCTGGCGTTTGCTAAGCCTTGACTATACTAAAAGTTTGTAATGTATTCCTTAGTGTCAGCTTTATTCCCTTTGATTTCACCTGTCTTGTGCCGATACATTTGATATCCAATATAGTTGCTAATCCAAATTTCAACCAAGGGTCAATGAGGTCATCGTCACAACTGCAATTGTGCGCATGTCCGAATAGAAATGAAAGCACATTACTTTAAACATCAATGTTTTCGCTCAGGTCGTTCAGTTTGATGTCTTTGACCTCTAATATGTTAAATTAGAATAAATGGTTTTTTAATGAATCAGTTTTGACAGATCATGTCTTCTTACCTGACAAATAAATTTGCTTTTTACATGATCAAACCAATTCAATTTGATATATCATCAACAATGCTCGGTTTTGAAAACTCTTCCGTTGTTTTGCAGGAAACCCTGATGGAAATTGAAAAGTATCCTTTAATCCAAGTTTCGCGATATGTTGTCCATATAGTTAGTAGAAAAAAACTTAACTCTTAATTTTAATAATATTTTGAGTTATGTCTAATCACCTTGATCATGATGATTAGCAACATAGCTGCAAATCTCTGATTACGTCACCCAATCTCCTTTTTGCCTTTTCCCTTACTCTTCTTCCATCAAACGTTCGACCTGCTGCTTGGCAAATGACCCTTTCTACCTTGCTTTTTCTTGAAAAGTTAGTGCTATCTTCGCCTTGCTTTCCTTCCTTTTTCCACAATTCTGGCAACCCATAGCCTTTTTCAGGTTCTAGCATTTCACATCGCGATGTTCCTATAACCATTTCAGGTCTGACCCTTCTATTGTTTGTTCAATAATTCTCATTTATCATACACAAGTTTCTTGCAATACCGTTAAATTTGAATATTTGAGAGAATTAACCATCACAAAGATACAAGCAAAGTTTGAGAAAGATGTTTAAAGAGCAGCAAATGGGATTGGTAATTTTTGAAAGAAACTTTTACACGCAGCATTTACAACTGCAAGTATGTGATTCTGCAATGTCTAGTGGCTCTGCCTTGTTGAGCTCATAATGTCTGCCTTATTTTAATTGTGTTATGAAATTCGGTCGTATTTTTTGTTTGAGAATGTGTTTCGATTGAGTATTGACAGCAATAAGCAAAAAATGCACGAGCAGATTTCACTGCAATTATCTGCAATATTCTATCTCACGAGAAATATTTGAATCTCACAGTGAAATAGATCACGGAAGAAACTTCTTTATTTCAAGAATTTTCAAATTTATTCTGTACCACAGAGACGTGTTGTTTTGAGAATATGTTTGTATTTCACGTGAAAGTTCATTTTCACCCTATCTTATGTTTTATTAAGTATGTTATTCAGTATGTTATTCTTTTTCCATGTTGTGGTGATCTTTTTCAGATGTTCGTCTCACATAGACGCCATAAATAGTTTGAAATATGTTGTTTTTCCTACCCATGTGCTAGTAGGATATCAAATGAATTATTGACAAATGCGTAATTCATTCGTTAAGATGAGGTCGGTTATTTGTGAAAAGTATATCTTTTAAATCTGATAGTATATGTACATACCAGTTTTTATCGATAGGTGGTTCCAATTCACCTTGAGAAAGTAGAAGAAGCAAAATCTGCGTTTAAAGAATATGGACAATTACAAAGTTTAGAGTTTGCAGATGTCCCTGAAGATAAGGATCTTCAGGAGGTTGGTTGATTTCCTAAAAGCTCGTTAGTATAAAGACTTTGGGAGATATGCTAGGGATGAACGCAGAAATTGTCGCAAATAACTGTAGTTCTCCAAACATCTATCAGTAGATTTGCTGTTTTTTCAACACGTCATACCTACATTCGAAAACAAATTTATGCAACTCGCTCAGAATGCTCTTGCATACCGTATTCGAAATAACAATATTTGTGTCGTAGCTGCAGAAAGCTATTTACTTTTTATTTGTCAAGAGAGATTTTGTCTTGTCTAAGATTGAAAATTATGTAGTTTACCTTTTGTTCGTGTTTGCAAATCTGCGTTTCTTCATTAAAAAGGCCCTTAATCGCTTAATAGTAATTGGCATAGAATATATTAGAGCTAGTCAGAAATCTCGAAAATAAGATTGTTGCTGCCTGCTTTCCAAGCTCGTCCCTTGATGGAATCCTTTGATTGCTTCCTCTTTAAACTTCTTCCTTAATTCCTGCCAAAAGTCCTTAGAACGCCCTGTTGCTAAAATATTTTTGAAAAAAAAACTAACGTACCCAAAAGAAAGGACCAAACGCAGAAAGGGATGCGATAGAATATGTCCAAAACATAATTTTGGTAGGGATTTTAGTAGCCTCCCATTTGTTAATTCTGCACGCAGGCTAGAATTGTAGTAAAATATTGTTGAAAACGTGAGAAAAGGAATTGACTGTAATTCTGTTGGGTTGTCATACCCAGTTAGTGTTTCCCAGGTGGCCTAAATTTTATAGGCGGTTCAGACCAGAATCCCTAATATGATGATGGTTGATGATGAGCTTCCCAAAGGTTGATTCGCGTATGATTTGAATTTCAGATGGTTTCAGTGACAACGCCATACTTCGCAGTCGAATTTGATGATGGAGACAGATTGTTACATCGAGTGAGGTCTAAGATGCCTCTGCAGTTTGGCAGGTTTGCACCTTTCTAGCTGATGGGTATATTTTCTTCGTTCTTTATTTTTATTGTTTCTCTTTTCATTTTGCAATTTTTCAATAGAGTTTCTCTTTCTAGGGAAGTTTTGGCGAGCTCTGAGCTCTTAGATCTGCCCGAAAAGGTTGACTGGAAAAACTGCAAGTTATCAAAAGAGGAAGAAACCAGAATCACTAAAAATTTTAGAGTGAGATTTACTCCATTTGATTTCAATTCATAACTGACAGTTTTTAAATTATATTTTACATATGTTACGTTTTTAGTTATGTAAAACTGTGCAATTTTACAAAACCTTTTTTTATATATGCAAATCATACCCTTTTAAAGGCCATAGTTGAAGTTGTAGTTCCTCAAATTTAAAAACATTCCCTTAGATTAAAGTTTCTGTCCGGTGAACAGCATCAGTTTAAGAAATTGATTGCCAAGCCATCATCAAACTTCCCAATAATAAATTATATTAAATTACTATTGACAAATGTTAAACCAAGCGAGAATCAATCTGCAATGCAAGCTTGCTGCTTTAGAAACATTTTACCAGAATTTTCTTACAAATACAACATATTTCGCTGAGGACCTTCGATGGCCACAACGTCTTTGCTCTCATAAAAAATTTGTTATTTCATGTAAATAATTGTTGTGATTAATTTTGCTTGTAAAGGGTTTACACTTTTCATAACTCTTGTAATTCTCTGCTCTGATTATACTACAGTAAATATTAAATGTCAGAAAATGTGCGTTACTTAAAAACCTTGTTCCTTTCTTTGCTTGCGAATAAAACCAACTATTTAAATTGCTTAAGGTTTTCTAGGCAGGGGTTTTAAAGAGGATTAAAAAAACACTCCAATCAGCTCTTTCCAGCAATTTTTTAATAACATTTTAATCTGAAAAACAGCAATTTTTTTGTTTTAATACTTTATGTATTTAAATACAAAGTCATCAATATTTCAAACAACTACAGCTAATTTTGTAAATAAACTAATTCTTAATGAACTACAAAATGATATCCAGCTACATAGCAATGGATGAATTGAAGAACTCAAACAAAAAGCATTGCGGAAAAGAGCACTGGGACCAAGGTTTTTGCTGGACTGCTGGATTGAACCAATGTGCAAATTAGCAATGAGTTTGCTACTTTTATAGGTGAACAGCAAACCATGATTCTTTGCAAGATTCCAAATAAATGATAAAATGTTTGCTTTAAATAAGGAAGTATGCAAATTGACAATACAAGATGGTCATGATTTAAGAAAGCGGGAAGCTTAAACAGACAAGATGGCAGCAGACAAAATGACTTAGAACTGAAATCTGGAGCTACACAGTACATAAAAAATTTTTTATTGCAGGAAAACTGACTTCCCTTAAACTGACCCTAGGCCCAGTCCCCTTCTCCTGCTCAGTTTCATTGTAAAAATCTCCCACTGTATTACAATAAGTTGTTACAATGTGTTAACTTTTAAGTCTGCTTTTTTGAATTGAATAATGTGTTGCAGCTGCAAGTGAAAATGGAAATGGGTAGCAATGTAAGCGTTTGCTGTCTTCTTAAATAAAATGAATAATGCATCTAGAAATAATTGCGAAAAAAACACTACTTTAAGAAAAATACATAATTTGCTGCAAAGTGTAAATAATTACTGTATTAGAATGGATTGATCATTGTTTATTTATTTTCGTTAATCAAAATCTAATCCTAAAGTCTACAGTAGCAAACAAATAATCTGGACCAATTGCATATCTTAAGCGAAATATGGAGGCAGCTAGTCACTGCTTGTCTCTCATAGCATCATCAATTTCTGACATTTCAACATCTTCCATAATTTTCACTTCATCTGCTTTGATAATGGTTGGAATGACCCACTGTACTGGCCTTGAAGACAGAATGTACTCTGATACGACTTGGGCCGGAACAACAACATACGCAACAGCCTTGTCTGTGATTTCTGTAAACTGAGGTGCCACTTCTTTCAGTGATGCATAGTGTTTTTCCATCATTTCAACAACTGCATGCGGTAGCTCGGTAACTGAATGTGCCTTTAAAATGACATAAAACGCATAAAAAATAAGGAGCAAAATTTGTATCCATACTTCAATTTTTCTTAAACCCATTTTGCAAACATTTTCAAACATGGATAGTTAAATATATTGGTTGCTTTTACCACTATAAAGAGGGATATTATAAATGCCACAAACCTATGAATGCCCCATCAACAACAGAAATACAAAATAAAAATAAGTAACAAGCCACAGAGCCTCTTGTTAACCCTGAAAAGTTGAATGACGGGACATACAGCCTTTAGGCTTGGAAGCCCAAGCTGCATCAAATATACCCGAAACCATCTTAAATTCTTTTTGGAGAGATAAGCTGTAGAAATTGCAGAGTCCACAATCTGCCTTGAAATTGTAAAATCTGTAACCTGCCCTAGTCAAGTCTTCCAAGTTGCAGACAAATAGGCCCCATTGAAGATATTTGAGCAAAGGTTTGAATATTGTCCAGATCGTGCTTGTATGGCACTTTACTTTTACTTATACATCAATGGAGTTACAAGGTGCTCAACAAAAGTGGTACCTTGCAACACAAAAGAACTCGCAGCTAAAATCGAGACTTTGCCACATAACACTTTTTTATACTTTTTGCTTCATACAGATCCAGTTGATTTAAGTTCATTTCAAAGACACTTGCTTTCAGAACGTCAATGGGTTATGATTCTAAAGTATATATATGCAACTTACCTGGGTGTATGCAAAGACAATTTCTTTGGTAGAGAGAAATACCTCTCCGGATATCTTGATTGCTTTAGATGGTATGTACATTGTAGTTTCATAAATATGATCCCATTGTTCCTTAACCAGCTCCCTTGTCTTTTCAACTTGAGTGTGGACAAACTCTTCAGTTTCTTGTTTTTTCTCATTCATAAAGCTTTTGGCGTCACCAGCCTTTTCCTTGACATAATTTGTTCCCTGATCTAACTTTTGGTTCATATCTGCAATCCTTTCTTGGGCATACTGAACCTGGCAATTAGGAATTATAAAGCAACATTATAATTTTTATCCAAACTAAGATATAGAAGTATTGGTAGCTTGGTATAGTAGTAAGACAATTTGTCCACTATGCTTGAGGCAGCTAATTAAAGTCAAATTCTTGTCAGGATTTGGATGCTTTACAATAACTGTCAGGATATCAAACTGCACATAATTTGGAACACAAATAAAGATATTTGTACTTACAGCATCAACTGTAACTTGGACTGGCTTCAATGACATTATCCGCTTTCTCCCTCTTTGTTTCACTTTTTCTGTGAGGTTTGCAACTCTGACTGCAGCCCCTTCATGCTCTGCAGCCTCCTCCCTTTCCAATTCAGCCAAATCATTTGGATCAGCACCATCAGTTGGGAAACATATCTCTACCATCAGTTCTGACAAAGATATCGCATTCTCAACTTGTTTACTAACATTCTTCACTGCTGAAGTGCCTTGAAACTTTTCTATGCATGAAGTTGCAGTGGCCTTTATTGCTTCTTTTGTTGTCTCAGCAATCTAAAATAAAAGCAACATAACATTTTGTCAGGACATAGGATCAGAAATTTTGGGGACCCTATCTTTCCCACCATTAAAGGGGACTTGAGGGTCGTTTATCATATATCAACTACAAAAAGTTCCCTTCTGAAAGTTAATTGTTACTTCATGGAATAAAAGAGTCTAATTTGCTTCTATTTTGCACTTTACAAGGTGAGAACTACTAAAAGTCCCTAGTGCTCTAAGTCACAGCTCTGTGATAGTTCCGCAATCTGATCCTACTAGAGAGCCGATAAATGACTTTATGAAATGGCTTGTTTTATTTACCAGTGGCACTGAGTATTTGCTCCTCAAACTGAACAGACCATAGATTTGATCTTTCTTTAGAAGATCAATGCATATTCTTACCTCTGTAGGAGTTTTCTTGATGATTGGGAACTTTTTCTCTGCTTCTGCTAGAGTTTTGGAAGCCATAGTGTCCAATGCAGCAACTAAAGAAAAATATCAAACTGTGTGATTTCAATCTCGCAAAAAACATGAAATATCTTTATGAAAACCTTCATATAAAAACCTAATTACTGTAGATTATCTGCTCTGTAAATGCTTTGATGAATTCAAACAAAATACGACCCCTTGTTGATGTTGGCAATTTCTAGACACGTGAACCCAAAATTGCGTCATTGCATTTTTCGTACCTCTTATGAGTATTTGACAAAAACGAATGTGTGTACCAAAGATTTTCGTATACTGCCTCTGAAACTGAATTTACAGTCTGTATGAGAATATTAAATTAAGAAAACCGGAAATTGCACCTGGATCTTTGACTTCTCCTATCATAGGTTTGGCAGCAGCTAAGGCAGATGTTGTGGCACTGGCAACGACAGGCCTAGCAGTATCTGCTATGACCTTTGCGTAATGCTCTCCTGCATCAAAAGCCTTCTTCAGATAATCATTTCTTTCTCTGATCGATGAGTACATCGAACATAACTGGTTAAGAGTCATCGTGTAAACTGGAATCTCGTGCAGTCGTTCTTGGAACGATTTGTCTTGCTGAGGTTCACCGTCTGTACAAGCGACAACATTCTGCTCTCTTTCTTGAGATTCAGCCATTTTGTCTCCTTTGAAACTTGCTCAATATAAACTTTTACTGTCCCTTTCCTGAACTAAATTTCTTACGATCGAAAGCCAACTCCACTGGCCTATCAGTCCACTTTTCTCTATTTATTTCGTAGTTCGTCAGTGTACTTTGACCCCAAGTTTTCCGACGTCAACTACAAGATAAGCCAATCAAAGTAAGACCTATTGTTCATTTGAGCCAATCACTGATCCTACATCGATAACCGGAAGCCATTCTTGGACGATGGATTGGGGAAGTACTAGTTGCATTACGTCATCTGATTCTGTAGAAACTTTTGGTTGAGGGTTCAATTTATAGAAAGGACTTTGAACTGTCATGTTTATGACACAATTGCGTTGGCATTTGGACGTGCACAAGCAAACAGAGAGAGAACCAAAATTGAGAAATGGTTGGTGTGGACCAAATTTTTCGATTAGGAGATGTTATTCAAAGTGACCATCCTAGAACTTTCTTGAACAATTAATACATTAGGGACCACATGATAGGCGGGGGGCAGAGGACAAGGATATATTGTAAATGACTGATGCCCAAGCTTATTCTTCTATCCATAGCTATGTGCGTAATGCACGTTTTTTTATAAGGAACCTACCTCAAGGCCTAGTCCCAAAAGTTCCTTGTTCGTAGACCTCAAATCATCAAATTGTGGTACTAAAAGTTCCTTAATAGTTCCTTAATTTGTTTTGTCTTAATAAGCCCTTACACTTAATAGAGAAAGGGGCGAGATAGGAATAGCATATGAGGAAACTACTTAATGAAGCACTTGACATACGAATAGCAAACAATCTATGCGAGTGTTGGCTGCAAATGAATGGAACCAGGTTCTTGATCTTCTTGATGCTTGCAGTTATAAAAAATTTTCAAATCGAAAAATTCTTTAGGGATTTCGTTTCTAGCAGTATAAGTTCTTTAGATATTTCGGCCTTCTACATGTAGGTTCCTTTTCCTTATAAAGTGGTTCCTTATGACAAAAAAAGCGTGAAAAAAAGCGTGAAAAAAGCGTGTAAAAACTTATTTTTCTTATGTTCATTTCAGTTCAGTTTTTAATGGAACTGTCTAAATGAGAAATTAATACAATCTAAGCAAAAATTACATACATAACAATGAAATAAACGGTTAAAGCAAAATAATACAATGCAATGAATAAATACAAATACAGGACAAAATAAATTGTATGAAGGAAACTGCTTAAAAGAGGAGTTTGACTACTCTCGTTATGTTAATATATATTAGAAAATACTAGAAAGATGATAACACCAGCACAAAAATGCAGAGAATGAAAAGTTTGTCTGTGACAAGGTCGGCCACATAGGGAGAAGATAATAAATGATAAACAAAAGATGTGTTCCCTCAGAAGTACTCCAGGAACCTAAGGAGGATAAATCGGTATAAAAACTTAGCGGGCAATCAAAATTTTACAACCAGCGCGTTTATAACAGCTATGATTTTTATAAAACCAAATATTGTGAATAGTGAGTGACAAAGACATTTAATAACCATTTTCATTTATGGATAATTTCGTCAACATTTTCTTTATGTTTAGAATCTTTGTTGGTAAAAAACCCAGCTGTATGGGTGGCACATATTCAAGTTTATAGTTTTATTATATTACCCCACCCTCGCCCCCTCCCACTTAGGAATGCTCGATTATGTTATTAGAAAAATTCAATGATTTGCCTTCGGCACCAACACTGCCCTCCTGCCCTAATCTTGTGCAGGCGTCCCTGCAGAAATAATAACTAATCGATACGAGAAAATTGGCCACGCCCACTTGCATAAATATGACCAACCACGCCCTGCAATAAAACACAGACTATGAATAAAATTTGCCGAATATATATTAAATAAGCATAAGAATTTTACACAGTATTCCCGCTTTCTTGTTGGTTATATCGAATATAGCTTTCATTGTTTCGGGGCCACGCACCTCTAGCAAACCCTTTTCTTTACATTTTGCATTGATGTGAGAGTGGTCACGTCAAATCGCCCTTGATTCATTCGCAGTTCAGTTGTCATCTCCCTCAAGTTTTTCGGCTAACGCATTACAGTTTTTTATATTAACGTGAAGTTTTTTTCGAAAATGGTAAGTGATTCACTCAATATTTGTTATGTTTACATGCCGGTTTCTGCCACGTTTTTTTAGGCCATTAGGCCATTGTGCCTAGGCCAGATTACAATTTGGGTATAATTTTTGCCGACGTTGAGGTAACTTCGGAGCTTCATGCCTAAACATTTGTCTTTTCGGAACCTCGGAAACTAGCAAAAATGCCTTCCTTGGGAATGTTCAGGCTGATATGAAGGAAAGCTAACACTGGAAAATTAGGAAATGGAAGTATCCTGTGATTTGCTTACACATAAAAAATAGTGCAAATGTAGTCAATGTTTTGTTTTCAAAGCCAGTGTGGGGGACGTCGACACATTCAAAATATAGAGGAGGACAGAAAATTTTCCAAACGATGCTCTTGAAATTAGCCTAAAATACATGTCAGAATATTCCTCCATTACCCCCGCTACGCTACTGTCAAGAAGATAAATGCTGATAAGAAAAAAAAATAAAGTAAAATCTTGGCGGTACTTTGTTTCTACTGACTACCAATAAATGAATTTTACCGAATGAAACAATGTTCACTGAAAGACACAGAAATATTGGGGGGTGTTGCCCCCCCCCCCGCTAAATTCATCCCTGGCCACAGTGCAAAGAAGAAAAGACCTGAGTTGAGATGAGGAAGCCACAAGGAGCTTTTCAAAGTGGGTGGGTCAAAAGCCTCGTGCAGGAATCAATGTTGGAATGTACAATGAGGCAAGGACCGAGATACAGGGGCTGGGAGGGGGGGGGGGGCTTGATAGCACGAGTTCAAAATGTAAAATAATATATTGTTGAAAATGGCTATTATTACACTTATTATTAGGGCTGATCGGTTTTTGCAGTGATATTAAAAATCGGCTGAAGACTTATGCTCAAAAAAAATTTTAATACGCCAAGAAATATAACTAAATTGCAATATACCATTATGAAATACAAAAGTTGGCAATTCTAAAAATTCGATTATTTATATTTATGTTGTTATTAGCTTTCTTGAAAGTGAAAGGGTGCAGGGCTAGCTGAACTCTGCACAGCCATGCCCTTAAATTTTTCCCAGAAAGAAAAACCAAGCCTTTTCCCATATATTTAATCACAATATTTGAAAAATGTTAAATGCCACGGCTCTACCCACCCCTACCTTCACCAATTTCTTGCATCTTGAGGCGCCATGGTAGTAATATGTGGGGATGAAGATCCCTACCTCACTCTTTCTGTTTCACTGTGTGCTAGAGTGGCAAAGGGGAGGGGTAATGTCCTTGCTCTGAATGCTTTTGTTCTGAGTTTGTTTTGCTCTTCTAACCATTAGAACCAGCAGGTTGTCACCATTGTTGACCGAGGGCAGAGTTTATCAAGCATGTCTATGCACAGTGTTTATGTTGTGTGATAGCTAAGCCTGGCCAGTAAGGGTGAGGATATGTGTTGCCTTTACAGACATGTTTTTTTAATTCTTTAAAGATTTGTCACCAATTTGAGCATTGCATATTTGAGAATTGGTACAACAAGGGTTTAGTTTTGGTTCATGTGTGACAAATTATCACCAACAAAGAAAACAACCCGTTGATATCATTTGACAAAAATAATCCCTTGACATTGTTGATCAATTAATAAATTTCAGTTTGATTGATTTTTATGCTACAAGAAATACATCAAAATAAAGAATCATATGAAATGTAAAGTTAGTCGCCTCCCTCCTCCAAGTGCCCTGGATTTGCATGAATCAAGCTGTGATTAATCTTTGCTGAAAGTGAAACATAACCTCTGTCCTTATTTGTGGCTTCATATTTAATGAAAGATAGACTCTTAAAGTGAGCATTTTTCCTTATCATTTGAGCATATTTTCTTAGCAGGAAGCCCCCCCCTTTTTGACTATCTGCATTCAGAAGGAGAGCATTACTGCATTGCTTGTCAGTTTCTAGGGTCTGAGGTTGACACAACAGAGCTGACACAACAACCCAACCCTCCCCCCCACCCTTCATTGTAGTAGGACTAAGCCTCCCTTTATTATATGATTTATGCCTCGTTTACTTTGTTATATTACTTTAACCATAACCTCAATTCAGTCAATTTATTACTCACTCACGAGTCGTTGTGTTCATTTCGTGACTTACTCTAAAGTAGGCGACTTTCGTCTCCGTTTACATCATGAAGGCTGCGGTCGAAGACACTAAAATGCACTTACTGGGTAATCGAGAAAGAATAAAACTTGAGAACCCCAAAGGAAATTATTTATTATGACGTCATTCTAGGGTGCTAGTCAGGTTTTTGGCACACAGAAGCTCAGTGGCGGCTTTTAAGGGGCTAATTTACCTGGAGCCAACGAGTCGACAAATTTTGCGCGAAGTCAGCAAGTTCTGGACTTGGTGTTTTAGATTTATCTTATAAACTTGGTGAGAATACAACGCTAAATAACTGTTAAATTACTACAAGGGCACCTCGTTAAAATGTAACACACACGTACACAAAAAAGGGAGTATTTTAGAGTTCTAAGAGCCGTTAACACAAAAACTTTCTAGAGCCGTAAAAATTACTTTTAAGGGGCAAGTACGTCGTAGCAGAGAATTAAAGAATCAATACCTCCTATAGTACTCCTCGAATCAGCCTCACCCTGAAACAAACAGTTGTCAATAATGCCCCTCGAATAAGCTACCAACCATCTACACTAATTTTTATACTGTTAGCCCCAGTTGCACTTGATCGAGTTACCACAGAAAAAGCGCGATTTCAGTCAATGATAAACCAGATATTCACAGAAAAAGTTTTCGTCATGTTTTTTCGTTTCAAAATAGATGCAAACAATTTTTCAATTTATGCTTGAACTTTTCAGGCAGCGTTTTCTAAATTTTGAAAAAAAGGTGAATAAGCTACCCTCCATGCAGAAATGTCCATAATTACAAGCCCCCTAGGCCCTAAATCGAAAATTTGTGGTACTTGCAAAATCAGCATTATTGCCCTTATCTGATTTTTAAAAATCCGCCACGATTTGGGGTCTGGTTATAAGGTTCCCTTTTGCAAAGGCTGGTGATGTGATAGGTGGCAGATGAGTCATGACCCGACCCTCCAAACCCCTTTGAAGCTTCTCTACGTAAAGGTTTATACCCCAAGCTATTGCTGTATTTCCAAAAGATATCTTGTCGAATGGTACACTATTTTTACTTTCACTCATTTTCTATGGTAATAACTAGTAGGCTTTCGGGCGCTGAACATCCTCTCCTTTCCCCTTCAATTTCCCAAGAGAATATAAAAACCTTTTCGAATCATAGGTACATCACTTTTTGAATAATTTTTTGCTTGTTTTGAGAACATTTATGTAGCCAAAAGATTTTAATTATTTGGAGGCTTGCATTTTACCAATGTTTATAAATTTTCGTCGAATCGTTCGAGCAAACAAAGACTTCATGATGTTTCAAGTACAGCCGACAAGGTTGCAAATCAAGGCATGCCGCAATAAAGAAAACAGATTTTTGATATTGATTGTAGTTGAGCTTGGCAAAACCATACATTTTTAAAATGAAAATTTAACTGACATGCTACAGCAATCCAACGATAACTTTCGTATCTAACGTAATCGTAGATTCTCGTTATAGCTAGAACTCATGTGGTGGTTATGTTACGAATGAGTTTTTCCCAAAGGCTGCTTTCATTTATAATCAGCTGATCGTAGAGTGAGCAATTGGACGCCCAATCAAATACTCAGACAGGTTCAATGCACTCACTCAACCATTTACAAGTAAACCCACCATGTGTAGAAGAATAACAAAGATTCGAAAATAATACGAAATATTTCGTTTGTTGTTGGGCATAATACCAAAGATTGTTTTGAAACAGAAAAGTCGAGCATTTTATTTGCCGTTCAGATCAGAGTTGCTGAAATACCACAGAAGTTCAGATTTTGCTCAGTTCTGCGCGAGGAAAGGTTTGTATTCTGTGGCGTCCTTTTGCTGTCTGGCGATTAAAAAATGACAGAGGTAAATGGGGATTCAGACACTTGGAATTTTCGAAGCGAAGAGGGCGTCGTGCTCCAAGCGACTGTGGGGAATCGCTACCAGCAGCTTGAATTCAAGCAAATACAATATTATAAATGGCGAAACAGTTAGTCGCGAATATATCGATAAATTCGAAGGATTTCAACCAGATAGACAGCTGAACCTCTTTGAAGGCGAGATGAAAAGGAGCCTTGGAAACTGAGAAAGACAGTCTCTGAACCTAGATTTTCTGGTAGAACAAGCAGGCCAAAGTTCCAGATATATTGTCAGAGTCAAAATTACCCGAGAATCTCTAAAAATAAATCGTATGATCCCGAGTTCTGGACTTCGCATTCGTCAGTTGCAGGTGATACAGAAAGCGTTTACACGATTGAAAGCCTCGAGGATGAATTTGACGGGAAATTAACCTAATGCCTAAATATGAAACACGAAACATTCAATGCCGAAATGGTATCAAACGCTGTTTCGGGAAATGGTCTGCCTGTGACAGAGCCACAGCGTTGAACCACCGCCTGCGGTCAATCAGTCCCTGCCCTCGCCTGTTCGATATTCGTCAAGCAAACTGATATGGTGAATCAGTCCCAAAACAAAAGTACCCCTAAACAGGATGTTTACACTGCTCCCAGAACGGAAGCTTTTTCTTATGAAATACCTGTCCAGAGTTCCCGAAGAACGAAGTGCCTAAGCAGCAATACCAGAGGTATAATCGACAAATGTCTGATCCACCGCGCTACATTGACCAGGATCATGAATATGAATCTGGCAGACATGAAGACCAGAGAACGTATATCTTGTCAAATGAACGTGCAAAACAAACAGCAACGTATCATGAGAAAGCAGCCTCGTCTGTGTCCCGACAAGCGTATAAACGGGTATGCAGTAGAAACAAGATCAAAGTTATTAAGCGTTAGTCAATTGAAAGAGATCACTTCCATTTATCTTGCAATTTGCATTCAAATGTTAAAAATGCGTTTGTTAGTTGGTTAGAATTAGCCTGTTTTTATGATGTTTAGGAAAGCGAGTTTGATACTTATTTGCTCTGAAATTAGCCTTATTATAAATCTTTTATAAATAAATTATAGATTATAAATTATTATAATATAGCTTATTATTAGCCTTATTATAAATCACCAAAATCTGGACTCCTCTGCAAATTGTTTGCTGTACCCAAAGATTTGGATGTCTTTTATATGAAGTTGTCGGCAAAGTAGCTCTTACAACCTCCCCCTCCTCTTGACCCAATACTACTAGGTAATATAACAATATGCCTATATATAACACTGTATAACATTATGCCTTGAAAGTCTGCCGATATATGTCCAAACAGGTCCACTACCGTGGTTTCTATCGTGGGCCTAAAGACAAAGTACACTGAGTCGCAGGAAAAGAAGCCCCATAACAATCCCAGTGTTATGAATTGTGTTGTGATGTTTATATCAGGCACCGCGGAGCTGGGGGGCTGGGGGGCTTTAGCCCCGGCACTTTTTTTAGAACCCCTACTTTTCTCAACGCTCCGCGGTTTCTGTTCTACCGCCTGGGACAGCAGTGGTTCTGGAAATGAATGACTTGTCAGTCATAACTTTTTAAAGATATTTTTAGGTAGTGATCGTAATTCAAGATAATTTTGGAGGCCTTCAGGTGAAATACCCTGTGGTCCCTTTCTGCCAATTTTTCGACTGTCCTCAATGAACAAAGATTCATATTGCGCTACTTGCTTTTGATCTAACTGGTTTTACACTTCATTAAGTTGCCGCATACTCAGAGATTTTAGGGACAAATCCTTTCAACCTTATCGGAACAAAAGTTCTTTCGTAATTTACTTTTATTCTTATCTCTCTCGTATCCAGGCGTCGTCGGGAAAATTGCTTGTCAAGGGAGGCACGGTGGTAAATGAGGATCGCATGTTCCTGGCCGACGTGTACATCGAGGATGGAGTCATCAAGTATGCTAGCATTGCAGTGTGTATAAGACCTTGATTAACAGAATTGCTTTCAAAGATGAAGGCGGCTCAAAGGGCTACATCTCCTATCTCTTGTGTTGCATTCAACCACACTCTTCAATAGACATCTGTGCCGTAGGAAAGATAGAATGATCTGGGCACCATTGTTTGATCATGATAAGAACAAAAGGGATTATTTAATTTTGGCAGGGCTCAAGGGCCCCTAGGAACAATAAGAGCTACGGCCCGAGGCATGATGTTTGCATTTATACATGTTCCTTTTGACTCTATGTAGCGTCTGAAGATAAAGCTACTTGATAACAGACAAGGAAGTAAGCCGTGGTAAAGAAAGTCTTTTCGATTTCGATCCCACACTCTAATATTTTGCTGTGTGACTACCAATATTTCTGGACTCTGTGGATATATGCTGCAAATGAAAACCAAGGCCAAGGGGGTATTCTTCATGTAAAGGGAGACTTTCTAAGACCTTTCTGTAAATTAGGGGTTCGTTGCACTCATGCGATTTACCCTCATCAACCCTGCCACTTTGCTCCCTTTGCCCCTTAGTTCATCCTGTCTCTGACTAAAGGTTTGATTCTTTCTCTTCTAATAAGTTTCATTTGTCGATTTCAGGCAAGTTGGCGGCGGATTGGAAGTTCCTGAAGGTACCAAGGTCATAGATGCTTCTGGGAAACTCGTCATGCCAGGTATGGAGTGCTTTTAGCGTTAAAAAGAGAGTAACCTGATGTTTATTAGAAGCTTTAAAGGTTTATACGAGGTTCAAAATAACACGCTCTGGTGAGATAAAAACTTATTTTACCAAGAAATGAAGTATCTCCGTAGCATAACCAAGTTATCTTTAATAAACACAGGAACATATGTTATTTGTTTGCGTAAGGCGCCAAGTTGCAATTTATTCTTTTAAGTATTATTTAAGAGGCCATTTGGGACCTCAAAAAGATCTTACAAAAACGGAAAAGTTTTGCATAATTTTGAAACGAAAAAATCAATTTTGCTAATAAAAACAGAATAACGTTTTCTTTAAATTTCAAACAATGAAAAAAACGTTTTCTGCTGGATTAGGCCGGAGAAAGAATGGACCAACTATTTGAAATTCTGTTGATGAAAATAGAGAAATGGTGACTTACTCATAAATCATTGTTCTATTGCTTTTGTTCTGATGTATTCCTGCATCCACTCTCTGTCAGGTGGCATCGACACCCATACACATATGCAGCTGCCTTTCATGGGCACTGTTGCTGTCGACGATTTCTTCCATGGCACAAAAGCGGCTGTTGCTGGTGGAACAACAATGATCAGTGAGTTAATTTAACTTATTCTTATGTGTACCGTGTCTTGAATACTAAAATTTGCCTCTCATGATTATTATATTCAAGGAATAGGCTTGAAAAGATTTGCAGGGAACACGGTTTTTTTATTTTCCTTGTACTGTTTTGTGTCCAAGGCCAGAGATTGCCTGCTAAACGGCGTTTGCCTGTCCCCTTCCTTATCCTTTATCGTCCATTCTCTCTTAGCGTTACATTTAGTGTTTATCCTGTAAGTTGCCTTATCATCAAGATATTGTAATGGAATTGAAAGTGTGTTTATTCAACTATTGAAAAGTGTCTATTTGAATCATAGGTTAATGATCACTTTTTAAATTGATACACTGTAAGTTTTTTTAATGTGCTTTTTTGAGGTTATGTTAATAAAGGAAACATTTGTTCGCTTGCAGTTGATTTTGTCATACCACAAAAGGGTGAATCCCTCCTTGGAGCATATGACAAATGGCGACAATGGGCAGATGAGAAAGGTATGATGCTACTTTTATTGCTGAAAACTTTCAATGTCATCTTTCTTTGATCCAAAAGTTATGATTTTTGCTTTGCTTTTTAGTCTGCTGCGACTACAGTTTCCATGTGGCTGTGACGTGGTGGAGTGAAAGTGTACGAAAAGAGATGCAAATCCTGACCAGCGATAAAGGCGTGAATTCGTTTAAAGCATTTATGGCTTATAAAGATGTCTTCCAACTCGACGATGGAGAGGTTGGTGTTGCAGCTTCGCATGCATAAATATTCTGCAGCACAGTCAATTCCAATCATTGCCAACAGCTTGAAATCATTCTACATTTCAATGTCACGTAGAATTTGGACCCAAACAGGGACAACTGTAGCATTATGCTTTGTCTGCAGTGACACCAATGCTCACAAATATTTAGATGGTATTCTGTCTGCTATCACATATAAAGTGGATATGGTTGGGTAAAAAATTCAATAATAATGGGAGCCCTTGTTATCTATAAATGATTTTAACAGAGGAATGATCATGAGCGACCTCCTCCGCAGAGCACCCCTGCAATGACAACTGCACAGCAAACTGTGATTATTTGAGTCACGCTCACCCAAAATATCAATGTAATAACTGATTTTTGCAACTTTACTTTCGTTAAAGTACACGTCATTTGTCTACGCCACTTTCATTCTTATCATTTAATTTCTCTTTCGTAGTTCTTATTCCATGCTTTCATCACGTTTTATCGGTTTATCACATTTTATTTTTTGTTTATTCTTTGCATTTGTCTGAGTTTTGATAAACAAATTTAATTTTTGGCAGCTGTACCACGCCTTCAAAGCATGTCGGGAATTCGGGGCCCTTGCGCAAGTTCACGCTGAAAATGGAGACCTGATACACGAAGTGAGATTTTCAAATAACATCGATGCATTTTAATCTTTTTTGTACATAATGCATTGCTTGTGGATAAATTACGCATAAATTGAAGAGAGATTTAAAAGCCATCAATTTTGATTCATAAGCAACATGCTACTCCTGAGTCTTCTAGCGACCATTATGCAGTAGAAACTTGCTTGGGGCATCACTACCTCTGTTCGTCAAACTTCTTGCTACTCGGTTTTGCTGCATTGTCAACTGATTTGTCACAACAGTCTTAGGCAGAGCAACAGTGACAAAAGTAGGGCTCAACAATTCCTACATAAGTTTTTTTTGCGCTTTTTCCTTGAGTTATTTGAGGTGAGTTATAAATAGTTCCAAGGAAAGCCAATCATACATTTTGTTTTTTTCTGTGTCTTGTCTTGCATTCCGGCCTTCCCTAACTTGACATCACGTCTGTGTTAGCATTTTCTGCAGTAACTGACAGACAGCCTATCATTTGTGCTCTTCGCCTTTCATTATGATTTAATTTATCTTCAATGTATAAGATTGTGACGCTAGTTGTCTTCCTGCTTAAATGATTTTCCGCGTCAGAGACAACACACTGACTTTCATCTTTAAACACCAACCCTTCAGCGTTCCAAAGTCATGATTGAGCTTGGTATCACAGGCCCTGAAGGACACGAAATGTGCAGACCAGAGCATGTAAGTACGAAACACTCTCCACTTTGTTCCAATCACGATTATCTATAACACTTATTTCTTAGTTCAACATCATAGTCATCAAAAGGTTTTCAAGGCCTTCGATGGAATGCTTCGAATCTTAAGCCTCAAAATGCGCAATGTCCTCTTGCCATGTACTTGCTTCAATTGTATGAGCCGAATTATTAAATACATTTTACAAAGTATTATTTTCTATTTAGCCGAATACAGGAAATGAGTGATCTTGTTTCTTACACTCAAAAATTGATCTTTACGAGATATTTCTATAATTTGGTTTTGCCCTTTGACAGGTTGAAGGTGAAGCCACCCACAGGGCAATAGTCATTGCTGATCAGGTGCGTGGCATTTTAACCTTTGACTTTTCTGACATTTTTCGCTTCAACACCAGAGTACTAAGTTTACAGTCAAGTGATCTGAATACACAAGGAAGTTGTTATGTTAGTCAGAGAATTTAAAAAAAAAATGCATTCATAAAGTTTTATAAACATCACTGTCTGAAGAATAGCGTAGATAGAACACACTGCATTTTTAATGTCATTATATTTAATCTTTGAATTAGTTTTTGCTTTGGCTCTAGGCAAGTTGCCCAATTTACATCGTTCACGTAATGAGCAAATCGGCTGCTGACGTCATCAGTGAATGCAGACGAAAGGGATTCGTTGCTTTTGGGGAACCAATAGCAGCAGGTCTTGGCACAGATGGAACAAACTATCATCACAAATGTTGGCGACATGCTGCTGGTAATTTTTTGTAATGCTATTCAAAATCTACCCCTTCGTCTATTTTTCTGAGATTTTTGTTCAAAAGCCTTGAAATCTTTCCGTTTTGATTCTAGGTCACGTGATGGGTCCACCTTTGCGTCCTGACCCATCGACTCCAGAGTACCTCATGAAGCTTCTTGCAAAGTATGTTTCGCTCCATAACTGTAATTTTCAAAGCCAAATCAGCCCTTCCTTTTCGAAGCTATGAATTCTAAATATGCAAAATAAAACCATGTTATTGAGTGCATTGCTTTTACATAATCAACTTTATTTGTCTTAATTAGTTGAGTATTTTCATCCGTATTTAGGGGTTTTGGCTAAAAGCCATAAGTTTTTAACTTGACAGCCAATTCGTTCTATTTAGAGAGTGTCTACAGCTCAATGTACTCAAATTCGCTTCAGAATGCCGTTTTTCAAGGCCTTTAGCGAATTGATCAGTGTTGTTAGCAATCAACATGCACCATAGTTTAAATATTAAGTAAGTATTAAGGAAAACATGGATTGAATATAACGTTTTATTCTACAAAAAATCTGGTAGAACTTGACATTCGAGTAGACGTTAATTGTTACATCCAGCATGTATCTTAGTAATTGAGCTGGTTGCCATCGACTGCCCCTTTCGATACGTACCCTGTATCAATCGGCTGCTCCTTTTTTAGTTGATTTGCTGTTTCTAAATAAATGTTGAGGTTTTATTGAGACTTTCTCCAAGACTGAAGTCTGTTCTTTAAAAACCTTAGCGGCGATCTACAGTGTACTGGCACAGACAATTGCACGTTTAATGCAAACCAAAAAGCGCTTGGCAAAGACGACTTCAGAAGAATTCCCAATGGCGTTAACGGTTAGCATTCAATCAACATGTTTCATTGATTAGACAGGAATTAAGTTGATACATATAATAAACAGGAAACCTGCAATTCTTTTATTTTGTTTTTTGGATAGACCATGGTCATTAAATACTGAGTATAAAATGATATGGTACATAACGTATCAAGTTAGCTGTTTCCGGTTCCTGATGCAGTTGAAGTTCGAGACTGAACAACTTCTAATGTTCTGAATAAACATAAGAATGGTTCAAAAGATATAGTTTATTAAGTATAGACAATGAGTGAAGAGAATGTATAGGTTGAGAGCAGTGTCAACTTTATGTCATCATGCATATTTATTTTTTAAATTAATTTTTCCACATTAATTGTTGGCACATTAATCTACCACTTCAGTGTGTGATCTCAACATGTTGCTTTGTTATATTAATGAATTTTAAGCTTGCACTGTTCTTTTTAGGAGTCGAGGACAGGATGTCAGTAATTTGGGAAAAGGGTGTGGTAAGCTATCTTTTTTGTGACAAGGGTTTTAACGTTGCATTCTTGTATGTATGTTTGGTTGCACCTTTTTATTTATGCCCCCTTAATGTTATGCTTCTTCGATATTACTAAAAGATTTTAACTCTGTACACAATTTTTTAGTTTTTTTAATTCTTCATACCAAACCCAATTTTAAAAAAAAATTGTTTGAACAAATAGTTTAAAATCCTTGAAAAGAAGCTATTCTTTGAATAATAGCAGAGCAAACCAAAATGTTTGAAAGGTCTTAAGTCAACTGATGATACAACAACTCTCAACTAATTCGATGACAAGAATTATAAAATCTTCTATTTTTGTGCTCTGAAAGTTCAGAAGCGGTTGATAACATAAAAGTACAAACAAATGTTGATACTCTGTTGTCTATTCCCCCATGCCATGATGGTCTATACTTTGAAGGTCAAGCCAAGGGAATAAGGAAAGCGCTCTTTGTGAAGATTTTTTCACGAAGTTCCATACCAAAATTAAATATTACACAAATTTTCGGTTTCCTTCTATTTTTGTTCAGGCATGACTAGTTTAAGGTTTTGGAAAAAATAAACATGATAATGCAGCATTTCTTCCCTCCAGATACATACCATATAAGGTTTAGTTTATACACAGGTGTGAGAAAAACGTTTGGAACCTTGAACCTGTCCCAATGCAAATATGCCAAAAACATACCCTGTCTCATAAAAGATGCAAAAATATGTCACAATTATATGTCAC